GATTGTTGAACGAAAGAAAGGATGTCAAAGATGGATGCCGAAGCAAGTACAAGCGAAAAAGAGAAAGCTGTATCGATGATGCCGTAGACAAGAGACCTATGGATTGCCAGGTCACGAGTGATGAACGTGTAGAGAGTCCTCGATTCTGGATCACAGATAAGGTGTACCACCAAAGAGAGCCGTATCAGCAACCAGATGGAAGATAGTATCCAAGCACATCCTGTACATACATACCACCCTGACCCAATCCCAATACAATCAATGTAATCGCTCGCAGCTGTATCTCTTCTCTCATATGGAAAGCTTCAAGGAAATCGCCACGCCACGTTGCATAGGTATGGTTCACATGCCATGCTTGCTGCATCCTGACGGGCCATCCAAGTGTATCCACATTGTGCTGTTTGCCGTAGCATTGTACGCAAGCATGACAACCCCTACTTCCACACATCTTCTGATCCTCTCAGTGCAGCTCTGAAGACACGTGGTCAGTTCCCAGGATACAGGTTGCCTGTTTTGGTTCCAGTAAGCTGTTCAATCAACAGTGTCCATGCCAACCAATCCCTTACTACAAACCTTACACATTGACTTTGTGTCCCCCTAGAACATATTACTCGTTGCTGTTTGCCGTCCTTGAGCAGAATCTCGTTCCACATTCCTCCTCAAGCTTGAAAATGTCGACATTCCTAAACCAAAAAGGCTGCGACAAGAACAACCATGTCAGTATACAAAGATACCAATGTATGCCGATAACGTTATTAACCTTGTGCCCATAATCCATACAAACGACTACATGATACCCAATGCCGGTATTATTAGAAACGAGGTCTCGTCATAGCACTTAACATTAGATATGGCAATACCTTTGTAACACGAAATAGCACCATCAAACACAGGAGCAGCATTGCGTTTGATATCCAATCGATGCGTTTCGGGAATGGCTTGATGCTGAGAGTAGTTACCACGGATAAAGAGAAAGAGACTCCTTGTGTTCTACATCCAATCCCTCTCATTTTAATGCCAAAAAGCAACGCCATTCATGAAACGAGTTGGAGGTCCTTGAACCAAGTAGCTCTCTTGTGATATGCATTCTGATAGAGATTTGATTGCCTGTGAAGGTAAAATACGAGATCCATTAGCACATACAAAAGCAATGTCTGATTATTTCCATACATACCATGTAATGCCAACACGAAGGGTATGTACCCCAAAGGAATCGTGCCATATCCATCCCACAACAATGTAGCCTTCTTTTGTGTGTCCTTGTCCGCCTTCGAGGAAGAGTAAACGATCTCCCCATTGTACGTTGCGTCGTAGTGATCCACGTGGTCGCCATGGTTCATATCGAATTGTCATCTTGTGCAAGGATTGTCCATCCATATCGCCACGTATCAGGAAATGACAAGAGTGATGGCGTTGGTTGCCAATCTCCTTTGATCTAGCGGCCATCAACCCAAATCCAATCCTATAAGCTGTCTACTGTTATAGCCTTGGATATACATACGCTATTGTCAGTACAATTCTCTCGTCACCATCTCCCGGCGTTGTGGATTCACGTGATCAGCTCATAGCGAAAAGTCGATGGTGGTCATTTGAAGGAGCATGGCAAGTAACAATGTCAGCGCCAACGAACACCTTTGTTGTACCCGTTTCAAGTCCTCTTCTTTGTTCTTACCCAAAAAGCTGTTGACCACCTTCAATACGATCGACCTGCTGATTCCTCTTGACATTGGCCATGTCGATATTCCGAAACTGAAGCGTTCTAAAAAGGCTTGGGTATGAGTTCGCACTGCTTACCACCCCAAGGCGTCTTTCACAACCTACTCCTTCACTGCTCACCTCCATTTAGCCTTTTTGAAACACGCCGTCGGCTAATGAGCTCCATGATGTCTTGCTATCGCGTTCAACCTGCCGCTGGTGTTGAGTTTGTGCATAACGGAGTCAAGAAGTGTTGAGCCCACTGAAATTCGGAAGCCCACTTGATCCCAAAATGGAAGCCACTGCGGAGCCATAATGTTTCCATGGCTCCCACACAAGCTATTAATCACCTACACCATGAGCATGCCCACCACCAGACACTCAATACCACGCTAGCAGTAGATACCACTATGTAGAAAACGTCTCAAAAGCAAATGTATTTGAAAGTAGGAACACGTTTATAAATGGAGGTTAAGATTTATGAAAAGTCACAAAAAAACTAGCTGTGCCAACTCTTAGCCCATCATAAAGATGGTTTCCAGGCGTGACCACGAGGAGGTGGTTGGCAATCCACGCCCTAGTTTAAGGTCGTTTCGGACCATCTATCCTAATACTAAGCTAAAATCGTGGTCGTATTCGTATTCGTATTCGTATTCGTATTCGTATTCGTATTCGTATTCGTATTCGTATTCGTATTCGTATTCGTATTCGTATTCGTATTCGTATTCGTATTCGTATTCGTAGTCGTATTCGTATTCGTATTCGTAGTCGTGTTCGTAGTCGTGTTCGTGTTCGTGTGCTGGAAATCGTGAAGGAAACTTGCTGTGGAATGCACTTTCTTTTATAGTTTTTTGGGGCTGCCGCAGCAGCTCCAAAATGTGACTTCGCTCGCTCGCGACCGAACCAATCGTTGCGATGCTCACGCGATTTTACGGGTACCCTGCCCTCATTGCGAATCCGGGAACTGAAACCGAACCAATCGTTGGCAAGCTGACGCGTTCTTACCGAATCCATTCTCTCCTTGTGAAACCTTGACCTGGTGAGCTTTTTTTTCGCTCTCTGTCGCCCTCAATTGCAAGGAAACGCTCAAGTCAACATGCATTTTACCATTAGAAAAGTGAATTCTGCTCATTGAAGCGATTCGAATGGTACCCTATTCGCCATGGTTAGGTTCACTTTCGTAATTCTCATTTGATAGTGGTCGTGTAACCAAGATTTCTTTCCTTTTTGAGGTTACACAAAACGCGCGCTGCTACCGAACAGTTGACCGTAAACGATCACGACGCGTTTAAATTCAAATAAACTCCCTTTGCCAGCTTAGAGAAGTGTGTTCGGCTCGTTGAGAGGATTCGAATGGTACCCTATTCGTTATGATTCGGCTCACTTTCGGATTTCTCATTTGACAGTGGTCGTGTAACCAAGATTTCTTTCCTGTTTGCGGTTACACAAAGCGCGCTGCTACCGAACAGTTGGCCATAAACAATCGCGACGCGTTAAATTTCACATAAACTTCCTTTGCCAGCTTAGAAAAATGAATTCGGCTCGTTGAGGCGATTCGAATGGTACGCTGTTCGTCATGATTCGACTCACTTTCGTATTTGTCATTTCAGTGGTCGTGTAACCAAGATTTCTTCCTTTTTGAGGTTACACAAAGCGCGCGCTGCTACCGAGCAGTTCACCGTAAACAAGCACCACGCGTTTAAATTCAAATAAACTACCTTTTCCAGCTTAGAAAAGTAGATTCGGCTCGTTGAGGCGGTTCGAATGGTACCTTGTTTGTCATGATTTAGCTTCCTTTAGATTTTCATCCCATGGTCGTCATGGAGACGGGATTTCCTTTTTCGGTTAAGGTTCCGCTCTTCTGCGTAAGTTGGCCGCAAGCCGCTGCAACGCGTTCACTCTCAAATAAACTAGTTTTGGTCAATTGGAAGAGATTTTTTGTCTCATTGAGGCTATTCCAAGTATATACCATTTGTCAAGATGTGGCCTCATTTTAGGCTTTTCAACTATCAGCTGCCAAGTAGTTTAGACTTCCTTCATTGGTGTAAGCCTTTTGTCTTCCCAAAGCAGGCTTATGGGGTTCGTGTTCAAGCAAAACTGCTCTGAGACAAATTGGAAAATCGATGTTCAGCTCGACGTGACGAGTCTAATGATATGCTATTTGCTTAGGTTTGAAGGAAGCGGATTTTTATCTATAGTATAGGACATCTTGGGGAACGATCGCGTACAGTCTCGAAGGACTTCACATTTTCTAAAATCTAAACAATAGCTGCCCGCATGGAGAGAAGCTGGTTTGTTTTTGTATATGATTACATTCATTCATTAGCCGGTTGATGGCAACCAGCTTTATAAATAAGCTGTAAACAACATCGTATACATGTATGGGAAGAGGTACGTTGAAGTATATGCATGTGTAATGGAGGGCCATGACAAGGATGTATTCGGATGTGAAAGACATGGCTGTCATCCCATTTTAGATGGCGCTCTTTAAGAAGCCGCTATACCTAGCGACTCAAAGTTGTGTCATGGGATGCACAGGGATCCCTGGTTAATGTTACGCCTATTCACATGCCACGTGTCTTAAGGAGTATTAAGGGGGGTAAGCAACAACGGGAAAGGATGTCGATATCTACCGACTTAAATCAGCGGCAAGGATTGGACTTCTTAACTTCTTGACCAACTTTAAGCTTTATGGCTATCTTTTAATGGCGAGATCTTGTGCGTGATAATAATGAGAAAAAGACATGTCTACTGGATCCAGAGGGTTTCTAGGAAAAGATTAGGAGGATGACTTACAAGGGGCTGATACGAGTTACTCAAGTGATCCAGTGGATTCCTATGATGCCTCCTTGCTATTTAATGAGAATGTTTGTAGCTATGGGCACTTGGACGAGATCCCTTTGGGACCACGAATTACCTATAACTCGATCTCCTATGAGCTATTGCAATAGTATGCTATAGGCCTTCTATGGGTTCAACCTGTATCCGACGACGAATGCCTGAAACACGCCTGCTACCTCAAAGAGGCACAATGCCTTGTGATTTTCTGGTGACCTTAAAAGCACCTAGGGGGATGAATAACTAACTACATTAACGGTTGGGCGCTGTATACGAGTTGCAATACAATGGATCATTGCGAGGGTCCTTTGTTGGATGCATGTGGACAGCGAAATGATTACAATGTATAATACGCTTTTATTGGATACCAGGAACAAAAAGTAATCAAGAAACAGGGAGATGCTGGAAGGGATATAGCGTATAAACCATGATTAATGTGGAATGTTCAGGGGCGGTTGTATGATCTATCAATGGTATTCGGAGGTAACCTCCACGTGAGGTATCTGTTTCTTAAGCTGCTGGACTTCGGGCTTGTTGACCGCATACTTGGGGTACATCTGAATAGAGCTGAGCTGTGACAAGCTTCCAAGAGCACGCCAAAAGCTGACATGGCCATCTGTACCACTCACTGAAAGTCCCAATTGCTTCAAGAATCGAAATCGTTTCAATGTAGAGATTGAATGCGTTGATGGAGCGTTGTGGCATTTGAGCTGAAGGAAAGATAGCAAAGAACATCCATTGGCAATACGTTCAACAAAGGCTTCCATTTGATACTCGCTCCAATCACAGTTGAATCTGATTATCAGAGATTGAAGGTGATTCAAACAATCGATAGCATCCAGTACATTGCCAGCATTTTCCGAATTGTCAAAGCGGATCGAAAGTTCATGTAGTTGACATTGCTGGGATACGCGATATAGATAATAAACTACGCTGTTGCTGTCCTGAAGGTTGTGCCAATCATCAAAGTCCAATACGAGTCTTTCCAATTTGGGTGGTATTGTACCAAGCACTTCAGGGTGTGTGTTGATCGTTCGCGACGATAAAGCCAATTCTTCAATCATGGGGGCATTGGGTAGCATCCACCATCCACCATGCAGCAGAGAGAGCTTCTTCAGCCTAGGATACTGGATGTTGGCAAAGTCATCAACGTTGTGAACCTCGTCGTTTTGTCTCGTGGTACTGAAAATCTTCCATTTGATATCCTCAAGTGCTTTTTGATGCTGCTTCAATATCGAGCTGGTATCCATAAAAGAGCCACCCCCATCTGCCCAATTCTCCTTAGAAATGCAAAGCCTTGTCACCGCAAGTTCTTGATAACCGGTCCCTCGGTTAAATAAGGTAGCGTGCACCGACCAATTTGAAATATCAATCTCAATACCATTCATTGCAGGGTAGTACTGGGAGGCCATAAACGCCGATCGGATACCAAAACATGGATTCAGGGTAAGCCTTTGGAGTGCTGGAAATCGCTGGGATATGCTTATTATCTCATCATCTGAAACAGCCCCCTCTCCATAGCGAATAGATAGAGTGGTCATCTTGGGCCATGTCATCTTCATGGGTAAAGAGCTGAAACTGGCAGGAAAGGTTTGCCACAATGAGAAGGAAACCAAATTGGGGCATGCTACCAATAGGTCGGATGGTGCAAGTATCATATGCTCCTGATCAAATTCCAAATGCGTCAATGTGTTGCCGATTGATTGGAACGACGAAATAAAGTCTTCAATATAGAAGCTGTAAAAATCTTGCATGAACAAAGATAAGTAAGAGCCTATTGAGTGATGCATACATAGCACTTACCACGAAGGTATAGCTTTTGTAGAGAGGAAAAGTCATTCTCCCGCAGTACATCAACTACCCACGTTCCTTCGCAATGTGCATAAATATCCAATGACTGTGTATGCCGTGCAAACGTGACCAATTGCCTGGCCTTATCCTCGTCATATTCGTCTCCAAATTCAGCTTGATACTCGGACTTGAAACATAATCCACCAGAGCATTGTATAATAGAATCACACCATAGGTTTGACACATACAAATAGGGACATGGAATCACGATATCCAAAGGCGAATCGCCCATTAACATGGGAATAAGGGTTGTAGAAAGAATGTCGAAAGGAAGCTCCTTAATAAAGTCAATGCGTGTCTTCAGCTGGTCCTCGGCATCCGCCTTAGCTTGTTGCAATGTGAGATAGCCTGGATTCGTGGTATCAACAATGGCGAGTGCCTGGTTACAAATATCGATGACATGACGCTGTTTCCCTTGTTCACCATAAATGATAGCTTTGCGTAAGTATCCAAGTGGTGAAGAGGGCGAGAGGTGTTGCATAACGTCGGCATCGCGAAGGGCAGACTCGAAATGGGCAAGCTTTGCCAATCCCATGGCGCGTCGATCTAAAGCTGACAAGATCGATTGAACAGGTTGATGGAGTTCATTGGTTGAATCGTAGACAAGTTGCGCGTATTTTTCAGTGGAGACGGTGAGTGTGGGTTGCTGACATAGATCGTTCCAAGCAGGGCATGTCATGGCGGGTTGGCTGTGGAGAACAAGAAGGTGCGATTTCCCAGCTGCGGCCCCCCGGGTAAATCTATTCGCCAATAACAATGCCTTTATTAGAACAACGCCCTTTCCATATTTCACTGCCTCCACTAAAACTCTACTTTGGCTCCTTCACGACATTCCTCATTCGTGTTCTGCCATTAGCATGGTGCTGTCAGTCAACATTCGGTCTCTTGGTTACGCGTCATGACTACGCTTGTTCACTTGTTTCAGCCCCTCGCTACACACTACTCTGACACAACTTGCACGTTTGCCCAAGCCCATGGTGGCGATTGTGGACAGCTTTACCGGTACACAAAAGGTTTTCAATACGGCCTTGGAATATAATCCTGATGATAATTAAGGTGTCTCACAGAGTTGCGTGGGTACAAGTTGCCATGGTTTTGAAAGATTTTCGTCGTGCATTATGGAAAGATCCACACTATTGTTGCTTGTCATCATCATCATCATCATCATCATCATCATCATCATCATCATCATCATCATCATCATCATCATCATCATCATCATCATCATCATCATCATCATCATCATCATCATAGCGTCCCTCAATGTATGCATCGTAAATCACCATCAATGGACCACGGTTCCCAACACAATAAGGACATAGGCTGGCTGCAGGTGGTTGATGGAATCACTTGGATGATCGACGATTAAGTAGAATGTAAAGTTTTCTTACGCCGGTTTATCCGTTATCACGCTTGTATAATAAAACTGTGTCTGGATTACAACCCATTAGCGGCTCGTTGTGTTATGGTTAAGGATCCATGATGCCCACCATAGAGTTAAACGATTATCTTCCATAAGCCTCACGCTGCCCGTTTTATTTCGATAGAACAAAAGACTACACTGATACAGCTAAAGGTACTACAACATGTCTCATTTATCCATATACGCATTCCATAGCCATCCTGCCTTCATCCAACACGCGTAGGTTGCCAGCGAGTATGAATCCACATGTACCATACCATATCCTTCTTGAACACGCGTGTCCAACCGATCACCAAACCTACCTCATCATGCCATAGGATTATTAACCTTTCCATCATACTTTGTGGCCTCGTATAATGATGGGCACCATTCTTTGGTAACCAACGCCACCATCCAACAATGTTGCAGCAAGTAAAAACCAAGACGTGAACACAAGGAGATCGAATGAAAAAGACTTGTTTGAGCAATGGGCGTTGTGAAGAATGGAGTCCATACTCTTGATCATGTCGCGTAAAGATCCACCTGGCTGGGCGGGATTGAACAAGTACCCCTTGAAGGCGATGATGATGATTAACAAAGTGACACAAATAACCCATCCTTCAACCCTGCCAGCATTACCTTTCATATAACATGGCACATACCTATACCTGTATCCATGGCAGATTGTGTTTATACACTTTTGTGGGACACCTTGGTTTGTTGGCTCCACATTTGTATCTGACGCTGCTGTTGGGTAGTCTTAGACTAGTCAAGCTGCAAACGATTCCCACCAAAGTCTTGGGCAACATTAGTTGGTGACCGTTGCTGACGATTGTTTTTGACTGAAGTGGTCTCTTTCAAGGGTACGAGTTGCTTAAACGTGGCGTAAAAGAGGAAACTGAAACGAGTGCAAGCAAGCGGTGAGTTGCCAGAAGTGGTTGTTACAGAGATGACGCGTAACCAAGGAGACGAATGTTGACTGGGCACCCATTCTGTTGCAGATGGCGAACGTGGAATGTCGACGAGAAGTAAAAGTAGAGCCTTCGAGAGGGTGGTTAAGTGTAGAAGGAGCTGCTGTTGAGAATAAAGGGGGATAAAGCAACAGCGCAGTTGACTGGGAATGGCACTCAGCGGATAAATTCTACTCTGAGGCGGAGACGCCACTTGACTTGCATCCTTCTTCACTCAGTTCAACAAACCATATGACTTTTTCCATTTGCACCGATTTATGCAACCAGCCCACTCAGTCTGTGTCCACCGAAAAGTACGCAAAGCTTGTTCACGATTCAACCACTCGTCTCCATGAACCTATTCACTCGATCTTGTCAGCTTTGAATGAACGCGTCATCGGGTTGACAAAACTTGCCAACTTTGAATCAGCCCTTCGCGATGCAAAAGTTATGCAACAACTCTCGCCCTCTTCACCTCTTGGGTATATATGTGCAGCCAGCGTTTACAAGGAACAAGGAAAACAGCTTCAAGTGATGAACATCTGCAACAAAGGGTTGGTCGTTGTTGATCCAAAGGATAGCGATTACGCCACATTGCAGCATAACGTAGCCGATGCTATGCAACGCCAAAATAGACGCGTCGACTTTATCACCAAGCTACCATTCGACATTGTTACAACAATGCTCCTCCCAATGTTTGTGGATGATTCTCCTTTGGATGCTTCTACACCATGTCCTTATTTATACGTGTGCAAGCAATGGCGTGATTTGATTCTCCACTATTCCAATGGGTTGCGTTTTGAGATCGGATACAAAGAAGAGCAAGCAGATCCTCAACAACGTTGGCAATTGGTTACATTCGCACGACACATCAAAGCATTGCATCTTCATCGATATTCCAAAGGTCCCTGGTTATCTGGTTTATTACATGACAATGACTTTTGCTCCTTGCGGGAGTTATACATTGGTGGTAAGTGGTGGTGGTGGTGGTGGTGAAGGGATCCAATGAGGCCTTATTTATCATGGTCATATAAAAGGTTTTTCTTCATTACCCATCAATGGCTTTGTTTCGTTATTGCAATCCATCGGCAGCAGATTGACGCATTTGGGTATTCAAGAGATTCAAGGATTGGAACTTTTCGACATGTTCCCCGTAGCCGAGACATTATCAGCCTGCCCCAACTTGGTATCGTTTTCCATTTGCCCTCCATATGCTTACGATTTCAGCTCTCTTCCAATGACTCCATGGCCCAATTTGACGGCATTGACGTTTCACTCGGAACTAGAACCCTTTACTCGTGATCAAGTCATCAGCGTCTGCCAGCGTTTTCCTGCTCTCAAGGAGCTTGATCTATTTCCTTGTGAGGATATTGATTTGGTGCTGATGATCCCACGCTATTGTCCTTTGTTGAAAAGCGTTGAGGTTGAGATACAGCATGGGAATATGGGATTTCTCTACTCCACTCGAATCATTGGAGATGAAGAGCTTGCAGTTACGAAGCTTACTATCGAAACAGAGGAATGGGATCGAGATGGCTTGTTTGAGTATACTTGCTCTCTGTTACGGCAGCATTGCACAACACTTGAGGACATCCAATGGATATGGTCGCCTGAACGAAACCACCGACAGCTGTACAACATCCAATACCCACGCCTGAAGACGTTATCGATACACTCTCGTGGATGGTGGATACTACGCAATGCACCCATGGTAGAAGATTTGTTCTTGGCATCACCATCAATCGTCAACAACCCTGAAGTCTTGGATACAATTCCAACCAACTTGAAAGCGCTCGAATTGAGATTGGATGAAGGACCCGTATCCGTCAACGAAGACGCTATCGAACGCTTTCTTTATCGCGTATCTCAGCAATGCCGTCTACAAAAACTTGCTATCTACTTTGAGGACCTTGGTATTTTTTGCCGTGTGCGTGATACTATCACTCGTTTCAATACGCTTCAAAGTCTAGTGATAAGTTTCCCAGAGGATTGGCATGTAGCCGAAATGGAAAGATTCCTTGTTGACCTTGTGATTGCATGTCCTTATTTATCTTCCCTTGAGATCAATTGCACCAACGCCCCGACGACGTATTCAATGAATGCCTTGAAGCAGCTTCGACATTTAAAGCAATTTACTTTTTCGATCAGAGACACGGATGGCGCTGATAGCTTTTGGCGTGCGATTCAAACGTTCTCCCAACTCAAGCGTATTCGTATGTACCCTGCAAGTGACGTCCGGGCTTTTGTAGTTAAATGTCTCAAGGAACAGCGACGTGACATGACGATTATTGTGGATGGCAAATTCAATCGCTTCTGAACGCCCCCTTCAAGTTGTGTGCCATACCTTTTATCATTTACAAGAGAGTGATAGGGGTTTCCATATATTGAATAAATGGAATCTAGTGACTGTAAGTATTTTCTTCCTAGCAACATGAGCATGGGGATGGCTTTACAATGGCACGTTGAGCTTTAATGGCGGATTCATTATGTATGGCCAAAAGGATTGCTATTGACTACCCCATCCCATTATCGTAAATAGCTATTTCAAATCACCTTTCACCATCGACATCCATTAATAAACGTATTGGCTCACATCGAGACGCAGATGGTGGTTGTTTTCTTAAGAACTCTTGCTCGCAACCAATGACAGCGCCTGGTAATCGTTGCATTCCCATGCGATCGTGTTTGAGAACATGTATCATGAAACGGGTATCCTACATTGACTAGAACAATGATTACGTGATTCATAAATACAAAAGGAAGGTCATCCTTCTCCTTGTAGGAACATGTATGCATACGTACTATGCTTGTAGCCGTCTTCCAACTCTTCCTTATGGAAGGAACATCTGTGAAAAGAGTCCAGCAACATCGTACCTCGGGGCATACGTCCACAGCATGTGGTTGGTGATAGAAGATAGCTGGCATTGTATGATGATGATGGATATTGCCAGCTTGTTTATCACAGATGCTGATTCAAGCAACGGCAATCAATCGTATCACAACCCTTTATATGTAAAGCCTTCCGATCAATTTTGAGCTCATCACCATTCCCATGCCTCGTTTATTTTCTTTGTGGTCATCAAAATGAAATACCCACGCCCAGCAAGCGATAATAGACCTTGATGTTGTCGCCGGCTATCCTACTCCCACACACCTCTTTTTCTTCCATTATCCCACTTTTTTCTATTACTGCGCCTTTCAACGGTTGCTGGTGAGTGTCCTGGTTAAAGTTCCTATTTGTGAGCGATCCATGGATTCATTTGTGATTATCTTTTATTAGACTTTCATTGCTACCCGGTTTCCATTGCCGTTGATGGCATTTTAAAAATGTGGTCCTTTATCAAGGTAAAGCGTGATCGTCTTGATTGCTGATGCACAGGGTCACAATCCCTTTGACGTAGCTACTTCATCAGACATTTATGCAAAGCTCTACCTGGTGGCAACCCACAGCCTGCATGGGGTTGATATATGAGCTTTCGATCTATCATTGAACCTCGCGTCTACATCGTTTGCTACCGGCGTACATCCTAAAGGAAGTAACAAGCTATGATCCTCGTATGTAGTATGACACACAATTGCCCTCCATACACTGATTCCGGTATCCCAGGCAGCCTATGCGTGTGCAAAAGGTTTCGTTGTCATCACCAAAATGCCGAAAAAAGGTCACTGGCCAAGTGCAACCGAGTTGGGTACTCAACATAGACCAAGGTACGTACATTGTATGCATGATCAGGAAAGCGCCTTTTTTTATTTGACTCATTTTCTTTAGCTATTTATGGGCGTATACGTTAGCGTATGCAAGTTGGGTGAGGGAGGAGTGTGTTTCGATATTGTTTAACTCCTAAACAAAACCGTAAGTCGATGAGGCATTGTGTATTCATGATTGATCAACTTGAATGGTAACCTTTATGTTATAGCATTTGCTGGAATACAAATCGGTACAATACAATTCACTGCCGTGACCCATGTGCGTGCCCCATCATTGTGGAGAAAGCCCGTTCAGCATCACAGCATGAAGATAAAGAAGCACTATCACCATGACCACAAAGACACCTGCTTTCGTCATTGTAAGAGGTCTGCCAATGAACATCAGTATCTGGATAACACTCTGGCGTAAAGAACAACTTCACACTTTAAAATGCATCGACGGATGCCTCAGCACTCCGAAAGGGATTTGAGGATCTGGTACATGTCGCCGACCCCAGTATCGGTGGCATAAAAAAGGCGAAGTTTTATACGAGAAGGTGTTCATATCGCTAAGATGTGGCTCAAACTCACCATTACTTACGAGGGTATCACGTTCTTGAAGGCTGGTTCTCAAGCTGTGCTTCATGGTTTAAACCAGCAATGGCATAATGCAAGGTAAACAAAAAAACACGTGCAACAATAGACCAACACTGATTTTCCACTCTTTTTATTGATGTAGACCTTATCATATGTATGAAACCGACAAGGAAATCGCTAACTTTGGTGGGCATGGACTATGCAAGACTTTCGATTGTACCGTCCGACCTTGTGGATTTTGTCAAGTATTACATCTAGATACTCGTGCCTTGTATTATGGATTGGACGGGTATTGGAGCATCCGATATTATTATGGGAGAGACCTTTCATGAATAAAAACAGCTTTCGCAAATCAGCATGAGTCTCCCATTAGCACATTTAACGCTTATACATGTGGCCATTGTATATGAGCAGAAAGATGATGGGTCCAATACGGAATACAATATGCCATGATACAAGGGCTTGTTGGCATAGCAACGCTCCTGGGGTGAATGAAATCAGAAATTCCTAATCGCTGATGCGGGATAATGGTTTGCGTATGTTGGATTTGGTAATGTGTGATAGTATTGAGACGCCTACCTGACCACAATGCTGCTGAAATCTTTTGCCTTAATAGATGGTGATTGAATGTCTGCCAAATGATGGAAGATCGCTGAGCAATAAGGAAACAGCGTTTGGGTCATCCTCTTGTGACACACAAAGCAAAAGCGGATAACAACGTATATGTGCTCTTTACCCATATACATCATCTGGTAATCCTTCTTCCAAAAATTGGATGCGTGCCTTTTTTTATTTACGTCTATCAAATACTATCCTACTACAACTAGCTAAACGCCAATGCATATGGTCCATCATAGTCTCATTCGCAAGGGCTCTTACCATATCCATATCCATTTGATCCTTCGTGTATAGTATCCAGACTTGGTCGATGAATCCCCATATACCAAGAAAAAAAAACCCTCCTTGAGCATGGGTGTCCAGTAATATACACAATCGATCCGAACCTACCTTTCATCCCATAAAATTCACAACCAGCACCAATACTTGAACCTCGAGGATAAAAATGGCACTAATAGAAGCAGAATACCGAGGAAGCGAAGAGGTGTGCATAAAAAGATTCCATCACAGCAGACGTGAAGGAGAAATCGCTGTTATCCTTGTTCTCGACCATGTCGCTGAAGTATTCATATCACTGGCGTTGGATGGCCGAATACCTCCTGAAGAAGATGATGGTAAGCATCCTGAAACAAATACCCTCTGCTCCAACCCTAGCAACATTGCCTCTTATTTAATATGGTATGTACTATACCTGTACCCATGGCAAAGGAGCACATGTGCAGTTTTACGGTAAGCCTCGCGTTGGTGGGACCACGTTTGCATCCTATGGCTGTGTTGAGGACCTTGTGCCCTGCTTAGATTCCCAAGTTCGCCCGATCTTGAACAAGGTTGAGCGATGCTTGCGGTTGGCGATCGTTTTTCAGTGAACGCGACATTGTCAAAGGTGCAAGGCGTTGAGCGTGGTGTAAAAGAGGAAACTGAAACGAGTACAAGCAAGCTATGAGTCACCGGAGGTGGTTGTTGTAGAGATGACACGTAACGAAGGAGACGAATGTAGACTGGTCACCAATTCTGTTTCAGATGGGGAACGAGTAATGTCGATGAGGAATAAGAGTAAAGCTTTAGCGAGGGTCGTCAAGTATAAAAAGGACGTGTTTGGGATAAAGCAGATAAAGCGACTTTGTTGACTGGGGCCGCTTGGCCAATGAATTTTATGCTTGAGCAGAGCGACTTGCATTGCATCCTTCTTCTTCACTCCGTTCAAGCAACTATATGACCCATTCTATTTGGACCGATTTATGCAAACAACCCATACTCAAAGCCACTTCTGAAAAGTACACAACGATTGTCTACGATTCAACCACTCGACTCCATCAGCTCATTGACTCCATCTTGTCAGCTTTGAATGAACGCGTCATTGGGTTCACAAAGCTTGCCAACTTTGACGCAGCCCTTGGCGATGTCAGTATCATACAGCAACTCTCGCCCTCTTCAGCTCTTGGATATTTGTGTGCAGCCAGCGTTTACAAGGAGCAAGGGAAACAGCTTCAGGTGATCGACATTTGCAACAAGGGGTTGGACGTTGTTGATCCAAACGATACCGATTACAGCACATTGCAGCAAATGAAGGCCGATGCGATGCAATACCAGAATAAACGCATCGATTTTATCACCGATCTACCATGGGACCTTGTTACAACAACGCTTCTTCCAACGTTTGTGGATGATGATTCTCCTTTGGATGCTTCTAGAGCATGTCCTTATTTGTATGTGTGCAAGCAATGGCGTGATTTGATTCTCCAGCATTCAAATGGGTTGCGTTTCGAGATTGGGCCAAATGAAGAACAAGCAGATCCTCGGCAACAGTGGCAATTGGTTACATTCGCACGACACATTAAGGCATTGCATCTTCGTCGATATACCAAAGGAACCTGGCTCTATGATTTATTACGTGATCATGACTTTTGTTCTCTGCGTGAGTTATACTTTGATGGTAAGTGGTGGTGTTGGTGGTATCATGTGCGCTTACTTACCATGGTTTATAAAAGCATTTTCCAACAACGGCGATGATTTTGTTTCGTTTTTGCAATCACTCGGTGGCCCATTGACGCATTTGGCTATTAATGACACCCATTCCTTGCATTTTGAGGGCATGTTTCCCCTAGCCGAGGTCTTATCAGCTTGCCCCAACCTGCTTTCGTTTGCTGTCACCCATCCATTTCTTTGCGATTTTACCGCTCTTTCAATGACAACGTATTCCAATATGACGACATTGTCGCTTTTCTCTACGACAGATCCATTTTCTCGTGATGAGATCATACGCATCTGCCAGTGCTTTCCAGCCCTCAAGGAACTTCATCTTTCTCGGTGTGAAGATAGCATGGAATTGGTGCTCATGGTCCCACGTTATTGTCCCTTGTTGAAAAGCGTTGAAATTGACATCAATTATTATGCCGTCAACTTGAATTACTTTGATCACAACATTGGACATCAAGAGCTTGAGATGACAAAGTTCTCGATCTTTAGAGATGGTTCGGAAGGCAATGACTTGTTTTTCGATATTGAGGCTCTCTTAAGGCAGCATCGGACAACACTCGAGGATGTCGAATGGACTGTATCCCCTGAAAGAGACTACCGAGACCTTTACGACATCCAATACCCACGTCTCAAAAAACTATCGTTATATTCTGGCGGCTGGTGGATACTACGCAATGCACCCATGCTGGAAACCTTAGCCTTGGCATCTGAATCCATCAACAACAACCCTGAAGTCTTGGATACAATTCCACCAAATTTGAAAGCACTTGAATTGAGATTGCATCGAGGACGCTTTCCAACCAACAACGATGTAATCGAACGATATCTTCATCGCGTATCCCAACAATGTCGTCTACAACAACTTGCTATTGATTTCGATGCAATGGATACCTTTTGCTATCTGCGTGATACTCTCACTCGTTTCAATACGCTCGAACGTCTGGCGGTCGGTTTTCCTGGGAATTGGGACAACAACAAAATGGAAAGCTTCCTTGGTGCTCTTGTGATTGCATGTCCTTATTTATCTTCCCTTGGGATCGATTGCATCAACGCGCCATCGGCGGACACAATGAACACCTTGAAACAGCTTCGACATTTAAAGCAACTTACTTTTTCAGTCAAGGACACGGATGGCGCTCATAGCTTTTGGCATGCGATTCGGTCATTTTCACAACTCAAGCGTATTCGGATTTACCCTTCAAATGAAGTCAACCATGCTAAAATTGAGCGTCTTAAGGAACAGAGACCTGACATGAAGATTATCGTGGAGGACACATTCAAGTGCTTCTGAAAGCCCCTTCAAATTGTATACCATAGCTTTTATCATATCCAAAATTGTGATTGTCATTGATTTGCGTGAATAAAAGGGGTCTATTATCTGTAAGCATGTGTTTGCTATTATATATTCATGATGAAGGCTTCTCAATATTATGCTATACTTGCATGGGCACCATTTGATATGATTCACAAGGAGAGATTTTTGGGGAAGAATGAAACAACATCTAGATGATCCTTTTGTGACACTCAAAGCCAAAGCGGCCGACGAAGTATATGCGTTCTTTATCCATGTCCATCATCTGGTAAATCCTCTGCTGAAAATTTGATGCATGTCATTTTGTATTTAGATCTACCAAAACACTATCCTACTACAACTAGCTAAACCCCAATGCGTATCGTCCATCACTGCCACTCCCCCAAGAGCTCTTACCAAATCCATTTCCATTTCATCCTTTGTGTGTAGTGTATCCAGGCTTGGTGAATCCACATATCACTAACCTCATGCTTCTTGGACATGCCTACCCATAAGAAACAACGTCCACCAAACCTATCTCATCGTCCCATGGAATCAATAACCAGCAACCATACTCGACCCTCGAGGATGAAAAAATGGCACCAATAGAAAGAGAATACATTGGAAGCAAAGTGGTGAAAATAAAAAGGTTCCATGACAAAAGACGTGTTGGCGAAATAGCTGTCATCCTTGTTCTCGACCATGTTCCTGATGTATCCATATCGCTGGGTTTCCTTTCCCAAGTACCTCTTGAGGAAGATGATGATCAGCTTCCTGAAACTGATAATCCCGGATCCAACCCTGTCAACATGGCCCCCCATATAATATCGTACTAACTATACCTGTAACCATGACAAATGAGGGCCTCTGCAATATACGTGAAGCCTTGCTTTGGTGGGACCACGTTTATATCCTAAGGCCGTGCTGAGGACCCGTTGGCCTGACAAGATTCCCAGGTTGGCCCGATCTTGAACAAGCTTGAGCAATGCTAATGGTTGACGATCGTTTTTCTGTCGAGGCGATAATGTCAAAGGCGCAAGTCGTTTAGGGTGGTGTAAAAGAGTACGTTGAAGTGGGGTACAAGTAAGCGATGAGTAACGACAAGTTGTTTGTAGGGATGACGCGTAAGCAAGACGCCAATGCTGACTGGAAACCAATTCTGTTGGCAGATGGTGAGCAAGGAATGTCGACAAGGAATAAAAGTAAAGCTTTAAGGAAGGTGGTCAAGTATAGAAAAGAGTCATTGTTGGGATAAAGCGAATAAAGAGATTGCTCGCTTGGGCCGCTTTGGCTCAGCAATTTTAAGCTGTGAGCGGGACTAGTCTTGTCACACACTTCTTCACTGCATTATTGAACTTCCTCATCCTCCTCCGCCAACCTACAATGACTTATTCTATCTGGAACGACTTATGCAAACAACCTGTTATTACAGCTTCCACTGAGAAATACACAAAGCTTGTCACCAATGCAACTACACAATTGAGGCAACCCATTGACTCCATCATGACAACTCTGAATGAACGGGCCATGGGGTTGTCAAAGTGCGCCAACTTCGATGCTGCTCTTCGCGATGCTAATGCTATGCAACAGCTAGCACATTCTTCAGCACTCGGCTACTTACGTGCATCCAGCATTTACAATGAACAAGGGAAACGGCGTCATGCTGTCGACATCTGCCACAAGGGACTCAATGTTGTTGATATAAATGACCCACACTATGCTATGCTGCAGCGAGCCAAAGACGATGCTGAACACTATGAGAGCAAACGATTTGACTTTATCATGCAACTGCCCGTTGAAATTGTTATCACAACCCTTATCCCAATGCTAGTGGATGATACGCCTTTGGCATCATTGAAACCATGCCCGTATTTGCACGTGTCCAATCTATGGCGTGATTTTATTCTTCAACATTCCGATGGATTGTGTTTTGAGACCGGATACCACGAAGAAGAAGAAGATATGGAAAAGCGATCGCAATTGATGAGGTTTTGTCGTCACATCAAGTCATTACATGTTCGGCGATACTCCAAAGGGCTCTGGCTGTATCACTTATTGAGCAACAACGACTTCTGCTCTCTGCGGGAGTTATGCGTTGATGGTAAGTGGTACTCACATCTTAAGTTGCATGTGTTGACCATTTTTTATAAAAGACTTTTACAGCGTCTATATCGACGACCTTGTTCCATTATTGTTATCAATCAGCAGCACGTTGACCAAGTTGACAATTCACGAGGGATGGCACGACATGCTTTTCTTAGTCGACATATTAACGGCCTGCCCCAATCTGGTTTCCCTTACCATGTCGCAGTATGATGGTGAGGATTTGGGCCATCTTCCAAGCCCAACATGGCCGAATTTGCAAACGTTTTCCATTGAATATTCAAACCACGAGCTCACTCGGGAGCAGATAGTACGCCTCTGTCAGTGTTTCCCATCACTCAAAAAGCTGCACCTATACCCATGTCCTGATCTCGAATCAGCACTGTTGATCTCACGATACTACTCATTGTTGACAAGGATGGAACTTGAGGTTTACATGGGCCATGTGGGCGTGACGTACATGAATGAAAACAATGGATCGCACCACCTGGCGATGACGAAGCTGTCGGTCATTATCCAGGATTGGGACGACGAAGACGATGTAGTGGATATGGCTCCTATTTTCAGACAACATCATGCGACGCTCGAGGTCATTGAATGGAACATGGAGATTGAAAGAGATTACGAAGGCCTTCACCACCTGACATTTCCATGCCTCAAGAAACTCTCGCTATGCACTTCTGGATCGTGGATACTACGCAATGCGCCTATAGTGGAAGAGTTGAAGATGGCGACCATAGCCATAAATGAGGACCCCGCAATGCTGAATACAATACCACCCCGATTGAAAAGGCTCGAGTTCAAGTTTGATAATGGACGCCAACTTGAGAACAAAGAGGCAATTGTGCAGTATCTCCGCCGCGTCTCGCAGCAATCTTCACTTCATGAGTTTGGTATCCGTGTCGATTTCTCGAACACCTTGGGAAGTATTCCTGATGCGATCTGTGGTTTGAACACGCTACAACGTCTCATGATCGGTGCAAATGAGGATTGGAGCCCATATCAAATGGAGCGATTCTTCACCAGCCTTGTGAATGGGTGCCCTTCTCTATCGTGCCTTGAAATCGATTGCATGAACGCGCCATCGACGTATTCCTTAGATACCTTAAAGCGACTTGAACGCCTAAAGCAATTTGCATTTTCGATCAAGGACACGGATGGATATGACAGCTTTTGGCATTCGCTTCGAACCTTTTCACAACTCAAGTGTATACAAATGTACCCTGCCAATGCAGTCAACAAGGCGGTCATTCGAGATCTCAAGGCGCACAGACGTGACATGAAGGTGATTGTCGATGGAATATTCAAGCGCTTTTGAGAGCTATTTTCAAGTCGTGGGGTATAAGCGATAGCCTCATCTTTACCTTTTTCTATCATTTGTCCAAGGTTAATAAACATGATGCTGTGATACCTGTAAGGATGTCGCTATTCATATGTATGCAAGGCAAGCTGCAGGCAATGATGTACTATACCCACAAGGACCATCAGTATTCTATGTTCAACAAGGGTACCCCGAAGCGAATGTCGTAAATAGCTATACCTGATTACGTTCCATCATAGACTTGTCCTTCCTAATAAACAAACGTGAGATTACTAGTCATGTCTGCTTAAAAAATGTTGCCAGGGGCAACTCTTGTTATCCTACACGCTATTCCAAAAGACCACTACCACATAGATTCAAGCCTATCGTTTATAGGAATAAAGGGCTTCATATTCACTACCAAGTGCGCGATTGCTGCTGTTGGGTAGCATGCCGATGATCATTGATGTAAATTAGTATTCAATGCTTTTCATGTAGCGTACATCGGTAATACAGAGCTATGCTGCCCAATATGGCATGACGTTTGATACCATCGTAGAATTGGCACGCTAGCCATGATCGATTGTGGTACATGGATAAGATCTTAAGCTTAGCGAATGTCGCTGCCTAGCCAAAAAGCTTTAGGGTGTGGCCAACAATTAAATTCAATGGCTTGGTCCGATCCCAGTGATAGTCTCAAACAAGACACCCTTCACCATGCTGAGCATGTTGGGTCTAAAAAGAGGCCATGCTTCATTGTAACATTTTGAGTCATGGCTATCTTTATGCTTTAACACAGGGTGTTATATGACAAGTGGTCTTTTTTCATTATGAATAGGCCACAGCAGAATAGAAACAAAGACGGCGACTGCTGCCTTTGTGTATTACAGGTAAAGAGTCATGACGTAAGGGTCACTGAATGATACTGAAATACAGCCTTGGGTAGTGGCAGCTCATAGCGACTTTCTCCCAACCCTGGCTGATGCGAGAACTAGTGCATGTGAACGATGCACCTGCTCCAGACATTGAACTTCATAATTCAGGTTTCTGGATCAGAGCTAATTTCAGAGCGCTACGCCCAAACAAAGAGTGTACAAGTTGGTACATAGACAACATGCGGTACATGGATTGGGGTAATCCTTGTTGAAGCGTAGCTCAGTCAAATTGGCTCCGATCAAAGCAATTGAATCATGCAAATGAATGCCTGGAGCAGGCGCATTCATCAGATGTTACCGAATCCACAATGGGCTGAATTGGGTGGGATTGGCTAATAGCTAGCATTGTTCGCATTATCCTTACATAGTATGTATTGGCCATGGATTGCCGTTCCAGTTGTCCCTTTTTTGCTTTTATATAGAAACATGGTCCTCTGCTTCTCTGTGTCTATTACGTTGAACCCTGGGCAAAATGAACAAAGACGACTTTGTCATATAGCATCATCTTTACAGCATAAAGACAGCCATCCATCACTCAAAAACTCTCAATGAAGCATGGGCTCTTTTTGCAACCACCGTGCTCAGCCCAGCTCAAGCAACCTTGTGTGTCAGTTTCAGGATCGAACTCGTCAATCTCAAATTTGGCCGTGCCACCGCCCGCCAAAATGAAATCAGGTCGACCTCTTGAAACTTTTTGGCTGGCATCGACAATCGCAAAAATTGCCATTGACGAGTTCGATCCTGAAACTTTCCAACTAGGTACTTTGGACCATGCTGAGCATGTTGGTTCCAAAACGAGCCCATGGTTCATTGAAAGATTTCGAGTTACAGGTGCGTGTATGTTTTGCTATTACAAAGCTGGGTCTTTTTCAATTGTGACTCATATGCACATCTGTAGTGAGATAGGTGCTAAAGATGGTGTTTGTATACGAAAGCGAAGAAAAAAGGAATAAAAGAGCAATGGATGATATGGGTTCAGTGTATCATGGTCATTCATATACTGCGAGCTATAAGCCAATTCCACCCAATTGAGCCCATTGTGGATTTGACAACGTGTGGTGAATGCGCCTGCTCCAAGGTTCAGATCCATGGTTTAATTACATTGATCCGAGCCGATTTGGATGAGCTACACTTAAACCAGGTTTTCTCTAGTGGATACACCCGTATGCGTTGCATGTTGGATCCGACGTACCAGTTACGTGGCCGTAATTTCCTCAAATAGGCTCGGATCAAGACGCCTGAATATAGGAAATGAATCTTTGGAGCAGGTGCATTTTTCATATGGTATCAAATCCACAATGGTCTCTATTGCGTGGAATTGGCTGATAGCTAGCAATGTATGAATGACCATCGGCTAGTGAGTACATATGATACATTGGTTCTTTTAATGCTGTTTTCTTTGCTTTCTTACCCAAATACGCCGTCCCCCAGCTATTGCACTATAAGTGTATATATGAGTGACGATTGAAAAAGACAACTTTTCATATGGCATCATGTTTACAGCATAAAGACATCCATAGCTCAAAATGCCACAATGAAGCATGGGCTCTTTTTGCAACCGACGTGCTCAGCCCAGCTCAAGCAACCTTGTGTGCCAGCTTCAGGATCGAACTCATCAATCTCAAATTTGGCCATGTCACCACGCGCCAAACGAAAACAGGTCGACATCTTTAAACTTTTTGGCTGGCACCGACAAATGCAAAAATTGCTATTGACGAGTTCGAGCTTGATACTTTCACACAAGGTACTTTCGACCATGCTGAGCATGCGGTTTCGAAAACGAGCCCATGCTTCATTGAAAGCTTTCGAGTTACAGGTTGCGTGTATGTTTTGTTATTATAAAGGTGGGCCTTTTTCCATTATGACCCATATGTACATTTATAGTGAGATAGGCGCGATTCATGGTGTTTGTATACGAACGCCAAGCAAAAAGGATTAAAAGAGCAATGGATGATATGGGTTCAGTGTCTGATGGTCCTTCATTCATTGGATGCTATTAACCAATTCTACCCAATTGAGCCGATTGTGGGTTTGACAACATGTGGTGAATGTGCCTGCTCCAAGGTTCCGTTACATGGTTTAATTATATTGATCCGAGCCGATTTGGATGAGCTACGCTTCGACCAGGTTTGCTCTACTCCATACACCCGTATACATTGCATGTTGGAAGCGATGTGCCCTTTACGTGGCTGTAATTTCCTCAAATCGGCTCGGATCAAGACACCTGAATAATGGAAATGAATCTTTGGAGCAGGCGCATTTTTTGTACGTTATCAAATCCATGATGGTCGTGATTGGGTGGAATTGGCTAATAGCTTGCAATGTATGAATGACTGTGGCATGGCGTATGCATATCGTCCATTGCTCTTTTAATGCTGTTTTCTTTGCTTTCTTACCCAAACACGCCATTTCCCAGCTATTCCACTATAAGTGGTTATATGGGTGACAATGGAAAAAGATGACTTTGTCATATAGCATCATGTTTACAGCATAAAGACAACCATCACCCAAGATGTCACAATGAAGCATGGGCTCTTTTTGCAACCACCGTGCTCAGCCCAGCTCAAGCAACCTTGTGTGCAAGCTTCAGGATCGAGCTCGTCAATCTCAAATTTGGCCATGTCACCACCTGCAAAAATGAAAAGAGGTCGACCTCTTTAAACTTTTTGGGTGGGATCGACAAATGCAAAAATTGCTATTGACGAGTTCGATCCTGAAACTTTCGCACAAGGTAGTTTCGCCCATGCTGAGCATGCTGGTAGCAAAAAGAGCCCATGCTTCTTTGTGAGATTTTGAGGTACAGGTGCATGTATGTTTTGCTATTATAAAGGTGGGTCTTTTTCCATTGTAACTCATATGTAGATTTATAGTGAGATAGGTGCGATTGATGGTGTTTGTATACGAAAGCGAAGAAAAAAGGATTAAAAGAGCAATGGATGATATGGGTTCAGTGTCTGATGGTCCTTCATAGATTGGATGCTATTAACCAATTGCATCCAATTGAGCCCATTGTGGATTTGACAACGTGTGGTGAATGTGCCTGCTCCAAGGTTCCGTTCCATGGTTTAATTACGTTGATCCGAGCCGATTTGGATGAGCTACGCTTAGACCAGGTTTTCTCTAATCCATACACCCGTATACGTTTCATGTTGGAACCGATGTACCCGTTACTTGGCCATAATTTCCTCAAATTGGCTCGCATCAAGACACCTGAATGATGGAAATGGCTCTTTGGAGCAGGTGCATGTTTCATACGTTATCGAATCCATGATGGTCGTGATTGGGTGCAATTGGCTCATAGCTAGCAATGTACGAATGACTGTGACATGGCGTATACATATCATCCATTGCTCTTTTAATGCTGTTTTCTTTGCTTTCTTACCCAAACACGGCCTCGTGCAGCTATTGCACTATAAGTGTGTATATGAGTGACAATTGAAAAAGGCGACTTTGTCATATAGCATCATGTTTACAGCATAAAGAGAGCCATCCATCACTCGAAAGCTGTCAATGAAGCATGGGCTCTTTTTGCAACAACCGTGCTCAGCCCAGCTCAAGCAACCTTGTGTGCCAGTTTCAGGACCGAACTCGTCAATCTCAAATTTGGCTGACATCGACAATGGCGAAAATTGACATTGTCGATCTCGAGCTTCATACGTTCACACAAGATACCTGTGACCATGCTGAGCAAGGTTGTTGTAGTGACGATCCCTGGATGAATTATTAGATTTTGAGTTACGGGCAACATCCATGCTGATGGCGTAGCCAAGACAACTCTTTATGTACGAGGTGCATGACGACTCCTTTTTCTTCCCTAAGGCACCCTTACCGACGGCAAGAGAGCATTATGGCCTAGGTATCACCCTAGTCAAGATCTTGTTGCTAAATGGTGAGTGCTTCCACCTACCTATCAAACGTGTCTTTTAATAGATGCTGCCTACCGATCACAGCATTGTCAATGCTTGTAGCACATATGCATTTATGCATTACCAAAGTAGAATCATCATAATGACATACGCTTAATATACCAACGCCACGTTAAAATGAATGGATCAATGAGCATTTAAGCTTTACTTGCATCCGTGGGTCTTGCCAAGACTTTCTTTTATTTTCACCTTGAATATGGATATAAAGGGGAACGTCTCATTGATAAAGCGAGCATAAAGGCGAATGATGTGGATGCATCATCGAGGTATATATTGTGTATTACATTTATCCCTCTGAAAGTAAGATAAAATGCATGTTTAGAAACCACAATTCGATCCATTACGTATTTATTTGACAAATGACAACCTTAATCGATGGGACATGGGTTAATGTTATACGGGGTCATCGCTTCACCACCCATGTGATAAGGGAAGGGTGACACAAGAAGGCATGCAGGTGTAACAAATATGGTAAAACGGTTGCTGGGATACTGTTATGATCCTCTGGACAAACAGGGTGTGTGTGTTTGTGTGTGTGATGGATTTTGGATTCAGCTCTTGCTTTGACAATTTCAGTCTTCTTTACTACTTTGTACCCAAAGAACGCAACAACAACACGAAGCTCACCGCAATGCCAGCCGAACATGGAGCTCATTAGTAGACAGCATGTGTGAACACGCGTGACAAGGAAGGTAAGTAATGAGCTAGTAGAGTAATAAAAAGCCGACTTGCCTTGTTTACAGTAATAAGGTAGTATCGTTTTACAACGGCGTCGTTCAGCAATGGCGACAATGGCAACTCTCAGGGGGAATCAGAAACGAGATCTTGTTCAACGAAGGCAACTACCACTATATTGTTGAGAAAAACAAGAGGGCTCGAAAGGTGTTCAGCAAAGGGATTCGTTGGCATTCTCTATTGGCGACCTTGTTGGAATCAACATCAGCTACCTTTATCCTGCTACCCGTTCACGTGATTTCAAAAGGACGCGAGATGATTAAAACCTGTTTCAACGATCGTGGATGAATGCGACAATGAACTGCAACGTGGAGGCGTGTTGGAAATGGATGGCTCAAAAGAGGACGATCAGCATCAACTCCTCTTGGATGCGTCTTGGTTGCTATGCGACCAGCCTATACGTGTGATGCTGTTGGACAATGAACGATACAAAGGCAACGTCGCATGGAGCTTATGGAAGCGTATACTTGCCATCTACATCAGCAGCTCTATTATCCAACATACGAACCAGCAACATCGACCATGAGAGGAAGCTTTTGCGGATGCACACAAGCATGACATGTATGCCTACCCTTCATCCATGCTGCAGCTTGTAGGAGTGGTTTTATCGCTTGAAGAGGTGAGCTGTGATAAATGCCTCTTTTGCCATATTAACGTTGCATGATCCAGATAGCCCACCACCTACAACACGCCACCATTTTCTTCCTATGCTGGCTTCTGATGATGGACAACAGATTGATGACTACACGTTGCTAGTACACCCTTGCCCTGCTATCATAGCCCTTTAGATGTATGCAACATGAGATTAGATGTACATCCGCAAAGTAATTGAATCATTTTATTCAGCCATAAATGGAGCAATATCAGTGTGACAACCATGCATCACCTGTCAAGTAAGCTAAAGCTTCTGCCACCTTCTCAGACATTTGTTCTCGTTCCACGTAAAGAGCTTCCAAAGATGGGCATTGCAAAATGGGGAGCAAGCTCTCATTCCAGAAATTTGGGCTACCGAGGGTGAGTTCTTGCAGCTTGGGATATAGAGGGAATTTGGATATGATTGCAGTTGGGAATTCCATTGGTGCCTCCAAGATCAATTCTCTCAATTCAGGACATCCATGAGCGAGTGCTTCAATGAAAGCAACAAATTCTTGATCCAAAGTAGCACCACGAAGTTGCATGAAAAGTTCACGTAGATTGGATAAGCGTGCTACAGCCCTCCATGCACGTGGACATTCATTACCGCTGAAATGGACATCGATGCTCAGTGAACGCAAGTTTGACCTGTGTCTCAAGGTAGAGGCATGGTATTCGAGACCACTAATGATAGCTGTGGAAGGCAACGCAAATGAGAGTGATTCAAGGTTTGTCATTTTCTTCATGGTATGGTACACAGCATCATTGTCAACGTTGCATTTAGCCATTTCGATCTCCCTCGCGTTGGGTGCACCTTTGAGGATCCATTGCAAAAGCACATTTCCACCATCATCATCATCAGGGTAAAAGAACAAATGGTTGAGGTGCTTGAAATGTGCGTCTTGGCTAAGCATTGTGCTGCTGCTTCTGCTACTACTACTTTGATGATTCATCTTGCCGGCGAGAACAATGGTGGTCAAGGTATCGCAATGGCTTGCCAATAGGGAAGCGATGTCGCCAAGGTGGTAATTTTCCCCAGCTGTCACATATACACTATGGAGTCCGATGGCGTTATCGGTACGTGGATAACGCATTGCTTCCAAGACTCCGGTTTGCGACGAATATGTAAGCGAGTCAAGATAACGACAGTATTGAGGCATGAGGGAGAGTGGCGTTGAATATTGGCAATGTGGTAGCGATAAAAGCTGCAATGATGGGAATCGTTCAAGCAATCCAATGATGTCGTTTTCTTCAAGTGGTTGCGTGATGGATGTAGATACCAACTTTTTGACATTGGGGTATTTTTGGACGTGATGTTGTAAGGGAAAGCCATCCATATCAACCCTGGTGCATGTAAATGCCTCCAAACGGGGACAATTAGGCATGACGTCGTTACCCTAACAGCCGCATTGGACATCCTAGGAGAGATGGTCAACTTGATTTCCTTCAATGCTGCTGCAATCGGCTGCAGCAGTCGAATCAACGCATGTATGTCATTCTCGAAAGCCACTATTGATTCATGTTAGCTTTGTAGCTATGTATGGTAGTTGGTGTCGAACTTACAGGTAAGGTCCAATGATTGGAGGCAGGTAAACTGTGAGCGTGAAAAGAAATACAATGGCAATTCGGAAGGATTCCCCAAAGCAATGCGTGTGATATAGGGAGCATATGCGAGCATGATTTGTTTGTCACCAAATGTTACTCTTGCGCCGCTGTAGAAATGAAACCCAACCGATTGCAAAACACGTTGCCGCCATGTTCGGCATACTTGCAAATATGCAAATGTTTGACGGGATGGAATCATCAAAGCAGATGGTAAGATCAAGGAGGACACCAGCTCAAAAGGAAGTCTGCTAACAAAGTCGACTCGAGTTACACGCCTACGTGGGTGATAACTTCGTAATCGCCTGTGCCGTACACTTCTGGGTAGGTTGGTGGGATGCTGGGCACCACCTGATGCTCTTATTCTGCGAACTACTGATGTTGCATTACTGTGTCTTCTATAATGCACCCCTCTCTGAGCCATTGTTGGATGGTTTTCAAGGAGTTGAATAAAAGGAGTGAATCGAAGAAAGAAAATGGGTGTACATTGTAATGATCATGAATCAATTTTATCAGCAAAATGCAACCACACGTCACCTAATTGAGCCGCATTTTACCCAATCATGTTGCTCCTTACATCATTCATCACACAATCACCGCCCTATTGAACGCCATGTCATGCATTAGATAAATACCAGTAATCATGGTGACCCCGTTATCGCAAAAAATTGTTGCATACAAGGAACAAGGTAGCTTGCATTATGAGACTATCCAATAAGGTGTAGATCTTCAAGCTTTGGTGAGTGGATTAGTATCAATACCACAACAAGAGGTATTATCATTGTTAAGAGCTTCATCATATGGCTAATGCAACTATCGCTGATGTGGCCTGCTGCTCGCGGTGGTCCCACATCTCCATTCTCTTAAAGAATTACCTACGTTGTATGCATCATGGCTGATTGTTTATTGAAAGAGCCTGTTTATTGATCAAAGAGGAAATGTGTGACCATTATACAAGGAGTCATTTTCGTACACAGCATGCTGGAATTGTGTCCACACATTGGTTGCTTTATTGAAAGCTACAGTCTTTTATAAAGCAGGATAATTCTATGCGATGGCCGCGAATTGCTGTATGCATGAATACATGATTTTGCATCATCTTCAGCGAAATCTATGGGAACACTGGCTATTGGTGGCAATGACAAAGGATTGGAATAGTACGTATTGGTGATCCGGTTGAGGAATTGAATGTTTTATGCAAGGCATTGTGAATCATCATCATCATTGTCACGTTTATTGCAAGACATTATGGATCATTGTCATCATCATCATCATCGTCATCATCGGCAGCAACAACAGCATAGCCTTTATTGGCATCTAAGCGATTGGACCCTCAAACGCAGTGGATGGTAGGGATACATGGTGTGGATCATAAACGATAGCAGCGGCAATGACGCGTTGTTGTGTGGAAGGAGTGACCGGAAAATGTGAGAGGTGATATTACACAAGGTATGGATGCATGAGGAGATCGGGGATAAAATGAAAAGGTCTTATCAGTAAAACGTGTAGCTTACCAATGCGTTGGTTGTGAAGGATGGATCAATTAAAAAAGGGTATGCAAAAAGGTAAGCATAGTAATCTCGGGGAAAACGGCATCCGACATAGTGGTTAGCAATGCACATAAAGGTAGTTTGAAGACCATCCACTTTTGTTTTGACACTCTTCTTTCTTCTTTATCACTTTTTCAAATGCTCAAGCGAAGTTTATCTCCTGGTATGTTAAGGACGACTTTTTTAATGCATCGTTGGCTTATAAATGCTTTTTAGATACCACAGATGGTCATAGTGTCAAAGCACCACGACGTAACGAGCCGGTTGTTCTCGCTGCTGCTGATGGTGGTGATCCCGATATGCCTACAGCATCGTCATCCGAACCGCTGGATGAATCTTTTTTATTAGGCTCGCCTTCTCTTTCAAGAGTGTCATCCCAATGTATGTATGCTCAACGTTGGTCACCACGCAACGCCCCTTGTGTAACAAATATCTGATGCATGACAACCATAGGCCTTGACGATAGCGAGGGCGAAAGCTACCATTCAGCCAAAAGTTTTTCGGATATCGAGAGCGAGTATATGGAGTATGTATATTTAGCAATGTGATCGGTTGCATGGATTAATACTGGAATGATACCAGGGATGCAGATGATGATAACCACGAGGATCTAGAGCTGGACATGTCGTATCAAAGGTAGGTAATTGTTTACTTTCCATGGTAACACGTGTTGACATCGATACCTTTTACAGGGTTACTATCAGGATACCCGCTTTGAATCAAGATGAAGGGTAAGTAAGCTACATACAACGTGTTTATCCCGATGTTTTAGTAATCATGTTTGAATCAAGGAATGAGAACAATCAAACCTTCGTATATGGAGTGGAGGATATGGATGGTGGATTCGGGGATGCGTTGCGGGATTATATACTGCTTGTGGGTGCCTATCCATCCGTATCAAGGCATGATAGCGCATTCAAGGGTATATGCAATCGGCTATTCAAAGTGCCTGAAGCACAACAAATTCATGTTACGCAAGGGGTGCACGAAAAGGTATGTGAATGATGGAGGAAAAGAAGCATGACTTGACGCCCTTTGTTTGTCCCAGTATGTGAACGCTACCGCAAACTGCCGAAACAAAATATCCAAGGTTTTCAAAGCCGTCATGAAAACATACACGTTTGAGAGTACGACCCTTCCTGAACAATGCAAAACGAATCGTAAAAGGCAATTCAAGTATATGCTGGATGCCATGAGGTATGTATCCATGCAACCAACACACTCAAGTATGTATTAACACAATCCAGATTTGCCCGCAAGGACTACTTGTCATCGGGAGCCATTTTGCAAGGTGCTGCCTTGGGAGATATCATCGCCAAGCTGTTTTATCATGGGAGAAAAGGGATTCAATGGTCGTTAAAGTACTCAGATGACCTGGTGCCTCGCCCTCTCATTGCGTTTGCATTTCTTTTCGTAAGTGTATCGCAATGCAGAGTGTAACCTTTGCGATAACAAAAGAGTTCATTAGATGTACATCAACATGACATTGCTGTGTACCACAAAACGAGATCGACAGTCCTTAAACTGCCGTGATGTTGGTGCTATGCGAGCATCACTCTACCGAAGCACCCTGCAAGGCGTCTACGAAAATGGAGAGGTTGTGGATTGGGATGAGGTCCAACGTGTACAAACAAGGATAGTGAACCAAAACCTCCGAAGATGGGAAGTATCTGGACCTTCTACCTTCGGTCCATTGAGTGCCACGTATCAACCGAAATATCAAGATGGCGTCTACAATTCTGATGGTGATGAAGACTAGCATTATTTGAAACAACATTAGCATGATGACTACTTTTATGGATGAATCTATTGTAAATGATGTGCAAGAAAAGACCTTGGATGACGAGAGAGAGATTCATAAATGTTCTGTTCATGCTCAACATGATCATCATACAGCCAGCAGCAGCGAGTGATACATCATCTTTTAGCTCCATTCCATATCGGCTTTCTTCATACATGGGTCTAATGGATCCTATTGATTTCTATTCTTTACCGAAAACCTCTTCTGTTCATGGCAAAGACAATATCCATTTTCCAGCAGTACCCCACACGATCGGAGAACTTGAATGTCAATCGGTGGAGAAACTCAATGATTGTTCAGCGACATTGGCAAGAGGAGAACAAATACAACTTGCGTCCAGCGTTCTCTTTAAATTCATAGTAAAACCATTGCTTTATATCACCGTTGTTGGCTTTACATTGTTCCATATAGCATCAAATAATAAAAGAGTTGGCAATAGGAATACATGTTGTTGCACAAACAATGACGAGGGATGATTGGCTACCCTGTTGATAATGATGCAGCTTGCAGTCAATTGAAAAAACCATCCATCACCATATCAATTGCATGATGCCATATTATAGAAAGTGTATGTCTTTAAGAATTTTTGGCATGCTGTGAAGCTTATACAGGTATCATTACCATTGCCACCATGATGATTACGTTATTGCATGCAGCCAACATTCGTACATTGTACCATTCGCCTTTCGGATTCTTTATTGAGCAATATGGTATTTATACTATACATGATAACTTTGGGCATCATAATAGTCCTATGGGATGTGGGTTGATTGGAGGGATAAAGGTAGGAATAATGAACGGTTCTTTGCGTGGGATGATGATAGCGGATGTTACACAAATGATGCTTGGTCGCCTCTGAGACCTGCGCTTCACGCCTTGTTCCTTTCCAACACACACCACAGCCAGCATAACTTGAACCAGTTTACCAACGCTTCTCCATCTACTCGTCAATCGAGCTTCACCATTGTCAAGACAACCTCAATTAGCCCACCTCCATGGCGTGTTCAGCAACGCATGCAGCCCATTGGCACAAAAAGCTTACCGATCGAGCGTCATGAGCTTGGCTGCTGTTACCCACCTTGGATTGGTGTATGACTACTGCGCTGTAGAAATAGTTCCAGAATGCACCAAGACGACGACACCGATCACTGGTGGATACATGCATGCAAGGAGATGAAGGCTGTTTTCGCAAGAAGATGATTCATACAGCACTACTGGTTCATTCAAAAGATGTTACTATCGGATCTTGCTCTTGGTGGTGAGAATGATTGTAGATGATGCAACTACAAAAGAGAAACCTTTATCATGTAAGTATATAGGACGTCCATTGCAATGCCATCTCCTAATGAATCTTGTATCCTAGATCCCTCGTTGCCAAGCGGATGCAATTCCACAACATCATCACGAACAGCATCAGGATATCCATCGTTGGTTTAGTGGTTGTATATGCGGCTTCTTATGGTATGGCAGTTAAAGGTATGTAAGCAAGGCACCATGAATGATAGCTGCAGCGCATTCATTCGACTGGATCATCCATATTAGAGGCTCGTTCACATATTCCACCAAGGTGCATCATTCACTACGGCTACTATTTCGGTAAACAATGTCTATGCTTGCCTTGTTTACAGTACTAAGATTGTGCTGTTTTACCACGGCGTGGTTCAGCAATGGCGACAATTGCAACTTTCAGGAGGAATAGGAAAAGAGATTCTGTTCAAGGACGGCAACGACTACTGTATCGATGAGGAAACAAAGACGACTTGAAAGGTACTCAGCAAAGGGATTCGTTGACGCCCTCTATCGATGATCGTTTTTGTGTCGAAATCAGCGACCTTTATTGTGCGACCCCTTCACATGATTTCAAAGTAATGCGAGAGGATGAAAAGCTGCATCAACGTTTATGGATGAATGCGACAACAAACTGCAATATGATGACATGTTTGGAATGGATGGATGAAAAGAGGATGGCCCACAACAACTGCTCTTGGATGCGTTATTCGCTATGCGACCTGCGTAAATGGATGATTCTGTTGGACAATGAAAGATACAACGACGATGTCACGTGGTGTGAAGGAATGGGTGTACATGTCATCTATATCAGCAACTCTATTACGCAACACACGAACAAGGAACATCGACTATGGAGGGAAGCTTTTTCGGATGATCACAAGCACCACATACATGTCTACCTTTCATCAATGCTGCAGCTTGCATCGTTTGCTTTCTTGCTGATAAAGGCGAGGTGCGGTCTATTTGTCTTTTTCCATATGCCACGCAAGCTGGATGTCTCAACACCAACATCACACCACCATTTTATTTTTATGCTGGCTTCTGATTATGGACCCACACGTTGCTATTGTACCCTTGCCCGGCCATCATGGCCCTTTAGATGTATCCAACATGAGATTAGATGTACATCCACAAAGTAACTTTATTCAGCAATATACAATAAATCGAGAAATATGATTTATGGTAACCTTGCCTAGTCAGTCAAATAAGCCAAAGCAACTTCCACTTTATCAGGCATGCTTTCTTTGTCGATTTCGAGGACTTGCAAGGATGAGCATTTTAAAACGTCCAGCAAGCTGTCATCCCATTATGTTGATTGAAGAAGCCGAACCTACACGACATGCACTTGGCTGGTGGCCAGCAACACGTCATACGTATCAGCAGTCGTCATAGCCAGAACGACCACTAGTTCAATAAGCAGCTCATGGTAAAAGTGGGTTGAGTGATTGTTTGGGTTCCTTTATTGAGGACTCTATAGGACGATACCACCCTATGACAAAGCAAGGAATGCTGTAGGCATCAGCACGTGATTTTGATCGACTTCAGGGAACCTTTGGGAACACTAGCTGCTGGTGGCAACGAGGAAGGATCTCAGCAGTGTTGTATCAAGCAAGGAATAAAGGTAGACAATAAGTCAGTGATACGAAGATAATCCCTCTATTTAAGATATGCTCGATACATGCGTATTTATATTCTATGGAGTGAAACTAGCTGAGATGAGACGACGGTAGACGCACCATTCATGGTGCGGTATTAGATCTGTTAGGCTGTAGGTAATAATGCTAGAGGTTCAGGATGTGTGTGAGGTATCGGTGTTCCTGATGCCAAGTGGCAACCGATGAATGTGAGATATCATTTGTTCAAGTCTAAGACACACATGTTGGATCTTTATCGGGTATGATGGATAGCCTGAATACAACAAGCAGTATTAGGATCTTAGTTGTGGAGCCATTATTTGATGCAAGCCATTGTGAATCACCACCGCCACCATCGTCGTCACATTTATTGTACGCGATTGTGGATCATCATCATCATCATCACATCTATGGTAAGCGATTGTGGATCGTCATGAATAGCAGTAGCATAGCCTTTATTAGCATCAAAGCGATCGGCCCCTCAAAGGCAGTGGATGGCAGGGATACATGGTCAGGATCATAAACGATAACAGCGGCAATGACGCGTTGTTGTGTGGAAGGAGTGACCGGGAAAGTGTGCGAGATGGTAATACACAAGGCATGAATACATGAGGAGGTTGAGGATAAAAGGAAAGCGTCTTTTCCAGTAAAACGGGTAGCTTATCAATGCTGTGGTTGTGAAGAGAGCATGGATCAATCAAAAAAGGGTATGGAAAAAAGTAAGCATGGGAATCTGGGGGAGGAGTCATCCGGCATAGTGGGTAGCAATGCGAGTAAACTTAGGTTGGGATCATGCATCTTTTCTTTTTTCACACTCTTCTTTTTCCTTTTACCACTTTTCCAAATGCTAAAGCGCAGTTTATCTCCTGGTATGTTAAAGACGACTTTTTTAATCCATGGTTGGCCTAAAATAACTTCGTAGATACCACGGATGGTGATAGTGTCAAAGCACCACGCCGTAATGAGCCTGTTGTTCTCGCTGCTGCTGATGGTGGCGGTCCCGAGATGTCTACAGCATCGCCATCAGAACCTCTGGATGAGTCTTTTTTATTACGATCACCTTCTCGTTCAAGGGGATCATCCCAAAGTACGTATGCTCAACCTCACTCACCACGCAACGTGCCTTGTGCAACAAACATCTGATGCATGATGCCAATAGGCCTGGGCGAAAGCGATCATGAGAGCTACCACTCAGCAAGAAGCATTTCGGAAATCGAGAGCGTATATACGGAGTATGTATATACAAGAATGTGATCGATTACTTGGATTAATATTGGAATGATAGCAGCGAAGCAGATGATGATGATCAAGACGATGTGGAGCTAGACATGTCGTATCAAAGGCAGGTAATTGTTTTACTTTGGATGGCAACACGCGTTGACATGGATACCTTTAAAGGGTTAGTATCAAGATACCCCCTTTGCATCAAGATCACGACGAGTAAGTGAAATACACACAATGTGTATATGATGATGTTGTAGTCACCATGTTTGAACCAAGGAATGAAAATCATCGAACCTTCGTATATGGTGTGGAGGACATGGATGGTGGATTCGGGGATTCGTTACGGGACTACATGCTGCTTGTTGATGCTTATCCATCAGTGTCGAGACATGATAGCGTATTCACACGTATATGCAAACAGCTATTTAAAGTACCTGAAGATGAGCAAATTTATGTCACGCATGGGGTTTACGACAAGGTATGTGAGTGATGGGAAAAAGCAAGCATGACTTGACGCCCTTTGTTTGTCCAAGTATGTGAAAGCTACTGCAAACTGCCGAGCCAAACTGTCCCTCATTTTCAAGGCTGTCATGAAAACCTACACCTTTGATGCTACCACTCTTCCGGAACGATGCAAAAAGAGCCGCAAAAGGCAATTCAAGTACATGATGGATGCTATGAGGTATGTATTAATGCACCCAATGCACTCAAGTATATATATTAACACAACCCAGATTTGCCCGCAAGGATTACTTATCATCGGGAGCCATCTTGCAGAGCGCTGCGTTAGGTGATGTCATCGCGAAGGTGTTTTACCATGGTAGAAAAGGAATCCAATTGTCGTTAAAGGATTGGGATGATCAAGTTCCTCGCCCGGTGATTGCCTTTGCGTTTGTTTTTGTAAGTGTGGGACGACGCATAGTGTAACCTTTGTGGTAACAAGAAGGGATCATTATAGATGTACATCAACATGAGCTTGCTGTGTACCAAAAAACGAGAACAACGATCCTTGAGAGGCCGTGACGTTGGTGCGATTCGTGCATCACTCTACCGAAACACACTGAAGGGGATCTATGATAATGGAGAGGTCGCGGACTGGGACGAGGTGCAACGTGTGCAAACAAGGCGAGTGCGTCAAAACCTCGAAAGTCGCCAAGTATCTGGTCCTTCTTCTTTTGGTCCAATGAGTGCCACTTATGAGCCAAAGTATCAAGATGGGATTTACAACTCTGAGAGTGATGAGGAATAGTTTTATTTGTAATACCATTGGCATGATGATTACTTTTGTGGATGTATCTATTGTAAATGATGTGTAACAAAGAGCTCGGTATACGGGAATGATGCATAAAATGTTTTATTCATGACAACATGGGCAACATGCCGCAAGCAGCAGCAAGTAATGCCCCATCCGTTTATCCCATCCCATATAGGCTTTCTTCAGGCATGCGGTGGAATGGGTCCAATTATTTTGTATTCATTACCGAAAGCACCTTTTTTTCATGGAAAGATGATACCCATATTGCAGCCATGTTCCACACGATGGATGAGCTTGCATGTCAATTGGTGGAAAAACTCATTGGGCGTTTAGTGACTTTGGCGAGAGGAGGAAAAATTCATCTAGCGTTAGGCATTCTCTTTAAAGTCATAGTGAATCCATTGCTTTATATTACCATTGTTGGCTTTACATTGTTGCGTATAGCTTCAAATAATAAAAGAGTGGGCAATAGGAACACATGTTGTTGCATAAACAATGACGACAGATGATTAGCTACCCTGTTCATGATGATCCAGCAAAGCCAATTGAAAAAGCTATTCGTCACCCTATCGATTGGATGATGCCATACTTTAGAATCAGGTCTATATAGGTATTTCTTGGCGTATGCTGTGAAGCCTGTCCCGGCATACTCATTGCCAATGCCAACATCATGATTACGTTATTGCGTGCAAGCAACATTCATACGTAGTACCAATCGCCTTTTGGATTCTTTATTGAGCTGTATGGTATTTATGCAACACATGGTATCCATTTCTTGGGGCGTCTTAAAAGCACTAGAGGCTATGAGGTTGATTGGGAGGGATAAAGAGCGATTCTTTGTATGGGATGATGATAGCGGATGTTACACAAATACTGCTTGGTCGCCAATGAGACCTGCACATCATGCCTTGTCCCTTTCCAACACACTCACACACACGCAGCCAGTATGTCTCGAACCAGTTTACCAACGCTTCTCCATCTACTCGTCAATCGAGCTTCACCAATGTCAAGACAACCTCAATTAGCCCATCTCCATGGCGTGTCCAGCAACACATGCAGCCCATTGTCACAAAAAGCTTACCGATCGAGCGTCATGAGCTTGGCTGCTGTTACCCACCTTGGGTTGATGTACGACTACTGCGTGATAGAGATAGTTCAACCCATGAATACACTAGATGATGGCCGTTTCCAACGATGACGATGATGATCCATACAACAAACCTGGCTCATTCAAACGGTGTTACCATGGGATCTTGTTCTTGGCTATCAGAAAACTTACAGATGCAGCATAAGGCGATGAAGTTTTATCGTGTAAATTCATAGGAAGTGGATGGCAATAACATCTCCTGATGAATCTTGTATCCTAGATCCCCTGTTGCCAAGCGGATGCAATTCGGCAGCATCATCACGACCAATATCAGGGTACCCTGGTGGATTTACCTGTATGTCTATGTGCTCGTTTATGATATGGTGATGAAAGGTATGTAAAAAATAACATCATGGGTGATAGCTGCAGCTCATTCATTCGAACGGATCATACATACTTACAGGCTTGTTCACGCATTCCACCAAGATGCATCATGCCCAACGGCTGCTATTTCAGTAAACGATGTCTATGCTTGCCTTTACAGCACTATGGTAGTGTTGTTTTACAACGGCATGGTTCAGCAATGGAGACAATGGGAACTTTGAGGAGGAATCGGAAGAGAATTTCGGTTCAAGGATGGCAACGACTACTATGTTAATGGTGAAACCAAGAGGGCTCGAAAGGTTTTCAGCAAAGGGAAGCGATGTCATTCTCTATCGGCTACACTTTTGGAATACCACCAACAACCTTTATCCCGCTATGCGTGTATGCTACTTCAAAGGGACGCGAGAGGATGAAAAGCTGCTTGAAGGATCATGGATGAATGGGGCAGCAAAATGCAACGTGATGACATGTTGGGAAGGGATGGATCAAAAGAGGACTATCGGCATCAACATCTCTTGGATGCGGCTTGGTTGCTTTTCAACCAGCCTATATGGATGATGCTGTTGGAAAATGAACGATACAACGCCAATGTCGCGTGGAGTTTATGGAGGCGTATACTTGTCATCTACATCAGCAGCTTTATTATATAACTACACGATGCAATACACGAACCAGCCGGATCGGCCATGGTGCATGGTGGCAAGACAAAGCTTTTTTGGATGAATACAGGCATGACGTGTACGTCGGCAATGGTATCCTTACGGCTTGCAGCGTCTTCTTTCTTGCAGATAAAGGTGAGCTGCGATAAATTATACTTTTGCTATATTAACGTTGATGAGATAGCTGCAAGATTTGGATATCCCATCACCCAATGGCACACCACCATTTGATTCTTATGATCGCCTCTGATGATGGACATCGACCACGTTGGCATTACACCGTCGCCCTACTATCATGCCCCTTTAGACTTAGGACACATGGGAATAGATGTACATCCGCAAAAGTAACTTCATTCAGCAATATGCAATAAATCGAGCAATAGGATTAATGATCACCATGCCTAGCGAGTCAAATAAGCCAAAGCAGCTGCCACTTTAGCAGACATTCTTTATTTGGCAATTCGAAGAGCTTCCAAAGATGGGCATTTGAAAATATCGAGCAAGCTGTCATCCCAGAAATTTGGGTTACCGAGAGTGACGTTTTGGAGGTTGGGATACAAAGGAAAATTGGATATGATCTCAATTGGAAATTCGGTTGGTGACTCCAAACTCAATTCTCTCAATTCGGGACATCCATGAGCGAGTGCTTCAATGAAGGCAACAAATTCCTGATCCAACGTAGCACCACGAAGTTGCATGAAAAGTTCACGTAGATTGGATAAGCGTGCTACAGCCCTCCATGCACGTGGACATTGATTACCGCTGAAATGGCCATCGATGCTCAGGATACGCAAGTTTGACCTGTGTCTCAAAGTAGAGGCAGGGTATTCGAGACCAGCAATCGAAGCTGTGGATGGTAACGCAAATGGGAGTGACTCAAGGTTTGGCATTCTTTTCATGGTGTGATAAACAGCTTGATTGACGACGTTGCATTTAGGCGTTTGGATCACCATTGCATTGGGTGCACCTTTAATGATCCATTGCGAAAGTGTATTTCCATCATCATCATCATCACCGTATATTATTGTGGGTCATCGTCGCATTTACGGTAAGCGATTGTGGATCATCATCATCATCATCACATTTATGGTAAGCGATTGTGGAACATCATGAATAGCAGCAGCATAGCCTTTATTGGCTTCTAAGCGATTGGCCCCGTAAAGACAGTAGATGGCAGGGATACGTGGTCTGGATAATAAACAACATCAGCGGCAATGATGCGTTGTTGCGTGGAAGGAGGTTCCAGAAAATGCGAGAGTTGATAATACACAAGGCATGGATACATGAGGAGATCGGGGATGAAAGGAAAAAGTCTTATCAGTAAAACGCGTAGCTTACCAATACCTTGGTTGTGAAGAAAGCATGGATCAATTAAAAAAAGGGAATGCAAAAAAAGTAAGCATGGGAATCTAGGGATCAGTTATCCGGCATAGTGGGTAGCAATGGGAGTGAACTTTGGTTGGGGATCATCCACCTTTTCTTGTTGACACCCTTCTTTTTTCTTTTTTCTCACCTTTTCAAATGCTCAAGCGCAGTTTATCTCCTGGTATGTTAAAGACGACTTTTTTAATTCATGATTGGCTTAAAAAGGCTTTGTAGATACCACTGGTGTTGACAGTGTCAAAGCACCACGACATAAAGAGCCTATTGTTCTCGCTGCTGCTGATGGTGGCGGTACCGACATGTCTACAGGATCACCATCAGAACCGATGGATGAGTCGTCTTTATTAGGCTCGCCTTCTCTTTCAAGGGCATCATCCCAAAGTACGTATGCTTAATGTAGGCAACTACGCAACACGCCTTGTGTTACAAACATCTGATGCATGCCAACAATAGGCCTTGACGAAAGCGACTACGATAGCTATCATTCAGCAAAAAGTATTTCGGATATCGAGAGCGAGTATACGGAGTATGTATATACAACATTGGGATTGATTCCATGAATTAATATTTGGAATGGTACCAGCGATGCAGATGATGATGACCAAGAGGATGTAGAACTTGACATGTCCTATCAAAGGTAAGTAACTTTTTTACTTTGCATGGCAACACGTGTTGATATGGATACCTATATAGGGTTTCGATCAAGATACCCCCTTTGCGTCACGATGAAGGGTAAGTAAGATACACACAACATGTTTATGCCGATGTTGTAGTAATCATCTTTGAATCAAGCAATCAAAACAATCGAACCTTCGTCTATGGAGTGGAGGACATGGATGGTGGATTCGGGGATGGTTTAAGGGACTATATTCTGCTTGTGGATGCTTATCCCTCCGTGTCGAGGCATGATGGGGTATTCAAGCGTATTTGCAAACAGGTATTTAAAGTACCTGAAAATCAACCAATACATGTCACGCATGGTGTGCACGATAAGGTATGTGAGTGATGGAGGAAAAGGGAGCATGACTTGACGTCTTTTTATAAAGTATGTCAGGGCCACTTCAAACTACCGAGCCAAGCTATCGCAGATCTTCAAAGCCGTGATGAAGACCTACACCTTTGATACTGTGTCCCTTCCAGAAAAATGCAAAAATAATCGAAAAAGGCAATTCAAGTACATGATGGATGCCATGAGGTATGCATTCATTCATGCAGCCAACGCACTCAAGCATGTATTAACGCAACCCAGATTTGCCCGCAAGGATTACTTGTCATCGGGAGCGATCTTACAGAGCGCTGCTTTGGGGGATGTCATCGCCAAGGTCTTTTATCATGGGCGAAAAGGGATACAACTGTCCTTGAAGGATTCCGATGACCAGGTGCCCCGCCCTGTCATTGCCTTTGCATTTCTTCTCGTAAGTGTGTGTCAATGCACAGTGTTACCTTTGTCATAACAAAAGGGATTAATTACGCTCAAGTTGGTGGAACCGGTAGACGCCGACATGAGCTCCTTACCCATGGCGACATGGCCGACATTAAGAACATTGCATCTTTATGGTGCAAGGAAGGATATTACATGCGATGAGATAATCGGGATCTGGAAGCGTTTTCCATCACTCAAGGAGCTTGAACTTACGTCATGCATCGATCTGCAATCAACACGTTTTGTTTCAGAATTTTGCCCATCCATGAAAAGTCTCAATATTAGGATGTACGTAATGGGTCTTAAACTTACATACACGGATGATGAAGAAAACAACAACGAAGTGCAGGGGGTGACCAAGCTTGACATTGACACAAACGACATACCGGACGAGATAGTGAAAGATATCAGCTCCATCATAAAACAGCACCACCACACGCTTGAACACCTCGTATGGAAAACGGATACGACCCATGATACAGAGTATGTTGGGCTTTTTCAGTACCCTCGTCTTAGGAAACTTGGACTCATTTCATCCGGATGGCAGATACCACGCAATGCACCCTTATTAGAAGAATTGATGTTGACATCGAGAATCATCAGCACACAGCCCCAGGTCCTTGATATGATCCCACCACACTTGAACAAGCTTGAATTGAAGCTCGAAGGCCCACTACAACCTGTTGCCAAATCATCCATCGAGCGATATCTCACTCGTATGTCTCTACAATGTCAGCTTAAAGAACTTGTGGTGCGTTTCAACAGCGAGGACGACTTTACCAGTATCATGGACGCTATCTTTCGCCACGGTCAACTTGAATGTCTAAAGATCAGTTTTACATACGCATGGGATTCCGATCAGATGGAACGCTTCTTTCATAGCCTTGTCAAAGGATGTCCTCGTTTATCCCGCCTTGAGCTCAAATGCAGCAATGCACCATCGACCTACTCTATAACTACCCTGAAAGGACTTGCACACTTAAACATGTTTGCTTTCTCAATCTATGGATCGGATGGTATTGATGGATTTTGGGATGCGCTTCGAAGCTTTTCTCAGCTCAGGTGTCTTAGGATCTACCCTAATGCTGCAATCTATAAAACCAACATTGCGTATCTCAAGGAGCAAAGACCGGACATGAAGATCATCAATCACCCATTTGACACCACTTTTGAGCCATCATTTTAAATCAGTTTTTAAATCATCGTTTCTCATAATGGCCCTTATAAGCTGTAACGTAGACCACAATAAAGATCTCCAACATTCTTGTACATGTACATACCTAAAATCCTGCAATATGATAACATGATCAATGGTATTTACAAACACTTTTATTTACCATGATTGGCACACCACATACAACCTTGTTCAACGACGTTGATATGAACCGCCCAATTTCTAGTTTCATTCTGTATGTAACATTGCTCATCAAGATGATAAAGGAGGATGCCATACGTTCCCAATCCAAAGGGGCTACATCCTGTACATGCGATTAGCATGATAGATCATGTGCCTGCTGTCGTGTTGCATACACAACCATGGGTCATGGTTCAACCTTGCATGGATTACTTCTTGCTATCATAAATTCATACATACGCCTGCCAACGAGGGGTGATGACACCACCATCATAATCCTTGACGTTCGCTGTGTTCTGTTAAGAGCATTCAGATACCACCGGCAGCTAATAGTGATCAATTCCCAATCTGTGCCAGGATGATTCTGTAAACATGGGGTATCAGAGGATGATAAATTGGGATTCACGTTGTTTGCATTTATCGAATGCACAATCCCAAGCGTTCATAAGCAACTTCGTATGCTAGTTGTTTACAATGTCATCGAGCATGCAAGTGATCCCCACTATAACCCAAGATGCAATATAAATCTTTTATTTTAGTTCATGCATGATGACGTCTGTGGTTGCACAGAAAGTGATGATCGCTATGGAAAAGACTTTTATTCCCTATCATGGTATTACGTGTAGTAGCTTTTTAAAGGGCTCGTATTAATAGCCATTCCTGCCTTTAAGCATCTAGGTGTTTCAATCCATTCGAGCGATGTGGCTAAAGTCGTTGTAGTGGAAGGATAGAATAACAAAGATGATGCTGCATTGATGATATTTCAGGCCATTGGTGGGAAGAACGCATATAATAATAATGCTATATACCTCTTTTAGTGCCACCGTTAAGCTCAAAGCAGATAGCATGATAGAAGGTGACGAATAATGAATCCTCAAGCTTTACGACATCATTTCCGCCATCATCCATTACCAGTAATCCTGTTCTGCCCTTTACAGCTTTACCTTGACCATTTTTATTTCCATGAATCAAAAACTACCCTACTATAGCTAGAGAAGTGAAATTCCCATTACCCACTAAGACCACAACTCCAAGAGTCCTTACCATATCCATCCTACTTCACCCAGGTGTACTCATCGGTCCCGAGATCGCGTAAATAAGCGTACAAAGTCTGATCGGCTTTGAGCAACTATATCCAAAATATCCACTACCCAAACTTACCTCATTATCCCAAGGGCCACCATCACCGCATAGACAACTTGAGCTCTTCCAGGATACCAATAGAATCCAACATCATCGAACGCAATCCAATGACATCACCACAAGGAACAACAGAATGCCAACAGCGGGACACAACTTAAAACCAAGCTCACACATCTGGGCCTCCTTGAATAAAAGGTATTGTGGAACCTGTAATCATTCTTTGATCAGCTAGGTACTGTGCGTTATCATTTTGCCAACTACGATATGGCTAGGCGGGATTGGATATGTACCACTTGATGATGTTGATGATGATGTTGATGATGATGATGTTGATGATGATGATGTTGATGATGATGATGTTGATGATGATGATGTTGATGATGATGATGTTGATGATGATGATGTTGATGATGATGATGTTGATGTTGATGATGATGATGTTGATGATGATGATGATGATGATGTTGATGATGATGATGTTGATGATGTTGATGTTGATGATGATGTTGATGATGCTGTTGATGATGATGTTGATGTTGATGATGATGTTGATGATGCTGTTGATGATGATGACGATGATGATGATGAGTACCTCAAAGCAAATCATCAGTTATGGACCATACGAGCATTGCCTCCCATAGTAATGCACGTACCAACACCCGTAACCATGAAGTAATATATGCAAGCAAGATTGTAAGAGGCCTTGGTTTGCTGGTAACTGGACTATATCACATAGCCTTGTAGGGTACCTTTTGACGAGTAAAGCTGAACACGATTAGCACCAGCGTTGTCAGTAAGACTACATGGTGACCACTTGTTGCCATTGTTGACCACTGGAGGCGTCACTGGTAAACGTGCGCGTTGAAGCTCGGCGTTGTGCAAGAGGAAGCTGAAGCAAGTAAAAAAAGGAACAAGCCAACAAGAACAGTTGCCGTAGAGATGGCGCGTAACCAGGAGACGAATGTTGGCAGAAGACCAATCTATTGGCAGAAGACGATTGAGCAAAGTTGCCAATGTGTAAAAGAAGGCGTCGTCAAGTATACAAAAGGGCTGTCGTTGTTGGAGTAAAAGGGGGAATGAAAGCAGCGTAGTTGACTGAGAGCGCTTGAGCCAATGGATTTTATGTCTGGGGTGGGACACGGTTTAGCTCAGGCCATCCTTGTTCCACAGTCAACACAATATGACACACTCTATTTTGGGCGACCTCTGTCAACCACCCACACTTACAGCTCCCACTGAAAAATATGCACGCATTGTTGACGACTCAACCACTGAACTCCATCAACCTGTTCAATCGATCTTGTCAGCTTTAGATCGTCGCGCCAATGCATTGTCAAAGTGTGCCGACTTTAATGCAGCCCTTCGAGATGCGAACGTTATGCAACAACTCTCATCGTCTTCAGCACTCGGCTATTTACGAGAAGCGATCATTTATACGGAACAAGGAAAGCAGCTTAAGGCGATCGATGTATGCAACCATGCGCTCGATGTTGTTGATCCCATGGATACGCACTATGTCGCCTTGCGACAACTGAAAATGGATGCTGAACAAGCCAGAGTACACGCATTGACTTTATCAGCCAACTACCTCTCGACATTGTTATCACAACGCTCATTCCCCTGTTTTTTAATCAATATTTGTCGGCATCCGAACCATGCCCATATTTATATGTTTCCAATCGATGGTTTGATCTTATTATTCAATGCCTTGGTGGTTTCAATTTTTCGGTTTCTGGTTCAGGCCCGCTCAGTATGGAAAATGTTTCAGAACTCGTTCGATTTTCAAGATACGCAAGGAATTTGTACGTTCACCGGGATGGACAAGGGACATGGTTGAATGACATGCTGCGTGACAATGACTTTTCTTCGTTACGGGAACTGGAATTTGGAAGTGAGTTGAACAGCAAGCTTTTTCAGCTCCAAATGTTAATCGTTGTATACGTTAGTCATCCCTCTCGGTTACAGTGACCCTCTTGGATCGATCTTGAGGTCGGTTGGCAGCCATTTGACACATTTCCAGTCGACTATGGAGTGCGGGCTCTTGATACCAGTATCCGGCATAATATTGATTTGCCCCAATCTTGTATCACTCGATGTCCACCTATCCAATGACGCCAATTTCTGCTCCCTTCCAATGTCAACATGGCCCAATTTAAACGAATTGAGCATCTTTGCTGCTGAAGAGGATATAAGCTGCGAGCAGGTCATCGGCATTTGGAAGCGCTTCCCATCACTCAAAAAGCTTTCCCTTCACCCATGTTCGGATATCGAATCGGCACTTGTTGTTACAGATCACTTTCCTTCCATGAGACGCCTTGAGCTTGAGATCGACGATGTGGGCATCCGGATTATCTATGAAGATGAAGGGCAACACTTTGAGGAGCTTGGCATCACCAATCTTTGTGTATCCTGCAACCAAATGTCAATCGATAATACGTATGAATGTGTCACTTCTCTATTACAAAAGCATCACAAGACTCTTGAGCAAATGGAATGGCATGTGGATCCTAGTATCAACGGGATGGATCTTCAGGACATCAAGTACCCTCGCCTTACAACGCTTATTCTCTTCACTTCTGGATGGTGGATCCCACGCAATGCACCGCTGCTGGAACAGCTGCAAATAGAACCGAGCATCATCAAATACAACCCTGAAGTGATTCGTACAATACCACCCAATTTGAAGAGGCTATCTTTTGAATTTCCACGCAATATCGGATCATCCATCAAACAATCTCCCTGTCGCCTTGGTCAACTTCCTCAATTACGGCAACTTGACATGAACCTATCACTCCCGCAGGATATCAGTCATATTTTTGATGGAAGCTTTTGCCTTGATCAGTTGCAACGTTTGAAGCTTTGGTTCAGAGATGACTTGGATTCGTATCAAATGGAGGGATTTATTGAAGGCCTTGTGAAAGGATGCCCACATTTACTTTGCCTTGAGGTCGAATGCGGCAACGCGCCACCAACATCTTTTGTGAATGCTTTGAACCCCCTTGAACATTTAAAGCAACTTGCAATCTCAATCAAGGCCGTGGATGATGATGGCAGCTTTTGGAAGGCGATTCAAAGCTTTACTCATCTACAATCGATTCGGGTCTATCCCTGTATGGCGGCTAACATGGATGACATTCGGCATCTGAAGAAGCAAAGACCTGATTTGCATATCACCCTCGACCCATATTTTACGCGTTTCTAAACGGCTCTTCGCAACTAGTCAAATCACTTCCCCCATTCACAGTTTCGTGTTTCCATTTTCATATTTATGAAGGGTATAATAAAGCTCTACAATCATCCCCACTGCCAACATGTTGTATGCTACATGTGATTGTTACTATGGGTAATTCACGCATGCAATGAAAGGACATTGAAATGATGACGATATGGAATGTTTGTAATTAATACATGTAGCGTGTGCTTTTAAAACATCTGACCTCAATAAAACTTTGACCTTTGGAATTGCGTCAATCATACTCAACAGGTCGATGCCGCTGGACGCTTTAAGGCACATGATGATATGGATGATAAATCACGTGGAAGAGACAAGCTGAATATGCAGTGGATAAAAAAGTGGGCGTAGCTTTCAAGCGAGTCATAATGATCGCTTGTGCTATCCTTGACACCTTCAACTTCTCTCAAACGGCTTTGTTGACATGACTGGTTAAGGCATTTCTGCTTGGCAAGGCGACCATATCCCTGTCCCACCAAATACTATTTATAGGCTAAATCCTCCGAGTCAACAAGGGCTGCTTTTATTCCCCTTCATTCCAACAACGACGACAACCCGCGCTCCTTTCTTTACTTTACCGCCCTCTCTTTTTATTCCTTGTCGACATTCATCGCTCGCCGTCTACCAACAGTATGCTGTTCAGCTAACATTCGTCTCTGGGTTACGCGTCATCACCTCACTTGGTCGCGTCTTCGTTCTACTGGTTACGACCACTTTTGCACCACCCTAAACACAACTTGCCCTTTGACAATACTATCTTTACCGAAGAACGATCGCCAACCACGAGCATTGCTTCAACTTGTTCAACATTGGGCCAACCTTGGAATCTTCACTAGTTGCAGCGTACCCACCATGGCTATGGGCATATGCACACCCTGGCAATGAACCAAGGAATTTGCTGGTCTTGCGAAGATACGGTTTGGAAGGGCCATAGGCATTGGTACACATAGTGGTATGGAGACAGGATTGACAGTGTCCAAAGGGAGGGGCTTGCTTGGTTACACGCTACTAATCATCATCATCATCATCATCTTCAAAAGAACAAGTAGTTCCCCAAGCAGCAAGCTCCATGTATGCCATTGGATTGGATTGCACGTATATGTTTCATCACGTCGATCTTCAGAGGAGCCTTTCAAGCAACACGACACCTACCCTCAAGCTTTGTTTACCTCTTGACTTGCCGATTCTTTTTGGATGATGGGATGGTTTCGCAAAAGAGTGCTGGTTATCGTATTACAAGCTGTGATCGTCCTTTTGGTTTATGAGTTAGGTTTGGATGATGGCTTATTGAACTTGTTTATCGTTGATCGTCCAACTGTGTCCAACAAGGCTATGGAAGATAAACGTGCTGGCAGCAAACCGAAGCGCTTTACAAACTTGTGTTCATGCAGGCTACTGGCAATGGTAGGTGGGATTAATGTGCGAAAAGGTGGTGTATGATCCAAACACGTGTTTACTTTATCCTTGAATGTATATGCTTCAGTATCCGAATTATCAAAGATCACCAGCTTCACCACATCTATTACCCATGTCCTTTGACGCGATCCATGTGCAATGTCTTTATGTGTCTACTTCAACGGTGCTCTGATGTTCTCATCATCTTACAGGCAACGTCGGATTTGGTATGCAGGACGTGGAGGGTATTTGTATTTGTGATTATGGCTTTGACGTTCGAGAAGGTCTGGATGATGGAAGTTCATGATTATTCACGGAGGTTTGGATTTGATATCTCTATTCAAGCAAGCTGGGCGGACTACACTCGTTGCATAAAGGTAGGATCGATATTTGGCAACAGCTCTTGGGTTTAGGATACAAGTGGATGATAGGGATTGTGGTTTCGTAGCATGGTTAGTGTAGCCTTTTTCTTTTGTTCTTTGGGAATAAAGCGGGTCAACGTATAATTGATAAGGATATAACTGGATTACTGGCATTGGTCTGTGAGGGACATGATGGATCTCATAGCTGTATACTTTTGACAACGTTTACCGTACATCCCCTGTACATAAAAAGAATACTCATTTTTCCACGTTTTCTTGTCGACACATGTCGTTTCATGCAACACCCCTTTATCATCCTTGTGATTATGCCTTGAACCATCATCCAATGGGTTTAACCAGCATACGATATCCAACCTCCGGTCATGTTTGAATAGCCATCCGCTAATAAAAGCCCTCCACTGTCAGATACAGCTGGCAACATCTTGTATACGTTGCTGATTTCCAACCTCCATAGGCTTATTGCTAATCCTTGCAATAAAGATCTTTATGCTTGCCTTGATACAGCTGATATCTTACAAGTCGACCATGAACGTTAATGAAGCACTGTATCCAGTGGGGTTATAGGTATAAATAGGTCAACCACCTTCTCAATAAAAACTCCAACTTTCGAGATGCTATCGGTCGTGGTAGCGTAAAGATGAGTCCCACGCGTATAGAGTCGACGAATCATGGCTTAAATTTGGTGTAACAAAGATCGGATGCATGTGATGCATGGTGAACGCGTCCCAATGTTATCCTTGCCCATCATCAACGGTGCAGCTTTTATTCGTGTTGGAAGATGTGTAGGTATTTTCATACAATGCTCGCATGATGGATGTTCTTTACTTAAAAGTGCGCATAAAAGCAACAAGTCTTGCTTCACCATATACCCGGTGATTGTGTCACCAAGATGATGATTCATCTCTCAGGAGGTAAACCGGTAAACCCATTGTAGAAGTCATCGATCAATTCAGGATTCAAAGAACGAGTATTTTCCTAAATCATTAAATTGTATCTACATGTTCACCCTATCATGAGTGCTCATCGCTTAGACATTAATGTGCTAAAGAAAAGGTGATACAAGAATGCGTGCAGGTATCACGGATATGGATAAAGCATTCTCGTATTAACAGCACTTTCCAATAGCATTGATAGACATCATTTTTGACATCAAGGTGCTAGCTTTACTTGTTGATTATATATATGGATGGTACAAGTCTCATAGAGATGGCAGGGATGAGGATGATGATGATGATGAGTGTGGGGTGTGATACTATACATGTCCGCCTGGTGGAAAAATACACGGAGTCATCGCCTTCCACTTGCATAACATGCCACCTATTTAGACTCCTCTTGCCAACAGCGCACTTTCGCAGCACTTCCTTTTCAACAAAGACGCAAAGCTTGTTCACCATTCAACAACACCAATGACTCAATCCCCGGAATGCATGTTGTCGACTCTGAATCTAAGCACCCTGGAATTGTCAAAGCTTGCCAACTTCGATGCTGCTCTTCACGATGCCAACATTATGCAACAGACCTTGCCCTCTTCAGCACTAGGGTATATACGAGCAGCCACCATTTACAGCGAACAAGGAAAACAGCTTCAAGTCATCAATGTCTGCACAAAGGGTCTCAGCCTTGCGGATAAGAACGACGCACACTATGATACATTGCAACACGCCAAAGATGTTGCCATGCAACGACAAAATAAGCGCATTGACTTTATCAGCCAACTTCCCGTTGAGATTGTTGTTACAAGGCTCATTCCCCTGTTTATGGATGATGATCTTTTGGATTCGGGTATTCCGAATGCGTACATACATGTGTCCAATGTATGGCGCGATCGTATTCATGAATGCTTCGGTGGATTACGATTTATGGTGGTCGTCAAGGAGGATCGCAAGGAGCAAAAATGTTCACAGCTCATTCAGTTTGCTCAACACACAAAGGCATTGGTTGTTACATGGTATTCACAAGGGACATGGCTAAGTGATTTACTACGTGAAAACGACTTTTGCATGTTACGGGAGCTACGCATTAATGGTAAGCAGCATCCTTTTTTGATCATCCTTTTATTGAATGTTGCTTATTTTAGGCTATGCAAATGTGCATGATACCGGCATTCTCTCATCGTTATCGTCAATCAACAACACCTTGACGCATCTCTATATCACCCTCAACCATGTACGCAACATCCTACCAACAGCTGATATTGTGTCTGCTTGTCCCAACCTGGTTACCATGCGCATAGCCAATTCCTTCGACGCCGATTTCAGTTCTCTCCCTATGACAACATGGCCCAACATGAAGACTTTATCGATCACCCAAGCAAGGAAAAGGATCAGCAGCGATCAGGTGGTTGCAATATCGAAGCGTTTTCCATCACTCGAAAGACTCACGCTTTCCCCATGTGCTGATGGACATTCTGCGTTGGTCTTGCCACAATATTGTTCATCCATAAGAGATATTCTAATTCGGACAAATGAAGCATGTGTGCAGCTTGACTGCCATCAGGGACATTCATGCGACGAACAAGGGGTTAAGGCTATTTATATCTCCGGCTTTTTCTCGACTACGTACAGTGTTCAGGATGGCATTCGTCTACTGCAGCAGTATAACGGAGGATTGAAGCACCTAGTTTGGGATATGGGATGTGACACCAATGACGAGGCTCTTTACAATATTGAATATCCGTGCCTTTCGAAGCTCGTTCTCAAGTGCTCTGGATGGTGGATACCTCGCAATGCACCTGTACTTCAAGAATTGGAGATAATGGACACTGTAATAAGAGGAAACCCCAATGTACTTGATACAATACCACCACACCTGAAGAAACTTAAGATGCGCCTTGCACCGGGAGCTCTACCTACATACTCGACATCCATTGAACGCTACCTTCATCGCCTTGCTCAACAAACGCAATTAACGGAGCTCGTCGTTTATTTCTACAACATTGTTAATTTCGACAGTATTGCAAAGGTGCTTGATGCTATTTGTGGTTTCAGTCAGCTTGGGCATTTGATGGTTGGATTTTCAGATTCATGGGATGGCAAACAAATGGAACAATTTTTGGAACAGCTCGCCAAAGGATGTCCTCTTTTATCTTGCCTTGAGATTAGATCCAGAAATGCACCATCTGCCTCTTCGATGAACGCTTTGAAGCGACTCGAATCCCTACAGCACATGGCGTTCTCAATCAATGGCACCAATGATGATGACAAGTTCTGGAATACGATTCAAACTTTCTCCCAGCTCAAGTGCATTAGAGTTTACCCTCCTGTGGCAGTCAACAAGAACTACATTACGCGTGTAAAGCAGCAACGGCCTGATATGAAGATCGTCATCACCAAAATCTTATTAATGCACTAATCGGCGCTCAAGTAGTAGACAGCGTGGAATAGTGAGATCGATTCTGCATGGTCAATATGGGTGTTTAGCAGATCGTTGCATACTATGTAGAAATAAAGATATCGGATCTTATCAAAGTCATCATTTTTATAAAGAGTTCGGTTTCAATTAGACATGTCAACTTTGTGTGTCTTTTGAGTATCGTTACTCAACAAAGCTATTCTATTAGCGTCACAAGCTTGTAGCAAATAAAACTACTCTTTTCCTTTACCAAAATGAGGCATGTGATCTATCCTTTTCTTAAAAGGATACAATGCATTATGTAATGTGTGTGCCTTGTGCCTTGTCAAGTACTTTATTGTGGTCCAAGCTAGACCTTCCGTAACTTGCGGTTGAAGTACTATCATCCACAACCCCACCTTGACACACGATTGAACGCACACAAGTACTACCGCGTTTGCCATTTATTTATACAGCTTTCCTTATGTACAATAATACTATTATCCTCCTGTATGTGATAGAACATGGTTCATCCTCGGTGCAGGGATATTGCTTTTATACGCTGTACCTCATCTAGATGAACACACATCATTCATTCAGGTACCTCTTTAAAGGCAATAATAGTAAAGCATGTTGTCATGGAGACATTGGTTGCGATAGCGGTGTGTATGTTGCATGCATGGGATGTATCATGGGCAGCGGCTGATTTCGATGTGTTTGTGTCAAAAGGGTGCTTTGTCTACTCAGCTTCTCCTTGCTTGCTACTTCTTACCCAGACCTCACAACAAGCGCGATCGTGGTTCGACATGGGAGCCCCTCATTAGTCAACTCCATATGCGCAAGGGTGTCAATGAAGGTGAGCAACGTGCTGATAGAGTGCAAATGTAGGCTTGTCCTTGTTCGCTGTGTGTACTGATATGGTTGCCTTTTCACAGCTTTTTTGTTTCCGGAATGTCGACAATTTCAAGATTGAGGAGGAATGTGGAAAGAGATTCTGTTCAAGAAGGGCAAAGGGTGCACTGATGATGGGGTAAGCAAGGTGACTGGAAACGTGTGTCGCAAAGCGATTCATTGATGTGCTCTATAGGCGTGCTTCTTGTACTCAATAGCAGCAACCTTTATCCGCGACTGGATCACGTGCCAGCAAGGCAACAACAGAGCATGGGAGGATGTTTCGGCTTACGGTATGTACAAAGAGCAGTGGTGATGAAGGAAGGCAAGGGAGTGGATCATAGGAGGATGATTAATGAATTAAAGCAGGGTCCTCAAGAATTGCCATGATCATTGGATTTCTTCTTTCCTGGTGATGAGGATGCATTGAATGGGATGGGACCAAGCATTGGCATGCGCACTGTAACAATACAAGGCGTAATGCTGATACGTTTGCTCTTCGTGGAAGGTGCCTCAAGACCATACAGCAACGCGACGGATTACATCCATGGTATCGGATCATGGTGCTACACTGTGTGATTGGATATACTTTTTCATTGGGTCACTCTTTCCGGTATGTATTCCGGTGCTTTGGAGTTTGTTTCTCAAGTACTAAGGCATGCCTATTCATTGATTCGCTTTCGTGATCTTTATGGCGGTCGTGCTTGGGCAAGGATTTCTCAAGCTTTGCATGAACAAAGGCATCGGTACGTGCGATACATGAGGAGGGAATGCTTGCAAAGCAAACAGCGGTTACTATTTCAAGCTGCTTACTGTATCATCATCTTATTCAAGGTCCAATCCTTGTAGGACGTACACTGCATTGGTCGCTGAATCGGATTGTTTCGGCACAAGCGATCCACCAAAGAACAATGGCAAACACCATGATACCAATTAGGCATCCAAATCCTTTGTCCCGATCGTGTCTCTACATCCCTTCATGTCTTTGCCACCAATGTATTCCATAACCACTCCTCCAAATGCGGCACTTTCATTGGCGGATGACCAGGTCCATCTTATAAAAGAATATCCTTCCTTTTCAACCACTTTTATATGCAACCTCATATTTACTATCATTCAAGACGCATAAAAATAAAAGCATTGACCACGACAAAAAATGCAGCACCCATGGATAAGGCTTCCATTACAAAGCCGCAACAAGGGAAGATGATGATGGTTGTGGGGTATCAAGCACGTGATTAATGAAATGCGTGCAATAGCCAGGCAAAAGAATGAAGTCATCGCTGATCAATAAGATCTTTTACGCCTGTTCGACCTATGAAAAGTGTTACGGGTACTAGGTATTGTAGGATACAATGTTATGATAGCCGATCATGCATAGTAATTACTTGCGGCACGATAACCTGCATGGAATGCTTATATAAATGTACGAAGGATGAGATTTGGATCATGGTCCGCATGATGGTGTTTTACATGACTTTTTCATTTCTGATGCGTCAAGGTGACCATCAGATGGTGCAACTTTTGGTCCATGTATCTTTGAGCTCACCATAAATCATTGGCGTACGTGTACCAATACATTGCCTATTATCCGGTACGCTACATCTATGCCGTTGATATTGTATCTTCACTATCATTAGAGACCATCAGCTGCGAAAATCACGTCGTCGGGTATCAATGTAGGCCTTTATCCCGTATATGATGGCACAAATAGATATGGGTGTGAAGATAAAAACGGCAAGCTGCAGCTTTGTTTGGTGATCCTTTGTTGCACAAAGCATCAACCCATCGTTCTATGCTGCAGCATTGCTGACGGTACTATTCACTACGCATATACAATTACTGCGATGTTATATAAGCAACCACGAAATGGGGCGTACCCATCAATTTTCGTTGAACATGATTATATGGTATGCCAATCATGGTGTTACTAGATACCACGTAATCGGGATTTATTAATCATGTATTCATATCGAATGATAATAGGGTATACATATACAGGAACGTGGGAGATGTTTATTGTGCTCTACGATACCGCTTATAAGGGCCAGTACGAGAAAGGATGATTTAAACGCTGATGTAAGATGATGATTTAAAAGTGGCGATGGTCTCTGTCAATGATGACCTTCAAGTACGGGCATTCTTTCTTGAGATACGTAATTTTGCTTTGGTGGATTGCATAATCAGGGTAGATCCTAATACACTTGAGCTGAGAAAACGTTCGAATCGCATCCCAAAATCCGTCAAAGCCATCCGAGCCATAGACACAAAATGCAAACATGTTTAAATGTGCAAGTCCTTTCAGGGTATTCATGGAATAGATCGATGGTGCATTGTCGCATTTGAGCTCAAGGCGAGATAAAAGAGGACATGCTTTGACAAGTCTATCAAAGAACCGCTCCATTCGATAAGGATCCCATACGCGTGTAAAACTGATCTTTAGACATTCAAGTTGATCGAGGCGATAGATAGCATCCATGACACTAGTGACATTGTCCTCGCTGTGGAAACGTACCACAAGTTCTTTGAGTTGACATTGTAAAGCGACACGGCCGAGAAATCGTACGATGGATGACTTGTCAACAAGTTGCGGTGCACCTTGGAGCTTCAATTCAAGCTTGATCAAGTGTGGTGAGATCATATCAAAGACGTCAGGGTGTGTGGTGATGATTCTCGATGTCAACATCAATTCTTCCAGCAGGGGTGCATAGCGTGGTATCTGCCATCCAGACCGACAGAGAGCAAGCTTCTTAAGGCGAGGGTATTGAAGGTGCTCAATGTTCTCGGTATCCAGGCTACTATCCATACCCCATTCAAGGTGTTCAAGGGTGTTGTGGTACTTCTTTACAATGGAGCTGGTGTCCTTGCATGTCTTTCCAGATGGGTGCTTTATCGCCATGGTAATCTTTGTCACGCCATGCTGTTCGCTGCTGTTTTCTTCATCCGAGTAGACGAGCTGAATTCCCGAACTGTATACGCTAACGTCAAGGCGATTGATCCAGGGGCAATATTCTGATACAAGCAGGGTTGATTGTACATCGGTGCATGGCGAAAGTTGAAGTTTCTTGAGTGATGGAAACCGCTTCCAGATGGCGATTACCTGATCGCGGGTGATATCCTTGTGCGCAAATAAAAGCGATAGTGTTGTTAATGTCGGCCATGTCGTCATAGGCAGAGAGGTGGCATCGGCATCTGCCGGATCACGAATGTTGAGTAACTTCAAATTAGGGCAAACCATTACGATCTCGGCTAATCCTAAATCGGGTCCAGATTCCATATTGAGATTCAAATGGGTCAAGGTGCCGCTGATTGATTTCAATGTTGAGAGAAAGCGGCCAATGTGTATGGTCCAGAAGGCTTATAGATGCATGTATAAATAATGGGAGCTGATGAAAGGAAGGTAAAACTTACTTACCTTGAATGTGTATCTCTCGTAACGCGCAAAAGTCGTTATTATCAATCAAATCGCTGAGCCATGTTCCTTCGCTATATATGCCAATATGCAATGATGTGGTATAGCGAGAAAGTTCGATGACTTGGGAGTGGCCACGTTCACTGACAACGAAACTTAATTCACCAAAGCATTGGATAATACGATCACGCCATTCACGAGACACATATAGATAAGCGCACTGTTTATACAGTGGAAAGTGATCCATGAACATGGGAATGAGCGTGGTAATAACAACGTCGACTGGTAGTTGGCTGACAAAGTCAATGCGTGTGCTTTGGCGTTGCATGGCAACGTCTTTCGCTCGTTGTAGTGTATCATAGCCCATATCCTTTGTATCAACAACATCAAGTGCCTGGTTGCAGATATCGATGACTTGACGCTGTTTCCCTTGTTCGCTGTAAATGTCGGCTGCACGTATATAGCCAAGTGCTGAAGAAGGCGAGAGTTGCTGCATGGCGTTGGCATCATGAAGAGCTGACTCGAAGTTGGCAAGCTTTGTCAATGCATTGGCGCGAACATCTAAAGCTGACAAGTTCGATTGAACAGGTTCATGGAGTTCGGTCGTTGCATCGTGGACAAGTTGTACATATTTTTCAGTGGTTGTTGTAAGCGTGGGTGGGTTGCATAGGTCGCCCAAAATAGAGTGGGTCATTGTGTATTGGCTGTGGAACAAGAGCGCCGAGTGAAACAGCGTAACAACCCAAGCATAAAATACCTTGGCCGAATCAATAGCCGCTGCTATCATTCCCCCTTTTACTCCAACCACGACACCTTTGCATACCTGACAACCCTTTCTTTTACACATTGTCAACTTTACTCAATCGTCTCCTGCCATCCGATTGGTTTACAGTCAACATTCGTCTCCTGGTTACGCGTCATCTCTATGGCAACCCTATTCTTGTTGTCTTGTTCCTTTTTACTCGTTTCGGCTTTTTTCAACCACCTCAACGACTTGCACGTTTGACAATGACGACTCAACTAGCCAACAATCGGCAACAAAGTGCTTGCCAAAGATCCTGCTGTTGAGCTTACCCATGGTGACCACTCTAGAGGTACCCGAACAGGCTACGTGCTTCCAAAAACACAAGGCTTACAAACATGCACAATCGTATGGTCACAGCTACTGGTACGTTTAATATTACGGGAGACAGCGTTGGCAGGGTTTGAAAAGGGGTTTTTTGTTACAAGATGCTAATGATCATCGTCATCATCATCATCATCATCATCATCATCATCATCATCATCATCATCATCATCATCATCATCATCATCATCATCATCATCATCATGAACAGGTGCTTGTTCTGCCTTGGTACGCTTGTGGGATGTGGATGCTTCAGCAGGTAGGTAGTGGAAGGATGATTTACAAGATACAACACACCTTTTCCTCAAGCCAATCTTGTGTTATGATCCCGTTTGAACGCGTTTTCATGTCCTGGTTTCCATCATGATCTGGTACATGGCTCTTGAATGGTGTTGTTCGCTTTCATGTAATGCTGCTGCTTATACAACTGGGGCCCAAGTATGCGGGAATGGCTGGTGATCTTTTGAGTCATGAGGTATGTTTGGATGGTGGACTTTTTGGTTCGGCTTAGTGAAGGAGACGCTTTTTGGTACCATCCATTGGGACCTATACATGTTGGATGAAGTAAGGATGGATAAGGTAAGAGCTCTTGGACCTGTGATACACTGAAGGATGGTGCCTATTCTAGCACATTAGCTGTAATAGAGTAGTTTTATGATCTATGGAAATAAACATGGTTGCGATGGATAAGACAGGATCACCGGTAATGATTGATGGAGGATATTATCTACATTATGACACGTATACTGGCGTTAGGTATTACAGTGGTGTCACCAAGGGAACAACAAACACCATCTCTTCCTTGTCAAGAAGCATCTTCTCAAGCAACATGCCTTCATCTTCCCCATGTTGCTGCTAGCACATCGAAGGATAACAGTATTGCACCCGCATCGGCATTAAGGAACAACCACACAAAATCGGCATCCTTAATAAATAAGCTTCTTTCTTTACCAGATGGTATTTCTATTCGACTATTTTTAGTGTGGGAGCGGTGGTAGTCATGAAGCACTTTGGTACAAGATTGGCTGGGGGATCTTGGCAGATGACAACCATGTTCAAAATGGATACACACCATCCATCATTCACACTCATCCCTAGGTTAATCATATGACTTGTAACCACAACGACAAGGCTTTATGCTGTATTTGTGAAGCAATCTGGTTGATTCAATCCCAATAAAGACTACACTTTTTTCTTGTATTACCATCACGCTGGCTTTAACCTTGAATCTTTACGGATTTCGCTAAAGCTTAATAAATGGGTTCATTTCATATATTGTGCAAGAAAGAAAATCAATGACATCTCCAAGGTATAGAGCTATATAGTAATGTGCATGCTGATGAAGGCCTTGGGAGAGCATAAAAGGCTAGGCAGTTCTTCAAGATGATAGCTAGAAGGATTCATGGTAATGTGTGTTTATAGAAAACGAGAAAGCGGTATGTCGATTGGTAAACCGCGTCGGCCAGTAGACTTCAGCTTGAGATCAAATGCCTGCAATCGAGCAAAATGCTGCACAAGGGTCGTCATGTATTTGGGAAATCTTTTCGACACAATAACCATCTTTTTGAGTTTTGGATGCCGGGATAGTGGAAGGAGCCATTCAATATTAAAGGACAAGTAAAACGCCAATGTCAAGTTTTCAAGTGAAGGACATCGCTGCGAAAGAAGCCGTAGAAACGTTGTCAATGACTGCTCATAAACATCGTCCTCGAATGATAGCTCGAGTGATTGCAATTGCTGTAATGCTGCAATTGAAAGCATCCATCCGCCACCTAGATCCTTGAATGTTGCCATCGGGTGCATGATTCGCATGGTATTGCGATACTCATAGTCGCTGGTGATAGTGCATGTGACCTCTTGAAGTGTAGACCTCATGCCTAGTTGTACATGATGGTCAAGAAAATTAAGTGCACTTGCAGGGTTGGACCATGGTGTGCATACAAGATCAATGCTTCGCACCGGTTTACCAATCAAGGTTTCCAATATCTCCCCTTGTAGCCCTCCATTATCAACGTTGATAGATTCGAGATTTGGTGCTTGTCCAATTACGGCTCGAATAAATGCCATCGGATGGCGGCTCATACGACGATGAAGATGCAATGATTGAAGGCGTGGAAATAACACATGATCGTTTATCAATATCGGGGCAGATGATGGCCAAGCACCAACACATTCCATAGCCAATGATTTGATTGTGGTTGAATGATCCCTTAGCAATTGTGCAATGAGATTCCCTTGAGATGAAGGACCATGCAAAGATAGTAATCGTAAACCCCTTTGAAGAGAGGTTGTACACTCTGGGACCGAATGCTTCTGAATTCCTCCAAGAAACAGCTGTTGCAACATTGGGCAATATCCGAAAATCGTTTGCATGTCATGATAGCGAGGCTGAGGATACCATAATGCCAATAGACGCAAACGTGGAAAATGTTTAAAGAGTGCTGGAGAAACATGATACTTGATACTAAAGGGGTTGCGTGGATTTTCACCAGTAGGGGATGCATAGCGTAGTTCAAGGTGACGTATGCTTGGATACGTAGCAGAGAGACGTGAGCTTGTGGCTATAAAGATGGTTTCTTTGGATGCAATCTTCAATTCGACAAGTGCGGGACAATGATCAAGAAGGTGATGTAAATGCAGTGGTTCTGGCATTGCGTGGCTACTAGCACTAGAATGCGAAGGCCCAGTCGCCATGACTTGTGGAGGCATCAACAATGGTGCTCGCGTAACTACATGGCAAGAGAATGAGTGAAGATTATGTGCGCGTGAATTACATCACACTTACCTGTAAGTGTGAGATCCTTTAAGGAAGGAAGTCGTAGACGTTTTGCAAGCCACTAAAGGGCGAATGGGGTAGACGCAATGATAGTCAGTGATTTGATGTAAGGAATAAAGGCATCCACTTGCATCCAATCTTTCATTGACCACGATTCATCATTACAGTGCATCTGGATACGAATGTTACCCACTGTTGGGATGATCCGTTCATTCCATGCTTGGCACACCTCAAAGCAGGCCACTCCTTTAGGAAGAGTGCAAACGCTCCCCAAGATCTTGGGAAGAATGTAGCATACAACAATTTCCAATGGCAACTCCGTAATAAAGTCAACTCGCTTCTTGGTGTCTGATGCTGATGGACTACCACGTACAACATTGTTCACGGGAAGTAAAGAAGCCATAAAGGCCCAATGATATTGTGATCGTAAAAGTAAAAGAGTGGGAAAAAGAAGGGATCGAACTTTAGCTGTGATGGAACCCAAAATGCATCATTACCTTGCGTCATAATCTTATGATGCATGATAAATAAACCCGCCACCGAATGCTTTGTAGCGATACGCTACGCTCAACACGTATGAGCTCCCTCATAATAACGCCCTTTATTTGTGATTAAGAAACCCGATTGCTTGATCATCCCACGATGCTTCCATGTTGGCCTAATACAAATACAAATTGACCATTGTTTCCCGTATCTCCTAGTCACGTAGAATCCATCATCAGCTTCAGATGTTGGACGATATTCATATCGATCGTGGATGGTGCCACAATTTGTAAACGCTAAACCATATGACGATGCAACGACTTTATCTTATGAATCATCTTCTATATGTGTGGATGGTGTATATGGAAGCTAGCTGTTGTATTCTACTTTAAGGGTGATGATAATACAAAGAAACTTTTCGCGGGGTGCACACCAATTGGTATGATACTTCTTCCAATACATCCAAGTCCCCCGTGACAAGGTATGTAATCCACTTCACCTTGAGACTCCATCATATGGGAAAGACACCATGACAATCAACGAGGGATGAGTTGCTGTAATAGTGGAGTAACCGTAAATGCAGCCGAACGTGCAGTTGGAGTGATTCTCAATGCTCGTAGACAGGGAAACGGTCGAAGAAGGGATTCCAAGCGCATCATCATGCGGGTGTTGAGGAGCTACACCTTGATCACATTTTGGTATGCTGACGATATCCAACTTGTAAACGGATAACGTTATCAAATGGGGACATGGGTCCAATGGATGATACGGCATGTGGCGTTTCTTGCAAGCTGAAATTGGCCCATATTCACTATTGGCTTGCATAAAAGACGTGCTCCATGCATGTAGAGACACCGGCAGATGATTGGATTGAGGGGACATGGGGTCTGATCACAAATGTTAGCCTGTGCCGTGTTTACATGCCCATGACATCCCATTCCTTACCATCACCGTATGCAATGGTTTCAACGCTTGAAATTGTATGCATCCAATAAAACAAGTGCTTTGATGTAAGGTACCATCTCCAGTAGTTGATCATGTTCTCTCGTTTCCAAGGAGGCCTTCCAATTCGAAATCCCAATCCAATTGCCATTGCTATTCTTGTCGTCAGCTGCTGCATAGATCAAGGTGCTTGCCTTCAAGGCCAATTCCAAGCACTATTTCACATCCAATATCCTTGAATCAGATTCCAGGTAACCAAAGGCAATGGTAGTTCACTTACGAGATAGATGAGCCTGTTGACTACGTTGTACGATGCTTCCTTTGTTGTAAACAGGTGATGATGATGTCTGGAATCCGTTGCTGGTACACGTTGTAACGCTTTATCATACGAGATGATAGTGGAAGCATGGTGTCCTTGATCACAAAAGATCCTCCTTGCACAAAGATATCCAACGGGTGAAGTAGGTGCAATACTCACCATAACCGATGCGTCGACCATGGCGACATTCCAAGTTGACCACAATCAGCAAGGAACGCAGCTCTGGTGTCGAGTGCTGGGACAAGCTCTTCAAGGCAATTGTGTACGGTGGTTGTCAATTGATGGGAGTTGCACATTGGTTGTTGGGTTGTCGATCGAGGTGGCAACAGGAGTTGGATGCAGCATGTCAAAAAGTTTGTTGTTGTGGTGGAAGCAGAACGAGGACTCATGCAGAGAAGAAATTGGCCGCTCAAGGAAAAGGGCGCGTTTTGTAACACGGCATTTCATTGGCGGATGACCACGCCCATCCTATAGATGCATACCCTTCTTTCTCAACCACTTTTATATGTAACCCCATATTTACTATCATTCAACATGCATAAATAGTAAAAAGATTCACTCTGGTCAGAATCCCATCCTCATTGCATATGATTTACATGCTGCATGATTATGTAGCTGCTGCACTTGTTTGAGTTGAACAGCAATCCATCCCCTTGTGCTTCTGCAACATGGTGTTTATCAATGTTCATATACATACTAAATACCCTGTGAGATCAGGTTGCGGCATGTAGTTGTATTACGAATGACGATGATGATGATGATGATGATGATGATGATGATGATGATGATGATGATGATGATGATGATGATGATGATGATGATGATGATGATGATGATGATGATGATGATGATGATGATGATGATGATGGATGCGTTGTTGCAAATACGTGATCTCATCCACCATGCAATTGCTGGATGCCATGGAAACGCCTCCAGAGGAATAAAATTTGCCATCTCACTTAAGAGTGCTACGCGATAAAGCAACCTTTTATATGGGTAAAGCGATGGGATGGATATCACTGTACCTAGCTGTTTGTTTGTTACACATGCATGGGGAGAGTTTGGAAGTAACACAAGGTAGGATAACACTTGCATAACCACAAGGCATATGGTTCATTTGATAAAGGAATCTTCCCGAAAGGCGTACGTGCTTCAATAAAGAAAGGGTGATTATGATCTATTGCTTCATGCATGCGCCGGTTATCAGGGTAAAGTAATCCCACGCATGCCATATTAATTGAGACTCCCACCACGCACTTACAATACGGGATCTTTACACGTAAACCAATAGATTCTTGAAAGGCGCAAACGTTTGCAAGATTAGCATTGACAAGCTGTGTTGATTACGATGGAGCATACATTGATGATAACGTAAAAAAAAACAACCTGCATCTTTATTTGGTAGCTCATTGTTCCACAAGCCGATGTTTTTCATCCCAAGTTTTGTTAAAGAATTCAGCCCGCCACCACCTAACGTGATAACTAGTACTCGAACGCTCTACATCCGTGCTATCTATAGACCTTTATTAGCCAGCATGATAGAATTTCCACATGCAAGTATGCTGTCTTCCTCCCTTTTCTAGTAAACAATGCCAGACGCCACTAAAGCAAGTCGTTGCCATGCCGTGCTATATGATGACAACATTGTTAAGCTGCTTAGAATGAGCAGCCATGGATTGTCTACCCATGCCTACCCACTTTCATTAACCACTCATGTTCTCCTATATCATGTACCCTTTAAAATGCACACATTTTGTGCATACATGCTGAAAAAGAAAATGATCCAAGTATCACAAAGGTATATTTCATCATGGTAGAAACGTGCTATAGCACATACAAGAGATATTTTGAGAAAAAGCTAAAGTAATCCATAAGGATGTTGAAAAACGTGGGCAAGCTCAGTCGAGGGTGATCTTCAAATCAGGTCTACGCTCCTTGAGCCGGCGGATTTCATGCATGTTAGCTGCCTTGGAACCATTGATTGCAACATGCTCCAGTTGTGTTAATGCGCTGAGAGCTTCCCAAAAGCCTTGGTCCTCATCCAAAGTCTCCATCAAAATTCCAATGTGCTGCAGATTCGCAAGTTGCTTCAAGACAAGCATGGAAGCCATCGATGGCGCTTTGGTGCAGGTAAACAAAAGCTTGGCTAAATCAGGGCACGCATGGACAAGTTGGTGAAAAAAGCTTTCCATTTGGTTTGAATCCCATTCCCGATAGACAAAGATCAATGATTGAAGCTGATATAGATGACAAATGGCATCAAGGACGTTGTTAATGTTGTTCATGTTGTTGGTATCAATAGCGAGCTGTCGAAGATGAGGATGATCAACATAGCGATGGAGGTATCCTTCGATGGGCGATTTGTTGTCAAGCTGAGATCCATCACCAAGTACCAATTTCAGCTGCTTCAATTTGGGTGGTATTGTATCAAGCACTACAGGGTGCGTGTTGAATGTTGTAGATGTGATGCATAGTTCTTCTAGCATGGGTGCATTGCGAGGTATCCACCATCCAGACTCATCGAGATGTAGCTTTTTGAGGCGTGGGTATTGGATGTCGTAGATGCTTGCGTCGTCAAAGGCGGTATGTATCTCCAATTTGATACTTTCAAGTGTCTGATGATGCTGCTTGAATAGCAAACTGAGCTCGGGATCAGGTAAGAGACGATTCCATTTATCCATGCAAATCACAAGATCCGTTATCCCTGGTTCATCACATTGAGGTCCTTGATCAGAGTAGCGAAGAACAACATGAGGGAATTTACCCGTAACGTGGAGGCTTCTCATGGATGGGTAATATTGGTGGATGATCGATGTCGATTGCAGATCAGGGCATGAATCAATCGTAAGCTGTTTGAGAGATGGAAAACGCTCACACATTGCTTTTATCTCATCATAGCCAAAAACATCAACTGCATTCACAATCGCCAATGTCGTCACTTTGGGCCATGTCATCTTCGGTAGTTGGGTGAGATAGTTGTCATCGCGCTGGAGTATTGCGAGTGAAACAAGATTCGGGCAGGTCAAAAGTACTCGTAAAAATGGTGAATCGCTCCTCTTTGGCTGCTCATAGATGTCATCCGTTCGCAAATGAGTCAAAACGCCGCCGACTGAAGACAATGACAAAAAAAAGTCATCCACGAACATGATACAATGATCTTCTACAAACAAAGATAAATAAACCAACCATGAAAGAATGTAGATACAACAACTTACTCTCAATGATTAACTCTTGAAGCATGCAAAAGTCGTTACCACGCAGCAAATCACAAAGCCATGAGTCTCTGCAATAGTACGAAATACACAAAGACTTGATATGCCGAGCGAAAATGCTGATTTGCGACCACTGTTCAAGATTTTCCATTTGCCGGTGTCCAGTCCGAAAACGTAATCCGCCAAGGCATTGGATAATACACTCACGCCATTCTTTTGACACATACAAATACGGGCACGGTATCGATGAATCCAAAGGTTCACCATCCTCCATAATAATGCGAATGAGCGATGTTGACAGAATCTCATAAGGCAGTTGCTTGATTGGGTCAATGCGTATGTTCTCACGTTGCACAGCATCCTGTCGGAGTCGTTGTAGCATAGCATAATGCGTATCCTTGGTGTCAACATCACGAAGCCCATGGTCACAGATATCGATGACATGACGCTGTTTCCCTTGTTGGCTGTAAATGGTGGCTGCGTATACATAAGCAAGTGCCAAATCAGACCGGGACCCCCGTATCATATCGGCATCGCGAAAAGGAGCGTCGAGATTCACGCCGTTTGACATTGTCAAAACGCGTCGATCCAGATTTGACAGAGCTGATTCAAGGGCCTCATGTACAAGAGTTGTCGTGTCGTAAGCAGGCTTTTCATGGTCTTCGTTGTCTTCAATAGGTGCAACATGTTCGTGCGGCTTGCATAAATCCAAAATAGAGTGTGTCATTATCGCTAAGCTGGGAAAGGAGTATGGCGCCACAAGTCGGAGGCGTTCCGGGATTTAATCGTTTCAGGGTGCTCGGGGTAAACAACAGCCCCTCTATTCATTCCCAACCACAACAGCTGCTTTCTATACTTTTCGACTCACTTTAACGCTTTACTTTTACTTCTTGTCGACATTCCTTCTTCGCTGTCTGCCATCCGATTCGTGTTCAGCCAACATCAGTCTCCTGGTTACGCGTCATCTCTTGGTTCCTTGTACCTTGTTACTTGTTTCAGCTTCTTCTTTACACGACCCGAACAACTTGCCTCTTCACAGTGACCCCTCCAGTGAATAACGATCGTCGACAACGGTCACCATCTACTCAAGCTGAACATCTTTGTATTGGGCATGCTTATCTTTACTCGTCCAACGGTGCCCAACAAGGCTATGAAAGATAAAGGTACTGGCAGCAAACCAAGGCTCTTGTGTTCATGCACTTTCAGATGGCTATCGGCAATGGTAGGTGGGTTGTAGTGGACAAGAAGGTGGTGTATGATTCAAGCAGATGTTCACCTTGTCCTTGATTGTGTATGCTTTAGTATCCAGATCATCAGAGAAGGATTGCCAGCTACACGACCTCTATTGCTCAACTCCTTGGAAGTGATCCAATTCGCCATGTTTGTATGTCTCTTCATCAACAGCGCTCTGTGAAGATATTGTCTGATGCTCCTATCATCGTACAGGTAATGTGGGTGTTGGTATCCAGGATGGAGAAGGTACTTGTATTGGTGATGATGGAGGATTGGATGATGGAGGATTGGATAATGGAGGATTGGATAATGGAGGATTGGATAATGGAGGATTGGATAATGGAGGATTGGATAATGGAGGATTGGATGATGGAGCTTTTGGAGACGTTTATTCACGGAGGATTGGATTTGATATATGTATCCACACATTCTGGATGTCCTACACACGTGGAACCATGACCGGAAGGAAACTGGTAAGACCATTGGAAGTTGCGATACAAGTGGATGATGAGGATTGTGGGTTAGCTAGTGTGTTTAGTGTAGCCTTTTTCTTTTGTCCTTTGGGAATAAAGCTGGTGAGTGTATAATGCAAAGGATATAATTGGTCTACTGGTGCTGGTTGGTGAACGAGATGATGGCATCCTATAGCTGTATACTTTGCCAACCTTTACCCTGATATCATCATCTATGCACAAAAAGCAATACTCGTATGCATGCCCAGGCTTTCTTGTCGACGCGTGTCCTATCATACAACATCCCTTTATAATTTTAGTCAGTAAGCCACGAATCATCATCCACTGCACTTGCCTTGCATAAAAAAACAAATATGCAGCCATGCTTGAATGGTCATCCAATGAAAGATCTCCTCCATCAGATAAAGTTAGCGACATCACATATGCTTTGGTTTTTCCCAACCTCCATAGGTTTATCTTTAATCGTTGCAATAAAAGATCTTTATGCTTAACTTGACTAAGCCGCTATCCTGCAAGTCGACGATAAGGATCAGTGAAACGCTGTATACAATGGGTTTACAATGTAGTCAACTATCGTTGCAGTAAAAAAAAGTTCGAATTATGGAAACGCTATGGCTGTGATAGTATAAAGGTAAATCCCACGGGCAATGCCTCGACTAATAATGGCCTAAGCTTGGTGTAACTTAGATCGGATACTTGTGATACGTGATCACCACGTAGCGAGGTCATCCTTACTCATCATAAACTTCGCATCATCATTTCGTGTTACAAGTAGAGGAATTGTTTTTATACAATGAAGCCTGATAGATGTTCTCCCTTATGATTTTAGAAGGGAGTTTAAAGCGACAAGTGTTGGTTCATCATGTATTGGGACATTGTGTGACGCAGATGATGATTCATCTCTCAGGAAGAAAACTGGTAAATCCATCGTAGAGGCCGTAATACAATCCATCATGCAACATATGAATGATGATACCTTTGTGTCTCCAGGTGCACGTTGCCCCTAATGGTGCCCGTCGTTTACCTTTTAATCTGATAAAGAAAGGGTGACACAAGCATGGAGGCGTGCAACACGAAAACGGCAAATGGCTGGTGTGGCATTGAAATCATCTTGTTAACCTAATACGATATCCCCCTCGCATTCATATTACTTCCCAACATTGCTGATGAATATCATTTTCGACACCGAAGCGATTTTTTACTTATTGTTTATACACGGATGACACAGGTAGTATAGCTATGGCAGGCAAGATGATGATGATTTGTGCATGAGTGGTTCCACAATTGTCTGCCTAGTATTAAAGTATAGAGGATCCTGCTTTGGTTATCAGCATTGCACTTACATAATGTCCCACCCTTTTTGCTTCTTGTACACTCTCCCAGCACTTCCTTCACAACAAACCCACGTAGCTTGTTCACCATTCAACAACACCAATGACTCAATCCCCGGAATGCATGTTGTCGACTCTGAATCTAAGCGCCCTTGAATTGTCAAAGCTTGCCAACTTCGACGCTGCTCTTCACGATGCCAACGTTATGCAACAGACCTCGCCCTCTTCAGCAATTGGATATATACGTCCAGCCATCATTTACAGCGAACAAGGAAAACAGCTTCAAGTCATCGATGTCTGCACCAAGGGACTCAGCCTTGCTGATACCAAAGATACACACCATGCTACATTGCAACACGCCAAAGATGTTGCCATGCAACGCCAAAACAAGCGCATTGACTTTATCAGCCAACTTCCCGTTGAGATTGTCGTTACAAGGCTCATTCCCCTGTTTATACGTAATGATCTTTTGGATTCGAGCATCCCGAATGCGTACATGCATGTGTCAAAAGTATGGCGCGATCGTATTCATGGATGCTTCGGTGGATTACGATTTATGGTGGCCGTTGATGAGGATCGCAAGGAGCAAAAATGTTCACAGCTCATTCAGTTTGCTCAACACACAACGGGATTGGTTGTTGGATGGTATTCACAAGGGACATGGCTAAGTGATTTACTACGTGAAAACGACTTTTGCATGTTACGGGAGCTACGCATTAATGGTAAGCAGCATCCTTTTTTCGATCATCCTTTCATTGAACGTTGCTTATTTAGGCTATGCAAATGTGCATGATACCGGCTTTCTCTCATCATTATCGTCAATCAACAACACCTTGACGCATGTCTATATCAGCCTCAACCGTGAACGCAACATCCTACCCACAGCCGATATTGTCTCTGCTTGTCCCAATATCGAGACACTTCACATCGTCAATCCATTCGATGCTGATATGAGTTCTCTTCCTATGACAACATGGCCTAACATGAAGACTTTATCAATCACCCAAGCAAGAAAAAGTATAAGCAGCGATCAGGTGGTCGAGATAGCCCAACGTTTTCCATCACTCAAAAGACTTACGCTGTTGCCATGCAACGATACCCAATCTGCCTTGGCCTTGCCACAATATTGTTTATCAATCACAAGGCTTCACCGTTTGATCAATCATCAAAGTGTGCAGCTCACCTATTCGGATGAAGGACATCCATGCAATGAACCAGGAATCACATCTCTCTCTATCCGCGGATTCTTATGGATCCCATGCAGCGATTACCACATCATTCCTTTATTGAAGCATTATCAGAAAAGATTGATCCACCTTGAATGGGATATTGCGGTTGACATCAAAGACAACGCTATTTACAGTATTCAGTACCCTCAACTTAAAAAGCTCGTTCTCAAACGATGTGGATGGTGGATCCCACGCAACTCACCTGCGCTTGAGGAATTGGATATCACAGCCGACACAATCAGAACGAACGGCCAAGTACTTGATACTATACCACCACACTTCCAGATACTCACGCTACGACTTGATGGGGAATTGATACTTTCCGGCAAATCGTCCATTGGACGCTATATACGCCGTGTCGCTCAAGAAACGCAGCTGAAGGAGCTCGCGGTTCTTGTCAACAGCAAAAACAATATGAATTGCATTGGGGAAATGCTTGATGCTATTTGCCGCTTGAATACGCTTACACGTTTGGAAATTGGTTTTGCAAATGCTTGGGATGGATATCAAATGGAGAGGTTTCTTGACCAGCTTACCAAAGGATGTCCTCATTTATCATGCCTTGAGATCAAATGCCGCAATGCACCATCGACACAAGCAATGAACACCTTGAAACGACTCACATCCCTAAAAGAAATGGCGTTTCCAATCAATCTCATCGATGACGACGGATAGTTCTGGAATGCGATTCAAACGTTTGCACAGCTCAAGAGTATTACTATTTATCCTGCTCGTGGAGTCAACAAGAATGCTATTATGCGTCTCAATCGGCTGAGGCCTGACATGAAGATCGTTGTCAACACAAAGTATAGCATGTTCTGATCCGCGCAGACGCAGTAAACATGAGGATATTGAAATACATTGAGTATGATGCCATGGTAGTAGAATAGTACATAGAATAAAGGTACATTGCATCATCTTTATAAACACGAAAATACACGTAGACGTGCACTCTTTGCATAGGATTGTTCAATAAGCCTATTATTTTAACATCACACGTTGATAGCAAATAAAAGCAGTTGTTTGCTTCATTGAATGTGGGTCATGTCCATGTATGCATCTTCTAATAAAAGTGCCTTGTATGTTATTGAGAACATCACTTCCACGTTTGGAAAGCTACTGTAGGTCCATCTTTTATAGGATTGATGCCGCATGATGACTCGGGTTGTTCGTGTGCCGCAATGTGCGCGTTGATGAACGATGATGGATGATAGAGCTTTGGATACTACTATAAAAATGAGCTTTTCAAAATGTAAGCATACCACGAGGGAAACGTGTAATCGTATATCGGGATTTTCTTCCATCATCATGCAGCTGAAAGACATCTTGTTTCCATTTGGAGCCCAGGCTTGAAATCACCGCCATCTTCTTCCCGCTGCAACCAAGCTTTTCCTTTCCCGCACTTGACCGATTCGCGCCCATGTCAACACAACCCAAAGCCAGCAATTGCATTCACAACAAAACAACCTTTGACGCTATGCGAAAGAACCACAATGTGCAGCAAATTATGTTTGGACGCAATGGAGCTCTTGAAAAGTTGCCTTTGCTCGATCGTTCTCTGGACTTGCTCCTTCCCCATTGCTCTCCATGTGGTGAATGCTGACAGTCCGAACACCCTTTTACGCGTCACCTCATATAGGTGTAGCTATAGGCAACAGCAAGGTATTACAAGAGTGAGGATTTTAGTGATTACATGGTATACTTACAGAATCATCTTTTTCCTTCATCAGCCTTATCCAACGTTGTCTCTTCTTCTCCCTTTTATCTCTCGGTCTGGTTCTTGCAAGCGATACTATAGAAGAAACAGCCCAAGACCGCATAGCTCAGATGGTTAAAAAGGATGCCCATGGCGATTGCCCATGTTTGTTTACGACGACTCGTTATCTTCTACAATACATATTCCTTTTCACGAGAGGAGCTCATGTTTGGATGTATGGATAGTTGGTATGGATTGGGGTTTCATGGATACTGGTGCATGTGATCGATGGAAGTATGGATTTCATGGTTCTTTGCATCTTTCTGGTGATAGACTGGGGGAGGATAGTAGCGGTATGTCTGCTGTTTTGGATGGTGATGAAGGTGATAGTTGCCTGGGAAGATTGGGGTGGCTTCATTAAAGGTAATCAGGGAGACATTATGGCAATGGTGGTTTGGGATGCGCACAGTCTTGTAGAAAAAGGTTGACATGGCGACCAAAAAATCTTCGACCGTGTCTTATCGCATACCGCTATTACAACATGAGATGTCCCAAAAAGTATTTCATCATCACCCCCCTATGAATGTGTGCATGCCCATTCTTTTGGTAACCCATTTTATGTAATCAACCCAGTAGACTTAGGATATTGCTTTACCCATCGTACGTAGACAGCTGTCGCTCATCACACGTATTTGTTTATAAAACATGTCTTTTTCGATCACCATTATGCCCATCATCAACTTTTTGGTTATATGCCAAAGCGTTTTCTTATCCTGGCCTCTCACCATGCTTCCTTGCTGTATGTAGAAAAACCTCGACCTTGCCCATAGAACACGAAAATACCGTTGTCCCAATCATAAAGTGCTTCCTCGAATAGCCGTCCCCTGCTCGCCATGATTCATCTTTTCATTACCAGCTCACTTAAGGCCATCCAGTCACAAGTTTTTTATTTGTTGCACTAATAGTATTGTTTGTACGTAATCCCCAAATGAAGCAGGGAAGTAAGAGGGGCAAGAAATTAGGAGTGGAAAATGCTTTTTAACCACGTACCCATAGCAACCAACAACCTCCACATTTATACATTACCTACCCTACCCTATAGCTACGGTATAAAGGTTCATGAGTAAGCGGGTGTGCAGCGTGTTGTCATTCACCATAAGGGTAGGAATGGGTAACGGCCGTCTTGCTTGAAAGATCCTACCCTGAGTGTACATCTTTGGATGATGATTCATGGCTTGCTGACAAAAATTACAAAGCGATGTTGTATGTATGGCATGACAAGCGTCGACAAAGAAAGACTGGGCATACGAATATAGCTTTTTATGCATAGATGGGGGATATCAGGGTAAACGTTGTCAAATTATACAGCTATACGATACCATCATCTCCTTCATAGACCAATGCAAGTAGCCAATTGTATCCTTTCCAATTATACGTTGACCAGCTTTATTCCCAAAGAACAAAAGAAAAAGGCTACACTAAACACGCTAGCTAAACCACAATCCCCATCATCCACTTGTATCCCAACTCTAAATGCTCTTACCAGTTTCCATCCTGCCATGGTTCCACGTGTGTAGCACCTCCATATTCTGTGGATAGAGATATGAAATCCAATCCTCTGTGAATAAACATATCCAAAAGCTCTATCATCCGATCCTCCATCATCACCAATACATACACCTTCTTCGTCAAGAATACCATAACCCACACCCCTTGTAACATGATGAGAGTATAAGACAATATCCTCATAGAGCATCGTTGAAGCAGAGACGTAAAGACATTGAGCATGGATCGCGTTCCAAGAGCATGGGCAATAGATGTCGTGTAGCTGGCAATCTTTCTGTAATATTCTGGATACTGTAGCATACACATTCAAGGATACGATAAACACCTGCTTGGATCGTATATCACCTTTTCCCACCTACCATTGCCAATAGCCATGTGAAATTGCATGAACACAAGTTTGTAAAGAGTCGTGGGTTGCTGGCAGCACGTTCATGTTCCATGGCCTTGTTTGACACCTCTCGACAAGTAAAGATGAGTAAGCTCAGTACCAAGATCCTCAGCTTCAGTAAATGGTGACCCTTGTTGACGATCGTTATTCACTGGAGGGCTTATTGCGAAGTGGGAAGCTGTTTAGGTTGTCTGAAAGTGGAAGCTGAAACAAGTAGAAAAGAACAAGGAAACAGGAGATGACGCGTTGCCAAGGAGACGACTTGTAGCTGAACACGATTCTGTTGGCAGATGGCGAACGAGAAATGTCGACATGGAGTAAAAGCAGAGCTTTGGAGTGAGTCGTCAAGTATCAACACGAGCTGCTGTTGGGGAATAAAGTGAATAAAGCAACTTTGTTGAGTGGGGAACGGAGCTCCACCAGTAAATTCTATGCTGAAGGGTGGTCACTTGTGTTGCTTTCTTCTTCACTCCGTACAACCAACCATATGACTCCTTGTATCTGGACCGATTTATGCAAACAACCCACTCAGCCAGTCTCCACTGAAAAGTATGCACAGCTTGTCCACGATTCAACCATTCGACTCCATGAACCCATTCACTCCATCTTGTCAGCTTTGAATGAACGCGTCATCGGGTTGACCAAACTTGCCAACTTTGAAGCTGCCCTTCGCGATACCCAAGTTATGCAACAACTCTCACCCGCTTCACCATGTGGATATCTTTGTGAAGCCACCGTTTACAAGGAACAAGGAAAACAGCTTCAAGTGATTGACATTTGCAACAAAGGGCTCGACGTTGTTGATCCAAAGGATAACGAATACGCCACGTTACAGCAAATCAAGGCCGATGCTATGCAACGCCAAAATACACGCGTCGACTTCATCACCAAGCTACCATTCGATATTGTTACTACCATGCTTTTTCCTATGTTTGTGGATGATGATTCTCCTTTGGATGCTTCTACACCATGTCCTTATTTACACGTGTGCAACAAGTGGCGGGATTCCATTCTTCAATATTCAAATGGATTGCGTTTCGAGACTGGATACAAAGAAGAACAAGCAGATCCCCAGCAACGTTGGCAATTGGCTACATTCGCACGACACATCAAGGCATTGCACCTTCGTCGATATTCGAAGGGACCCTGGCTATCTGATTTATTGCGTGACAATGACTTTTGCTCTTTGCGGGAGTTACACATTGGTGGTAAGTGGTAATGGTGGTGATGGTGAAGAGATCCATTTCATGATGAGTTCTTATTGATCGTGTTCATCATAAAAGATTTTTGGTGGGCCAACATCGATCACTTTGTTCCGTTAATGCAATCAATCGGCAGCACATTGACGCATTTGTCTATTCATGAGGTTCAAGGAATAAATATTTTGGACACCTTCCCCTTAGCCGAGGTATTATCATCCTGCCCCAATTTGGTATCCTTTGCCATGTGCCACCCAGATGATTTCGATTTCAGGTCCCTTCCAATGGCTCCATGGTCCAATATGACGGCATTGACATTTACCTTGGCAGGAGGCGTCTTTACTCGTGACCATATCACAAGCATCTGCCAGCGTTTTCCTGCTCTCAAGAAGCTTGATCTATTTCCATGCGCAGATGTCGCATCAGTACACGTGATACCACAGTATTGTCCTTTGTTGAAAAGCGTTCAAGTTGAGATACAGCATGATGTTGTAGGCCTTTTCTACTCGGATCATAGCGTTGGACATGAAGAACTTGCGGTTACAAAGCTTTCTATATTTACAGAGGAATGGGATGACGATGGCTTGTTTGAGAGTACTTGCTTTCTCTTAAGACAGCATCGTAGAACACTTGAGGACATCCAATGGACGTGGTCGCCTGAAAGAAACCACCGAGAGCTGTACAATATCCAATACCCACGCCTGAAGAAGCTATCGATACACTCTCGTGGATGGTGGATACTACGCAATGCGCCCATGGTGGAAGAATTATCCTTGGCCTCACCATCAATCATCAACAACCCTGAAGTGTTGGATACAATACCACCCAACTTGAAAACGCTCGAATTGAGATTGGATCAGGCACCCTTACCAGTTGACGAACGCGCCATCAAAGACTATCTTGATCGTGTGTGCCAGCAGTGTCGTCTCCATGAACTCGCTATCCAATTTGACATCATCAATACCTTTTGCCATGTGCGTGATGCTATCTGTCGCTTCAATACGCTTCGATCTCTGATGATGGGTTTCCCAGAGGATTGGCATGTCCACGAAATGGAAAGATTCCTTGTTGACCTTGTGATTGCATGCCCTCATTTATCCTCCCTTGAGATCAATTGCACCAACGCACCGACCACGTATTCAATCACTGCCCTGAAACAGCTTCAACATTTAAAGCAACTTACGTTTTCGATCAAGGACACGGATGGCTATGATAGCTTTTGGCATGCGATTGAAACGTTTTCACAACTCAAACGTATCCGTATTTACCATGCGAATCACGTCAGCCATGTCCACGTGGTGCGCCTTAGGAAACAGAGACGTGACATGAAGATCATAGTGGACAACACATTCAAGCGCTTCTGAACGCCCCCTTCAAATTGTGCACCATAGCTTTATCATTTCCAGGATTGCGGGACATTTATTTGCGTAGAATAAAAGGGATTTAGTATCTGCAAACATGTCTTTAGTAGTATGTATGCATGGCAATGGCTATGGAATGGGACGCTATGCTCTTGTAAACCACCATCATATATGATCAAAGAGGATAGCTATTCCTTAGCCCAACCAATTATCATAGTGAGCTATACCAATTTACCTCTCATTACAGACATCGCATTTCCAATAAAGCCGCATACCGTTAGTCCATGTACATGCTCACAGTGAATGGATGCTGCCGAGCTCGGTTGGTATCACGAGGACCCTTGCACGGCCACTCCAGCCTGATGAAAACGGCTTTGGAGGTCTCATCCTGATTGGGATATCAATGAAAAAACAACGCAAGTCTCTGAGCAAGAAGGAAACAGCGCTTGCAAGATCCTTTTTTGACACTTAGAGCAAAGGTGAGTAACAACGTATATGCGCCCTTTATCCATGTACACCATCTTGTAATCCTTTTCATGAAAATCGGATGCATGCCTTTTTTATCTAGGTCAACGAAGATACTATCCTACTATAATTAGCAAAACGCAAACGCTATAGTGCAGTAGCACTGTATACATGACAAAACACTTCCTGTGCATAGTACGTTCGCCATCATCTCCTTCAACCTATGCATCGTAAAGCATCATCAAGGGACCTCTATTGATGAGGATTGCCAGCATGACATATTGGATGAGGATTACTTGAATGATCGATGATAAAGAGGAGAATGTGACACCATCCTGGTCATCGAACATTGAAAAGAATGGATGAGCATATGCAGCATAGATTGCGTTGGTATGTTCTCAGGAGCCATAATCACGGATCAAATGGGTTTCCCATCAATGTGCAGCTGCATACCAGGATCCACAGGTTGATGTTGCGTGCTGTAATAAAGCTGTACGGGGATAACGATCCAATAGCGACCGGGTATGATATACATATGAATCCATCATCTCATCATAGAGTTAAACGGTTATCTTCTTCCAGCTTCACGCTTCCCGTTTTTATTTTGATAGACCAAAGGACTGCACTAATACAGCTAATAACACCATGAGGTTGCTCATTCACCAATATACCAATTCTATAGGCATTATTCCTTCATCCAACATGCTTGAATCTCCAGCGTGTATGAATCCACATGTACCATACCATATCCTTCTTGAATGAGAACGTATCCAACGTATCCATCCTTCACCAAATCTGTCTCATAATGCTTGGAATGATCAACCTTTCCTTCATACTTCATGGCCAGGTGTAAATTGGCACCATACCTTGGTAAATATGGTGGCATCCAATAACGCTGCAGCAAGTAATAGCCAAGGGAAGAAGACAAAGAGGTGCATGAAAAAGACTGTTGGAGCAATAGGTATCGTGAAGCGTGGAGTCCATATTCTCGATCATGCCGCGTAAAGGTCCACATGGCTGGATGTGGTGGAAACAGTACCTCTTGTTGATGATGATGATTAGCAGCCTGAAACAAATCACCCCTCATTGAACCCTGCCCACATTCCATCTCATATAATATAGTACGTACCTATACCTGTAGCCATGGAAAATTACATTTACACAAGTCTACGAGGTCGTCTTCGCTTGTTGGCGCTATGCTTGTATTTGACGTAGGTGTTGTGTACCTTTTGACTATCTAGGCTGCACACGATTCCCACCAAAGGCTTGAGCAAGATTAGTTGGTGACCAGTGCTGACAATTGTTTTTGGCTGAAGGGGTCATTGTCAAACGTACAAGTTGCTTTGCGAGGTGTAAAAGAGGAAGCTGGAGCGAGTAAATGTAAGTCATGACCAACCAAAAGTAGTTGTGGTAGAGATGGCGCGTAACCAAGAGACGAATGCTGACTGGACACCAATTGTGTTGGCAGATGGCGAACAAGCAATGTCGACAAGGAGTAAAAGGAAAGCTTTAGAGAAGGTGGTCAAGTATAGAAAAAAGTCGTTGTTGGAATTGAGCGAATAAAGGCGTTATTGATATGGGCCCACTTTGACATGCAATTTTAAGCTGAGAGCGGGATTTGACTTGTGGTACACTTCTTCACTGCATTGAACTTCCTCCTTATCCTCAGCCAACCCTACAATGACCCACTCTATCTGGAACGACTTATGCAAGCAACCTGTTATTACAGCTTCCACTCACAAATATACAAAGCTTGTCAACGATGCAACAACACAATTGCCACAACCCATTGACTCCATCATGACAACTCTCAATGAACGCGCCATGGGGTTGACAAAATGCGCCAACTTCAATGCTGCCCTTCGCGACGCCCAAGTTATGCAACAGCTCTCGCCTTCTTCAGCACTCGGTTACTTGCGTGAAGCCGCCATTTACAATGAACAAGGAAAACGGCGTCAGGCTGTCGACATCTGCCTCAAGGGACTCAATGTTGTTGATACAAACGACCCGCACTATGCTATGCTGCAGAGAATCAAAGACGATTCAGAACATCATGGGAGCAAACGAATCGACTTTATCAAGCAACTACCAGTTGACATTGTTACCACAATCATTGTTCCACTGCTTGTGGATGACTCACCTTTACCATCATTGATACCATGCCCTTATTTGCACGTGTCCAATCTATGGCGTGATTGCATTCTTCAATGTCGCAAGGGATTACGTTTCGAGACTGGCTACCACGAAGAGGAAAAGGATATGGAAAAGTGCTCGCAATTGATCAGATTTTGTCAGCACATCAAGGCATTGCATGTACCTCGATATTCCAAAGGACGCTGGCTACAACGTTTATTACGTGACAATGACTTTCGCTCTTTGCATGAATTATACATTCACAGTAAGTGGCATCAATCTCCAATTCATGCTTGTATTAACCATACTTGATATAAGACTTTTACAGCGTCTATATTGATGACTTTGTTCCCTTATTGGAATCAATCAACAGCACATTGACCCATTTGACAATTCACGGAGCACGGCACAACCTACTTTGCTTGACCGAGATATTAACTGCCTGCCCGAATCTCGTTTCGCTTACCCTATCCCAGAACGATAATGATGACTTGAGCCACCTTCCAATGACAACATGGCCGAATATGGAGACATTATCCATTGAGTGTTCAGACGCGGATGTTACTGAGGATGAGATCATACGTCTATGCAAGTGTTTCCCGTCACTCAAAATGTTTCATCTCTATCCATGCTATGATATCAAATCCGCACTGGTGGTCCCACAATACTGCCCATTGTTGAAAAGCGTTGATCTTGAGATATATATGGTCTATGTGGCCGTGATGTACACGAATGAGAGCAGTGGATACGAGGAGATGTCGATGAGGAAGCTTTCTGTCAACATCGATGATTGGGATGAAGATGACGACTTGCAGGTGGATATCGGCACGATTATTAGACAGCATCATACAACATTGGAGGACATTGAGTGGCATATTCACCCCGAAAGAGACTATGAGGACCTCTACCACCTCCAATACCCACAGCTCAAGAAGCTGGAGTTATCCAGTTCTGGATCATGGATACTACGCAATGCGCCCATATTGGAAGAATTGAGGATGTCATCAAGAGCAATCAACAACGACCCTGCAATGCTCAATACAATACCTCCCCGTTCGAAAAAGCTTGAACTCGAATTAGATGATGGGATCGAAATTGAAGACAAGGACGACATAGTACGATACCTCCATCGCGTCTCTGATCAATGTGCACTACATGAATTTGCTATCCACGTCAACAACCCAAGCACCTTTAGGAATGTCCTTGATGCAACTTGTCGTTTGAATACGCTTCAACGTCTCATGATGGGTGTACGCGGGAATTGGGACCTATACCAGATGGAACGATCCTTTGACAGCCTTGTGAATGGATGCCCTTATCTATCGTGCCTTGAAATTGATTGCATGAACGCACCATCGACGTATTCCTTGGATACCTTGAAACGACTTGAACGCCTAAAGCAATTTGCATTTTGCATCATGGACACGAATGGATACGACAGCCTTTGGCATTCGATTCGAACCTTTTCACAGCTCCAGTGTATACAAATACACCCTGCCAATGCAGTCAACAAGTCTGTAATTCGAGATCTCAAGGAACAGAGACGTGACATGAAGGTCATTGTGGATGAAATATTCAAGCGCTTCTGAGAGTTATTTTCAAGTCATGGATTATAAGCGATAGCCTCATCTTTATCATTTTATCATTGTTCATGATGAATAAACAAAGGACATGGTACCTGTCAGGATGTTGTAGTTCACATGTGTGGAAGACAAGCAGCAGTCAATGATGTACATTAGACTCAAGGACCACTATTATCCTATGTTCAACAAAGATACCCCGTTGGCTCGCTCCTAGTCAACCCTCTGTAGCCAATGGTTACGATCATTCAAGCAGTATAAAGAATAAAGACATTGGGTTTTGTACAAATCCAAATTTCTTGTATTAGTCTTCCATCACAAACCTCGAGCATGGGTGATGATGATAATTGCAGTAAATAAAGCGCGTGATCCCATCAAACGTATAATAGCTGCACCAGACATAAACCATCTTTCTTTCTTGCAATGCTTGCTTCACCTAAAATGATTCAAATCATACGTTTCATATACTTGCAGTCATATTACAATGGCCCTCATGGAGAACTATCATGCATCATTTGTTTGATGCGTATTCTTTTTTCATCATTGTCATGATCACTGTAAGTATGCATAGGGAACAGGACTGTGGCGAAGAGGTTGAACATGTGCTGTGGAGTAAAGCAAGCACGACGACATGAAAGGTGTAGAGCAAACGGCTTATGGGGTTCTATCGTTCAATGGTAGTAACCTTTATCAAGGTACAGCATCACTTGCCGTCATGGCAACGAGAGAGGAAAGCCGGAATTTTGACTTTCAGCGGCACACACATACAATGTTACAACAAGGCACAGATTATGGGGTTATGTTATGCATTGAGAATGGATCAAGCAAAATAGGATGACCAACAAACACTCCCTTGTATTTATATGCCTTAGCTGCCAGATGAAATAGGTGCACACGCGGTGAACGGTGGTTGGCAAGGCAACATACGGGCAAGCACGACATGGACCAAAAGCATGACAACACAAAGGCGGTTTGCTTTATAATCAATCAAGCGTGGATATTGTCAACACACCCAGCAATTATACGTGTACAGGTGATTGAAAACTTATTTCCAAGGCGTGTATACCATTCATTCTGGTACTAGCTGTAATGCAAGAGCGCAAACCATTATACAATGGCTCTTTATACATTGTACACGTGCGTGGTGGATCACACGACCATACGAGGCCTCATGCCCCATTCGTATTACTCATTTCAGGATATCATATGCCATTTTACGCCACCTTCAATAACTGTATCCAAGAGGATTATTTCTCACGCTGGAAATGAAAAAGCAACAACCAGGTTTCAAAGGCGATCAAAGCTATTGCCGAGGAGAAACGAATTATGGTATCACCAAGGGGCAACTGGATGACGGATTCTAAAACACCAGTTGATGCTGCGAAGGCCGATCAGGAATGCATATGGATACCGATACCATTATCAGGCGTTATTCTCACTCAAGGCAAAGAATTTACCATCCGCTACTTATGGTACCGCACATGAAGCGTATGATGATCGTCACGTGTGTCTTGGGTACAGTATGCCAAGGGTGCAAGCATAAAATGTGTCATCAGGGTGATGGCTTTAAGCATGCTACAAGGGTGAAGGCTTGCTTATCAAGAATGATGATGACTCCATCCTCAATTGTGGTCTTTACGAGTTTGGTGGTTTATTAAATCCAAGCAAGTCTGCTGTCCCTGGGGACATGCATGCCGTATGCCATTGTTTCAACGTTATAACGTTGTTGTCACCTGGAATACAACCCTTGCGATTGAGCGAGTCGCGCCTTTATATTCTCCTTACGCTGACAGAGCGACGCTACCGTAAACGTACTTTTCCCCCAACGCTAGCCCTAACCCCAGCCCTATCCCACCTATGAACCCCGACCTCTTCAAACTTTTTTTGGGTTGGCATCGACAAACGCGAAATTTGCGATTGCTCATGATGACCGTGAAACGTGCACACAAGATACCTTTGACCATGCTGAGCATGGGTGTTCTAATAAAGACCCCCGCATTTCATTGTGAGGTTTTGAGTAACGACCCGCTTTATGGTTTTTACTATGCTTGAAACATGATCTTAAATAACAAGTGATCTTTAATGATTGTCAAACGTCTCGCACAAGGGCTGAACATGAAGATGGAAACATTTGTATTCAAAGATTGCTATGGGCAGAGCACTTAGCTCCTATCTATTTTGGATTGTTGACGGAAAGAATGGATGTCCAAGAAGGATGCCGTAGCAAATACAAGCGAAAAAGAGAACCTGTATCGACGATGCTGTAACCAAGAGTCAAATCATGGTAGCGAACCGAGGTCTCAATTTTGGATCACTGATAAAGAGCCTAAGACATACAACCCAAGAGAGCTGCCATTAGCAACCATACGCGAGCATCTCCCCTCAAAGAGCTTTTGTGGAACATGTACATACCATCCTGATTCAATCCCCATGTAATCGCTCACAGCGGTATCTCTTCTCCCATATCCATATGGAAAGCTTCAAGGAAATCTTGTACGGTCAACATTGCCATGGTTGCTGCATCTTGACGGGCCATCAAAGTATATCCATACCATGTACTGCATCTCTTGATGTCCATGTATCCTTTCATCTTCTTGCACGGCTATGACCTCACGTGATTGGTACGCCCGAATAAAAGTTGCTGGTGCTAGTTCCAATAGCCTCGTCAATGAACGGTGTCCATGCCAACCAATGCCTTGCTACAAACCTTGCACCTTCGCTTTAGCTTCCTACTTCAACAGAGCACTCGTTGCCGTTCTTGAGCAGAATCTCGTTCCACATTCCTCCTCAATCTTGAAATTGTCGACATTCCTGAACCACGACAGCTGTGTCAAGACACCCATATCAGTATACAAAGCCAACAAAGGCAAGTCTACATTTACACTCTATTAACACGTTGCTCACCATTATGGGCACCCTCTACCCGACAACCGTTGCTAATGAGCTTTTCCCAATGTCGAATTACGATCGTGTTGTTGTCGAGTCTGGATGGAACCAAGCAAAGAGAAGCTGAGTACATGGCGCACGCATACCCTTTTGATGCACACAAATGAAAATGACCCATCTCCATGCACCTGTCCTCAAACAGCACCACCCAACAACCTCTCACATAGCTGCTTCCATAACAACCCACATAATTACTATCACTATGTGTCGATCAATGATTGTTTATTTATATATATAAAAGCTACAACATACAAAAGAGAAGACTATGTGACTATAGACCTTGAATTATTTATATAAAAAGATGACCATAATAGATGCGTTTGTATATAAGGATAGCTAAGGTAGGTATTTGATGCAAGGCAATTGGTGCATCGAATCTGTTGTTGTGATGATAATTGGAACTCAAGATGATGTCTGGCGGAATTTTGGTTGGTAGGCTAGAAGCATGTACCCTATTCGGGATGACAATCATGGCGAGATGGGTTCCTACAAGAGATTCAAATATTCCTGGTGCACATTCTGGGCCATCAGCGGCTGCTTGCTAGACTACATATCGCAAAGACTAGGTTGACGATTCCTCCCTCCATTACATTAGCTGTGACGTGTCTTGATTAAAGATAGTTAAAGATACACTAATCGCAGTTACCATTTTTCAGCATGCTTAATCATAGTAGCTTGAAGTTGTCTTTATACGTTTCTCTATATAAAATGATTCATAAACATGTGGTTGCAATGGGGTCAGCGTGAAGGCGACATTGGCCATTGTAAACGTGTGAATGTTGTAGTTCGAACCTGCCACTAAAGAACGAGTGGGCTTTTTATTGGCTTTGCTTTTCATTTTGGTGGTGGTGTATTGTAGCGTGCATGACAACTTTCAGTAGCCATTGAGGCATCACGCATATGCCACACAGCCATCTCACTCATGGATACGATGCACGCACATGTATAATATCAATCATGTTGGGTAGTTTATTTACGTGTGTAGATAGAGTCATTGATGCGTGAATTGCAAGGTAGTCATGGGGCATATTTAATCAACAAGTAAATGACCTATTGCTGTTTGAATGGCATAAGGGAGATCATCGGTTGGAACATCGAGAGATATCAAGGACGGGCAATCTAAAAGGTCCATGAGACATTCCCCCCAATCATTTGGGCTATTTAAGGTGAGAGATGCGAGATGGGCGCACATACGGAAGGTGTGGATGATATCATGTGGCAATTCGTGATCACAATGGAGTCCGAGTTCTTCCAAGAAATGACATCCCACAAAGATTTTCTCCATAATAGCAACGAACTCTTGTCCCATGATAGCATCACCAAGCTGTAGATCAATGACCTCCAATGTGGGCAAACGCGATACGACACTGAGTGCATGTAAACCATGATCCCCATTGAAATTGATTGTGATGGTATGCAAGGAAGACTCGAGACCCAAAGAGGTATGATGCTCTAGAACACGAATCAAGCTTGGTGATGGCAATACAAAGTCCAGAGAATCGAGAGAGCGTATATCCTTCATCGATGCATAAACGTGAGGATCATCAACATTGTAACGAGCCACCACTACTGCTTCCACGTTTGGTGCATGCTTGAGTAACCATTGTAGAAAATCCTTCCCTTGTTGACCGGCACCGAGTCTGAAGACAATATTCCGGAGCCGTGCAAATCGTACATTAGGATCCAAATTCAAGATGTTGCCTTGAGACGCTGTTTCCCCAAACAGTGACAAGTTCACCAAAGTATCCGAATTTGCGGTCAATACAGCAGCCAAGTCCTGTGTCTGGAAACCATGTAGAGCCTCAATCGTCAAGCTATGAAGCCCTGCGTCGTTGATAACCATGATGTCGTTGCATATTGTGTCAGCATCCTCTCCCATACTGTATGTAAGCGTACGAAGAGAGGGGCAATATTGGTGAATGATGCTGAGTGGACGTGAGCTTTGGCAGCGTGGTAGCTTCAAATAGCGTAACGCTGGTAGTTGTTTCAGCAATGCGAGGATCTCGTTTTCTTCAAGAGGTTGCCGAACGGACTGGATCAAGAGACTTTTGAGATTGGAATACGTGTTGCGTAAAGGTGAAAGGTCGACATTGCCACTTGAGAATAGCTCGATGTATGGAAAACGATCCAGGATGCCATCCAATCGAATCCATTGGCCTTGAATACGCTGGTGGAACCACAAGTGAAGCTCTTTCAAAGTAGGCCCCATCGATTGAAACAGTGCAAGCAATACTGGCATACAACGGTTCGAGTCCACTACCAATCCCGTGTCATTATCGGTCTATGCATCGCATCGTGTATATACTTACAGGTAATATCTAGCGATCGCAAAGTGCTAAAATATGTACCAGGCTGCATACCAAGCGGGTAGAATACAGGGCACAGTAATTCCAAATGTTGAATGGATGGAGCGTATGCGTGAAGTAGATGCATGGCATGAGATGTTAACACTCTCGGGCGGATCCATTGAAGTTGAGCGGTTTGTAATACTCGTTGCCGCCATGTTGTGCATACGTGCAAATAGGAGAGATCACCAATGGTTAAAATCATCAAGGTACGTGGTAGGATGAATGAGAGCAACTCAAAAGGAAGATTGCTGACAAAGTCGATTCGCTTCAAGAGCTGTTGGGCGTTGTGTCTTCGGCATTCATCTATCTCTTTCCATTTCATCGCGTCATCTTCCGCTCGTAAAGCGTCATTATAGTATTGCAAAGCTGTTTCGTGCTGCCCAAAGAGCGTATGAATCCACCCAGCGAGAGAATGACCAATTGATGATGATGGTGGTGCGAGTCGAATGATTTCAGATGCATCACGTAACGCCAACTCTGATTGAGCACACCATGCCAACGCTTTTGCTCGTTTTTCAAGTGCATCGATATCCTCACAATCTGATTGAATGAATTGAATTGTGGCTTCCGAGATGATGGTGTTGGAATCATTGTGCTGTACAGCAATCTTGGGAATATCGGTTATCGATGACGAGGACATTGTGTGTTTTGCGGGGAAGTGAAAAGAAGCGGAAAGAGAGGGAGGGAAATAAAAATGAGGAAGGAAGTTGTATGTATAAGCAAGCATAGAACACAGCACCCATCAGTCCCATTGCATGCGTACATGGCCATAGCTACAAAACAATCTCATATCTTTATTAGCCATTGCATCCATTTGTATACTGCCACTCTAAAGCATACCTTTAAGTAAGAGGTTGCATCTTGTCCTGGTATAATGAGCCATTTCGTTACGCAAAGGTGTTGGTCTTTTGTCCTCTCACTTTGTGCTTTGTCGTTGCTCTTCACCACAATTCAATTCAACAGCACTCGCCGCCACCACCATTGAGCATTTATGATAGAAAGGGATACGTGGGAGGAAATGATAGGCGACAACATTTATCCTGTTCATATGTAGACGATAGGTGTGGGTATTTTCGGGTTCGAAAAAGGAGGAAGGGAATAAGAAATGGTGATGAGCTGGTAAACTGGTGTCTGGCACGCCTTCACAATGTGCCTTTGTATGATTGATTGTGCACGCATGGAATCAGGGTCCAAGATAAAGGGGCTGGGAATATCCATCATTGAACAATCCCATCACTCAAATCCCTTGCTGTGTCATGGTCGATGTTGTGAGAGTGGTTGTTCAAGGAAGAAAAGCTCGAAGAGGTTGGCAAAGGTAGTTGGTAGACTGGTAAACGTTCCTTATCAGAAGAGACCCCATCATCCAAATCCAGACGCAGGCATGGCCTTGTGGTCGCAATCATCATATACTTGTGAGCCATAAAGGGATATTGTGTGCACACTCGAACAAAATGAATGACAATTTGATGAAGATTTGGGATGTGCATGTCAAGCTTGACAGAGTGGTGATATTGAATGCTTGAATAATGGAAGCACCCCAATGCTGTTGTCTCCTCCAACAGGCCCACTACCAAAGTCAATGATCAACATGTATTCCTTTATCCCACCAATGTCATCCTTATCCAAGATCATGTCTTACCTACTTCCTCATTCACGACACCCAAGCATCTACAACGTTACTGTTGATGCTCTTTGGAATAGGGCTCAGCTTGCTCACGTGAAAACAGGCATGGTCTTGCTCACTAGAAAGAAAATACCCTTGTTAGGCTCAACATCATCATCATCACCTTTCCCAATGCACTCACCCCTTACAATGATTCAATACGTTGAAGCTTCCATCCTCAGATTCGTAGGGTGTATCCCAATATGACAGAATAAGTGGGCACCTTGGTAACTGGAATCTCATTGCGGACCAAGTTGATGACTCATTTCGGAAAACTTTTTGTTTGCAATGGAGACATAGATGGAGACGAGTGATTAGTACACAGGGTGTGTGTGTATACTTCTTTGTATTTACCTAACGTGTCTATGCGGCAATAGCCAAAGTGCAGGAGCAGCAGTGATAGCGGTGGTTGACTGGAGTCAAGAAAAGGGCGCATGGCGGGGTCTGGTCAATGATTAATGCACCCAAAATAGTTACACGTGACACTCTCCCACATATCCACTACCACAAGGATAGTAAAAGGTCACCAATAAAGAAGCCCATTTTCCATGCTAGATCTGTTGTATACACTTGCACATGTATGGATTATGGACCCTGGGATCACTTAATGTCACCCTCATGGACGATGATGATAGACGTGTTGCAGTTGTCCAAAAATAAATCTCCTTCCATCATCATGCAGCTCCTCCTTGTTTCCATTTTAAGCCCAAAGACAAAGTCGGTGAATTATTCACCACCTTCCTTTCTCCCACTTGCCACAATCCCGTTCCCATGCCAACGGAACTCAAAAGCAGCAATTGTCTCTACACTACAAATCGTCTTCAACGCTATGCCTGAGAACGCCTTTGTACTGCAAGCTATGTTTGGCTTTGAAAACTCGTCTTCGTTCGATCTTCCTTTGGAGGGTCTCCTTCCCCATTACTTCCCATGCGGTGAATGAGAACACGCTGAACTCCCGTTTACGCGTCACCCTCATATAGCTGTTGCTATAGAATACAAGAAGGTAATGTAAAAACGATAGCTTTGTAGGTTGCTGTCTAACATGGCTATCTTTTGGTTTCAACAGCCTTATCCACCCTTATAGCTTCTTTCACCTTGTATCCCTCTGGCCCTTATGATTATGATTATGATTGACAAGCAATACAATTCATTGGGAGAAAGCAAGAACCAGTTCTTGGATGGTTACAAGTGCATTGACTCAAAAAGGATGGATGATGGCCATTGGTATATGATTCTTCAGGGGCATGTTTCATGGTTGGTGGATGGATGCTATTCTCCGCCTTTCAGGAGGAAGGTTTGGTTCCTGCACATGAAGAAGGAAGGGCGTTGAGGATGTCGGATGGTCTGGTTTTGCATGTATCATAAACAGGGTGATGATCGCCAAATGATGGTAAATGGAGAAGACCAGGATGGCTAAAATAGGAAAGCAGGTTGTACAAAAGGATAAGATGAAAGCTCGTAGATTGGAATAGAGGGGATTGAACGCATCATCATCAAAGGTAATAAAGCGAGTTGTCTTTTATGAAGAGCGTGTGTGACGAGTGACAAGCATAGAGCGATGCTACATGTAAAGCAATGTGCTGTATCGATTCACATAACTGTCAAAATGCTGTACAGAAGAATAAGTGTGGATATGCGGCAATCCAAGACGATGATGAAAATTGCTTTTTGGATTATGCTAGTCCAAGCCTTCAACACTTGAAATACTCAGGAATAAGATTGATCATATAGGATACAAGCCTATTAGTTTTTTGAAGGACATCTGGTTCGGACACTCGAATGAATAAACTAATGCCTGCACTAATAAGGGTCTTTATCATTCGGTACCCAACGTAGGTAAATACAATGCGAGGTCTTCGTAATCAACGGAGCTTTGTCATTGCCATTGCTGGTTCAAGAAGAACGATGCTTTATTACGCCATGTATCATTCGAGGTGACAACTAGGTAGTGGGTAATCAAAAGAACGTATAAAACAAAAGCTAAAGCCATCAGCGCATTTACATGCAAACCAAATGTGAATATAGAGATCGCCAACCATTACGAAAGCAATGATTTTATTACAATATGGGGTAGTATTTCTCAGTGTAAACTAAGCTAGGTATTCTATTCTTCAATTTTACCGGGGGATCCCATTCCTTGATGTCATACTTGAGATGAAGCAGCTTGAGGTGTGAGAAGGCTTCGAGTGCAATCATAAGGTGATCGGGCATATGGGTAGTATCAATGATCATCTCTTGAAGATTCCGGTGCTTGGATAAATCATGAATCCATTGGGATGAAGAAGGGAAGAATGTCGATTTTAAGATAACCTTTTCAAGTCCAATACAGCCTTCAGACACTCTTTGGATAAATGTATCCAATGACAACAGCACGATGTCGTTCGCAAAAGATAGCTCAAGTGTTTTCAATTGCGTCAACTTGGGAATGAGAAAGATCCATGAATCGCGTCTGCTGATAAAACGAAAGCTTAAGTGAAGCGATTGGAGATTCGATTGAGCACCGAGTTGTATATGATGTTGGATAAATTGATACTCTTCAGGCTGGTGGTAAAAGGCACAATAGAGTGCAATCCTCTTCAAAGGTCGATAGCGTAAAATACCATTCAATAGGTGTGGCCATGCTTTGGAATCAACGAACTCCACTGACTCGAGGTTGGGAGCATGCTGAACAACCCATTCAATAAATCCGAGAAAGCTGTGTTGCGAGTCATCTGGAAACCTCAACGATTTCAGCTGATTGAATTCAACGTTATGGTGACCCAACAAGGTTTCGACACGTGTGATGATTAAAAAGGGACCATTCATCAATACAAGTGATTCAAGCGTAGCTTTGTGTCGCATCATCATCTCGGCGAGGTAATCTCCTTTATGAAATCCTCCATCAATTGACAGCAATCGCAATCCTGGATCGTCGTGCTGTTTTTTGATATCGGCATGAATTTCATATGGCACATATGGATAGCTCAAGAAAAGCTGTTGCAAATGTGGGCAATGTTGATGGATCGTGTTCATGCCTGTTGAAGATGGTGGATATATCAAAGCCAAAAGACGCAGATTGGGTAAACGTTGAATGAGTGGCATGAAAACATCTCTACTGTCGGGATCCTCACAAATAGCCCGAAGATGGGTGATGTTGCCATAGATACGGTCGCTCTGCGAGCTGTGAGTCATATCGATAATGGCATGGCGGTAGAGTATAAAGTCCAATCGAATGAGGTGATGGCAGCGATCCAATACGTCGAGCAGAGATAATGGTGTCTGCTTGTTGTCACGGTACTTGATATCTAAATGCGTCAAATTGGCAGTGCTTTCAAGTAGTTTCAGCAATGCTTCTTGGGTTCCATTCACTAAAAATGTGCAGTAGATTAGAAAACAATCACTTGTATCATTGATGACCATTACCATAAATATTTAACTTGGTCAACGAGAGACATCTGCCACATTCTAAAAACTGAGGAATATGCTGTGCACCTGAAGCTGGTAAAGCAAGCGACTTGATAAAAGGTGCCATCATCCTTAAACGCATGCGATGATGATTTGATAGAGAAGTATGATCCACGCTGAGGATGAAATGGATGCTGTCATCGGCTGATATGATTCGTTTGGCCCAGATGCTTGAGACATCCAATAGTGAACAAGGCTGATGGAGTCGAACTATGGGACGACCTTCTCCAAATAGCCTTGGCGCGATGTAGCACTTGACAATCTCCCATGGTAAATGGCGAACGAAATCTACACACTTCTTGGTCACTGTTGTCGATGCATATCCATTGGGCTGTTCACATTTGGAATCGTTCGTGTCTATTGAGGACGGCATATGGCTGGAGGCGCGTGCTTGGATTTGGGAGTATGAAAAGAAAGAAAAGAGAGATGCATTGGGGCTTAAAGAAAGACGATCGCCTATTATGGCTTTGTGTCACCAGGATGATGCATGCTATATCACGCATAGTGAAGCCTTTATTATCACCACCCCCACTGTGATCACTATGATGTCTTCGATAAAGAAAAAGATAGTCGTCCATTGACCCATAGATGCTTACTTGTGTCGTACACTTTATTTACATGGTGCAAGGGAAGTCCCAGTGGAGGCCCAATCTTTATGTTACACCACTCGTGTCTTAATCGAGGTGCCTGGTTCTTAAGTTATCATTCTTTGATGTCCAACTTTGTATTAGCCAACACTTGAATAAAGCAGCCTGTATCCATGTATCCCATCTATAAAACCTTTCAGCCAATCCTTGTTATCGCGTCTATCATGTTCATCATTTTAAGCAACCAATCGGATGATGATGCCACCGAGAGTGGATCCAAAACACCATTTATTCGTGAACCATTGCCCCTTAACTATCCCTGTCCTATTGACTACCATCCAATCCATAATACAAACCTTGGACATCCCGCAAAGAGTGAGAGACAAAAACAATGGCAAAGGCTATGTGGCAGTGGATGATTAATTTTCCTCGTCGACCACGGTGAATGAGCATAAGGAAATCCACTCATATCCAACCTTCTTTCTGATGCTGCTTGAAATAGACATGGGCTTGCTCACTAGAAAAGGATGACCTTGTAGGTTCATTCATCCATCCATCCATCCATCATCATCATCATCATCATATAGCGTATCCCACTCAACTCACCGATTGCCATGTTTGGGTACCTTGAAAGTAGCTTCTCCCTGTATCCCTTGTAATTCGGCACCTTGATAACAGCAATGAAGGTGTGGATTACAAGAGCATGAGCAGCTAGCAAATAACCGTTGTATGGGCCATACCAGTGTGTGTGTGTGTGTGTGTGTGTGTGTGTGTGTGTGTGTGTGTGTGTGTGTGTGTGTGTGTGTGTGTGTGTGTGTGTGACCATGCGAAACCGTGCCTATTGCGCATTGTAAGAAGACTTGATCTGTTGCAGCATGGTGATAACCCAACGTTTTTGTCGCATACCGTTGGACTAGTCAAGACGATTCTTATTCACCACCTTCAGTGAATTTAGATGGGCGATTGTTATGTTGTGGAAGGGGTCATTGCCAAAGGTACAGTTGTTTTGGGTGGTGCAAAAGAAGCTGGCCAGACATAAGGAAAACCCGAACAAGAGCAGTTGTCTTTAGCGATGACGCGTAACCAAGAGACGAATGCTGGCTGACACCAATCTCTGGACAGGAAGTCAATGGGGAATGTCGACAAGGCAAGAACGTAAAGTAGGAGTGTAGTCTAGGAAGAAGCGGTTGACGGAATAAAGGGGCCGCTCAGCGCTTGGATCCACCAATTCTATTCACATGATTATGCAGCAGCTATATGACGCGCGTACATTCCAACATGCCAGCATGGCCACTTTTCTATGGCTATACCCTCTCCTCAATAATATAGAATGATTTATTAATAAGCATAGTGGATGAGAAGCGTGAGAGATGATAATAGGGGGTGATTGTACGTGTGGGGCGTGCGTTTCCTTGACTACAGCCTTAGTGATACAACGCCTTGTTTCATTCACGCCAAACCCAGCTCTCCTTCTCTCTCCAAAAATCACACAAACGACTCCAACACTATGGCTTCCCTACTCAACCACAACGATCCCCAATCTGAACAGCCCAATGTACTTGCATCTACAACAGCGACCACAAAGCGTGTGGATTTCGTCAGCGATTTGCCATGGGAGATTGTAAAGTACAACCTTGTGCCAAGAATCTTGGGAGAGGTCCGTTTGATGATTCACCTCGACCGCCCTATCGCTTACATGAGGGTGTGCAGCAACTGGAGCAAGCGAATCCTATTAGCTGATGATAGCATCTACTTTTATTATGGTGATGAAATCTATCCGGATGATGACTATGACATACGTACGAGGATGATGGCACCTTACATAAAGTGGCTCTCGATACGCAAATGCAGCGAAGAACATATTGGACGGCTACTCAAATGCGGGAAGCTTGTGAGGTTGAATCATTTGTATATTCCATGCAAGTACATACATACAACAAGCGATTTGCCTTTTTTTTCTAATCCACAGCTTACTTTACTTTAGTGCATAGCCCACAAGTATATCGACGTTTTCATCAGCTACTCCAAATCATCCCCACCTTGACGCATTTGAATATCGATTATGGCCGTTTTGGAACACCATTAGCAATATGGGATGTACTGGACCAGTGCCCAAAGCTTATTCGATTGAAGATTGATCTTCACTTGTATGCAACCATGGATACAGCCAACTCACAGGTCGACCGTCCCTATGGCAACGTTACTCATTTACAAGTGATATGTTGGGATCCGATGAAAAATGACATCTACATTCCTCTCATCAAGCGTTTACCCAATTTGTGTCTTTTGGCCTTAACGCTCTCATCGTCTCCAGCAGGCCTGAATATTATCCAGCAACATTGTCCAAAACTGCAAGGGCTCTATTTGAGTCAGCGGCGAGTCAATGATGTCGGCCTGGATGAGATTAGCCAACAACAGCAGCAACAACAGCAGGAAGGATTGAGATTACTATCACTAGCTGGAGGCACTTACGATGAAGATGACATTGCGGCGTTGATGGTCCACAACCATGATACGCTCGAATCGATCGTGTTAGAAGGCCAGTTTTTTACAATCACACCTACAAGAGCTTTGAGAAAAGATCCTGTTCAATTCAACAATCTTCGATCCTTGAGCTATCGATATCAACCCCATTACCGATCCATCGACTTTTATGAATGGATTCTTCAATGTGCACCCAATCTTGAATCAGTGGAAACTGTCAATGCAGCAACACAACGTCATGTCTTGGATCGTACATTCAGTGATGATGGGCCATTGAAAAGGATTGGATTATACTGTGCAAGGGATGAGCAGCAGCCATATGAGCGTCAGTTCCTTAAGCGTCATATACAACGTGGTGTGGAGTCTCGTCTCGAGCACCTAAAGTGCACTCTGGAGCGTACGATACGGGATCGTACGTGGGTTTACCTCATCCCACAGCTGAACCAATTGAAAACGCTCGAAGTAGCCTTCACAGCAGACGGCAAAATTCACGAATTGGGGAAGTTCCTTAAGCAAGTTGCGTGTGGTTGCACAGCACTTGAAAAGGTTATATTCAAAACAAAGTACTTCCCTCCTAGCTCTGAATGGATATTGCATCTCGCTACACACCGCACGCTTCAGCATCTCGTGATTGATACCGAGGATATACCGGATGATCTTACAACTCACCTCGAAGCCTTTGGACATCTCAAATCATTGCACCTTAATCACGACATCACCGCTTTTGGTCCCATATTAGAGTTGAAACGCAAGCTGCCCTTTTTTACATTTGAACATAGGCACGAACCCAAGTAGCATAGTGCGTTCCTTTTACGTTGCCATTTTCAAAGGGCCGTTATGGTACAATAAATCTCTTTTAGTAAAATGGGAAATGTGTGTGCGATAGGATCCTAGATTACCATTTGCCAGTAACATGCAAACATAAAGAAGGATGTACAAAGATGATAAGGGAGCCTGATATCGGCATCAGCATATATAATTTTATTGTAGGGATCATATCAGCATACTCTGTAACGGCCGAAGGAAGATCTATATTCAACTACTGGGATTTTGCTCTCTACCAGCTTCTTCATATCCTTATCCAGGATTGAATCAAGAACCAGGTGCTTTAGATTTGGAATGTTGAGGATGGCCATAAGGTCTCTCCTAGGAAGACTTAGCTCGGATTCAATTGCCAAATAGCGGATGCCGGAGTGAACATGGAGTTGGGAGATAACACTTTTGCGCATCTCTTCTATGCCGTAAAGTGAAAGTCTTTCAAGGCGTGGACACCCGTTTGCAATGGTTGACATCATGGCTGGATAATCCGTTTCCTCATCTGACTCATAACCATCATCCATCTCATCAAGCGCATCCGCTGGATTAAACCATAAGGTCAATGTACGGAGGCAGCGTAATCTTGCTATGGCGGATAACCAACGCGTTGGGGACAATGGCAACGTGATTTCCAGTTCTTCTAGTGTCGAACTTTCTCCAAGCTTGATATGATGTTGAATAAACTTGTAAAATTGTGGGCATTGATGGGTGATCCACAATGGAGCAAAGCTTTTAGATGGCGTAAATTGGTGGCGGCATTGAAAAAGTCCTCATGTTGATATGCTAGTGCATCGTTGAAAATTGTATGAAGATATGGTGCACGGCAAATAATCGATGTTGTCAAGGGCACAAGGGAATGATCTTGTGCGTTAACCTCCAATTTCTCAAGGCGTTTGAATCCAATGTTGCTTCCCTCCAGCGTCATGTTGTTCCCCGTGATTCTTCCCACCAATCGTAATGCTTTTAGGGATCCACAATGTTGAACCAGCATCGAAATCAAATCATCCCCGTTGTAGACATCACGCGAGTGACCAATGCAAACCTTTTCCAATCCTTGCTGTTGATGCTCATCATCATAAGATAAGCAGCAAGATTCATTCCCGCCATAAACCAAAAGCTTCAAGTTGGGCCCGTATTGGTGAATCATAGGTAACAGCTTCATGTCTGGCCTTGGAAAAACATTCAATGATACGAGCGATGGAAGATGAGCGAGGAGATTCACCATATTGTCATAGGACCGCGATTCGGTAGACCAATCTTTTACATGGAGGTGAATCAACTTGGGATACTCAGTGGATAATAATGTGGGCGACTCGTTCACGATGAGTGTTCCTTCCAATGAAACCAAATTCGGGCATCCGTCCAAGATGTGTCGTAAAGCAATGGGGGTTTCTTTCTGAAATGTTGCAGATGACAAAATAAGATGCGGCAATTGACGATGCGACAAAAGATTCAAATGGGTCAATGTCGAGCCGATGGATCCAAACACGTTCACAAGGAGCTGTGGTTGGCCCTTACCTATTTCATAATACCACGTAAGCCCATCTTTTATCCATGTTTCCATCCCGCATCACGCACTTACAGTCAACATTCAAATGGGAAAGTCTTGTCCAAGGCCTCTCGTTTAAAATCTCTACCCAATCTTGACGATGGGCCACGGTTAATGTCTTGAAATGAGGCGAGTAAGGAAGCAGATCATATGCTGGATCGTCGACACAACCTCCATCGTGCAAAAGGAAATGGAAAGCGTTGTTCGCCAAGATACGCTGACACCAGGTGCGACATACGTTGAAATGAGGGCATACGGTGTCTTGACGTAGCTCATAACTTTCAAACAACAATGGGATGATCGCCATGGAAACAATGTCGGCTGGCAACTTGCTCATAAAATCAACACGCTTCTCTTGAACTTCCAAAGCAGCAGCATACGATGTCTTCAACCGTGAATACCAAGGATTGGTAGGGTCCACAGCCATAAGCCCTTGCTTATACATGTTCATGGCTGCTTGTTGGTGACCTTGTTGCTGATAAATAGAGCCTGCTCGCAAGTAACCGAGTGCTGATGTGGGTGCCAATGCTCGCATCATGGCTGCATCCCTTAACGCAAGGTCAAACTGGGCTCCATTCGCTAATGCCTTTGCACGCGTGTCAAGCGGTTCGATGAGTTGAGAAGCCAGCTTGGTAATGGTGTCGCTCGTTGTTGCCATGATCGTGTCGTCTTGACCTTGGTGCATGCTGAGAGGTGGTAGCGGGTGTAAAACAATCGTGTTATGAGCGGCTTCATTAGAGACGACGTCTTGTTCTTCGCAATGGGGTGCAATGGGCGGAAGTGGTGATATGTGCCTGGGGGATAACATGCTTGGAAATTGCCTTCTTTCGGACCTGGTTTTTTTTATGCCCCATACATTCAATCCCCTTCTTTGCCTCCGCCATTTGTTATTATGTCTCCCTTGAGGGAAAAGCTTGCCGAAGATGATGGATACCTGAAGGATGATGATAACAAGGATCGACGTGCAGCGTTGTGTAACAAACATCTTCTTTTTATCTCGTTCAATGATTGTTGTTTATTGCCACTTTAGCTTAAAACTTTTATTGATGATTCTCGATGGCTACATCAATTATCTATCCAAGCAATTTATTCACGTTCAATGCAAATACTGTGAGCAGCGGAAAGGTTATCTCATGTGGGGATTGTCAAAGGTTGTAACACACACTTCCAATTGGGGAGTTCTTTACGTGGCGTGTGTAACGAGATGGATGTCGTACTTGTCTGTGGTATGCAAGATCGAATCAAAAGAGCTTCTCATCTATAAGAGAACTAGGTTGGTGATAGGCATTGTGAACATTCACATCATTATTTGTCGTCTCTCGTATAGGCATCTCATCAGCGCTTAACATCATCATCATCATCGTCATCATCATCATCACCCATGCAAGCGGCTTTACGTCATAAACGGTTCCATAATACATACTTGGGCAAGAATACAATAGATTTGGCATAGAAAATGGGCATCTTTATTGCTGGTCTTTTACTATCCTTGTGGTAGTGGATATACGGAAACGGAAGATGACCTGGTCACGTGTAACCATTTTGGGCGCATGAATTATTGATTAAGCCCAGCCATGCAATTTTTCTTGTAGCCCAGTCGACCGTCCCAGCCAACGTTGATTACTGTACAAGGGCACGTTTGGTAAATACAACCCGCATACACTGTCACCTACTCCACCGATCAGTCCATGCCATCCAGCCTTGCCATTGTAAGCAAAAACGTTTCCGGAATGAGTCACCAACGCGAGACCCTTAACAAGATCGCTGTTGCCAAGGCGACGAGTTGTCATGGATACTGAAAGATAACCTATGGATAAGAAAAAGCAAGTTTCGAGGTATCCAATTATCATAGCGGGTGAGTCCATGGGGAAGATGATGATGATGATGATGAGCTTAAAGAGGCGTCTTGTTTTCAGTGGGAAAAACCAAAACTGTTTCAAGCATGCAAGCCTATCTTTATTGCAAACGCGTGCATCCACATTCACTTCCAGCAACATCCAACAACGGTGTGCCTTCTTTTCCTGATGCTTCATTGTCAAAGAAAGATAATCAACCACACCAAGTTGCTGTTATTGTGCTTGCAAACCTCACTGTATGGTGACACGTGGGATACATCCGAATTACGGCTTGGAATGGTGGTTCAAGGAGAGCTGCTATCATAGAGCAATGGTTCAGGAATAAATATCACTTTTTTGCGACCCCCAATGGATGGTATCATCATCACACGTGATGAACGCTCACTGGGATAATGATAGAACTGTATTTTGGACTTGGATCAGGATGCCATGGGTTGGATCAAAGATTACATGTACGTTTATAAAAACGTTGGTTCATATACCAAGGTGGCAACTTTGATAAGACGAAGCGAACATGATAGCTTAACTAGAAGGCAGTCAGATTGACCGGCGAATGATGTAACACAAACACTCGACCACCCAAACAACGCGTATGACACAAATAGCCGTTTATTACTACTATCTATGTATTTTTGGAAGCCGTTATGGCTATATAAATGGGGTAATGGCTGAGGTGGATGAAAATAAAGGCTGCACTGTGTGGGATGAAGCATGCATCATCATGGTGATACAGAGCTATACTAGCTGGTCGTGCTTAGTTTCAAGCTCCAACACATCTCCCTTTCTTTTCTTCACACACTCCCAAATGCAAACACGCAGCTCCAGCAATGAGCCTTCCTCACCAAACGTCAACAGTGCCGAACGTGAACAGCCCAATGTACTTGCATTGACAACAGCCATCAAGAAGTGTGTGGATTTCGTTAACGAATTGCCATGGGAGATTGTAAAGTGTCACCTTATTCCAAGGATCTTTGGCGAAGGCCGTCCAATAGTTCGTCTTGATCGACCTTATCCATGCTTGGACGTCTGCAGCACTTGGACCAAACGAATTGTATCGGCAGACGACAGCATCCATTTCGTCCTTCACGTGGATCATCCTCTGTCAAAACATCATCGCATGCGTTTACGAATGGTGGCACCTTTTATCAAGTCCCTCGCATTACAGGATTTAGGTGTTTACAATCCTGAACTTGTTAAATGTGGCCAATTTCTCTCGTTGACCAAGCTGAATATCGAAGGTAACTATTGGGGATGATGTGTGGGTACATGAATGGGTAACTAAATGTATGTTTAGTCACGCGCTGCCACGAAGCGTTGTTGCAACTACTTGAAATCGCTCCCAATTTGACTCATTTGCATATGACTTTCGACGACGACACACAAGCATCATTTGCTGCATTCGATGTATTGGATCGTTGCCCTCAGCTCATTCGATTGAATCTCACTCTTTCTCCCAATACCATCATCGATATGACATCCAACTCGCAGCGTGACCGAACCTATGACAACATCACTCATCTCCAGGCAGTTTGCCAGAATGAAGACCGTAGAGATGTTTTCATCCCACTCATTCAACATTTGCCCAATCTGCGCCTTTTGTATTTGCTTTATCCACCTTCTTCAACAAACATGAATACAATCCATCAGCATTGTCCCAAAATACAACAACTGTTCTTGAGCTTTACACATGTGCCATATAAGATACATGGCGACATCAAACAGGAGGAGGAGGATATTCCAGGATTGAGATTGCTGTCACTTCATGAAGGATATTATTACAATGATTACTTCCCGGAGACCATGATACAACACAGTGCTACGCTTGAATCGCTTGAGCTAAAGGATAGCCTACTTTTATATATCCCTCATGTCGAAACGTTCTTGGGTCGTGACGATGTTGAATTCAAACAGCTGAAATCCTTGCGTTTCCCAGATAGCTCGGATCCCAGCTTTATCACCTTTATGGAATGGGTTATTGAGCATGCTCCAAACCTTGAGTCAATCGATGCCATCGACCTTGGTGCACATACAAATGTATTCAATAGTACATTACGCCGTCGACCCTTGAAAAGGATTGGATTCCGTTCCACCTTGGAGCCTCAGCAACACGTATACCAGTTTCTCCGTCATCATGTGAGGCTCGGTGATAAATCGCATCTCCAAGCGGTCAAGTGCATTCTCCATAGTATCAGTGAGCACGATTCATGGATCTTTCTCATCACCGAGTTGACTCAATTGAAAACACTCGAGCTTCGATTTAAGAGCAATGATGCGTTAATGGGCTTGGATACGTTTATTCATCAAGTGTCTGAGGGCTGCATTGGACTTGAAAAGGTTATCTTGAAATCGACATTCTTCCCTTCTTCATCCCAATGGATTCATGATTTATCCAAGCATCGGAACCTTCAAGAGATAATCATTGATACCACCCACATACCGGACCACCTCATGATTGCACTCCAAGCCTTCTCACATCTCAAGTTGCTTCACCTCAAATATGACATCAAGGACTGGCATTCTCTTACAAGCTTGAGGCATAAAGTACCTAGCTTAGTGTATAGCGAGAAACACTATCCCATACTGTAACGTAATCAATAATACATCTTTTATTTATTCATTCCCCGCATCTATATGCATTCTTCGATACCCATTTGACTTCCATGTGAATACACTGATGACCGTATAGCTGTTGTTTTATTAGCTCTTTTTATTACTACCTATTTGGTTGTCCACGTGAATGATACCTCGATTAATAAAGCCTCATTTCTACCATCAATGACCATAGCCCATTTATTAAAGCAAGCTCCCATAGTTTCTTGTAAACCTACGTAGGTTGATGTATGATGGAGGCCCTTATTATTGCATGGAACAGTTTATTCATTCGAATGTTTGAACCAAACATGGTACATATCAATGACATCAGTACGAGGCTTATATTCCACACGCGCTATCTTACTCCTGAGTAATTCAATAGTAGGGTCCTTGAGTGGCACATGGAGGATGAGGTGGTTCAAATTCGGGATCGATAAGACGCTTACAAGATCACTATCATCCATGCTTTCAGCAGTAATCTCCATCTTGGTGAGCCGTGGATGTCTTTTAAAAGCTGTAATAGATCCAAAAGGGATAGAGCTGACTGTATAATTCAGTGTCAGCGTTTCAAGACCTAGGCAAGACGACGCAATTGCTTCGGTGATTTTGGTGATATCACGAGGAATACCCAACGGAGCCAATGTCACATTCAACCTTCGCAATCGTGGTACGTGTTTCAAGAAACCAAAAGAAGGCATTTGATCTCCCCCATTTCCGTAATAAAGGGTGAATCCAATATCGGTCAAGCGAGCTGCATGATGCATAACAACATCGTAAAACCACTTTGTAGAGAGAGCGTTCACGTCGATGAAAAGCGATTCGAGATTTTTTAATCCCATGATAGCTTGAACGAGACCTTCTTCATAGATGCCGTCATACGAGAACTCGATTTCACGAAGATTAGGCGCAGCGTGTATTATACGTTCGGCAAGTAATAGCATACCATCCGTATCGCCCGTCATAGCTAAACGTTCAAGGCGCTCAAGTTTGTGGACATGGTTCTTTTTCTTTGTATGGGATGATTGCCAATACCCATCATTCGTTATTCTAATCCCTTCGAGCGTGTTGCAATGTTGGTTTATAAGGCCAACAACGCCGTCAAGTGGATAATCCACCCTCGCTTGGCCGATTGTCACGAGTTGTAATCCCCGTTGGCTTGGATTGCAAGATGGCTTGATTGTGTCTTATGGCATGGCTATCATACGCAAATCCATTACGGTTGAAAAAGGACATATGGTTTATTATGAATAGGATGCAATGCCGTAATATTATATGGGTTTAATACCAGGTTCACTCATGAATATCCAAAAAGGGGTATTGAAGTCCAAAAATGACTTCTTTTGTTACCACGAACGGTACACATATTACAGGTCGTGCTCTTGCATGAAGTGTGCTTGCATAAAGAATACCAATGAACTTTACTTGACATTATCCATTTGGATGGTCATGCTTTTATTAGGGGCAAATTGAAACCAATACTAGTAACGACGTACTATAGAAAGTGATAAAAAGGATTGGATTAGGAAAGCAGACGCTGAGCATGGGTAAACGTGCACGGGGACACGCGTGCGTGTAACATAAATCGTACTCAACTTGGTATCCTTTTAGTCAATGCGCCACATTTCTCTATGCATCTCCTCCTCCTTGTTTCCATTCCCAGCGCAGAGTTATCACACCAGCTTTTCTTTCTTCCACTTGCCAGAATCTCGCTCCCATGTCAACACCACCTGAGACCAGCAATTGCGTATACAACACATACCACCTTGGACGCTATGCCTGAGAACGTCTTTTTGCTGCAAACTACCTTTGGACGTAACGGAGCGCTTGGAAACTTAGTCGCGTGACTCTTTTACCCAAGTTCCTCCCTCACTCATTGACTCCCATGTGGTCATTGGCGACAGGCTGTACACTCGTTTACGCGTTGTCCTCATGTAACTGTTGCTATGGCAGCCAACAAGGTATTGTGAAAACCTGGGCTTGTTCATTCGTATGCTTACAGGATTATCATTTTGTTTTCACCAGCCTTATCTACTGTTATAGCCTCCTTCCTTTGTATCTACCTGGTTCTTTCGAGGATTATCGACAAGCAATACTATCGATGGGACAAGCCAAGTACATGTGCTGGAACGACTACAGATGCAGTTAACTGGAGAAAGGATGAATGATGATGGCGATTAGGATACGGTTTTATGGGAGGACCCCTTTATCTACTGGAATACATTCCTTTTGAAAAGACGGATGCGCGTTTGGATGCACAACAATATGGAAGGATTGGTAGGCATTGTGATTGCATGCAAACGGTTGGTGTGATCTATGAAAGTGGTGACTGGACGGCATTTATTGCCTGAGATTCATTGATTTGGTGGTGTTGGCGATGTTGGCAATGGTGGTGAGGATGATGGCGGTGGTGATGATGATGGTGGTGGTGATGATGATGGTGGTGGTGAGGATGATGGTGGTGATGATGGTGGTGGTGAATATGATGGTGCTGGCGACAATAATGGTGATGATGGCATACATTTCGATGGAGATCCAGGTTATCTTTTATGGGTTGAGCTGAGAAATGATACGAGAGAAACATTACTAGAAAGAATGGGTTGGAAAAAGTACCGGCCTTGGAGAGAAAAGTTGGCATGGAGACGAATAGTCGGCAACTGCTTCTTGTCAACAGAGCGCTTATACGCGGCTTTGACATAGTATAATCCAAAAAGCAGTTTTTCATCATCCTCTTGATTCCTGTATACTCACATTTATTACTCTGATGTACCACATTTTTCACTTAAATCGATATACCACATTGCTTTACATGGCATCGCTCTATGACTGTCACTCATCACACACGCTCTTCATAAAAGACAACTCGCTCTATTACCTTTCATGATGATGCATTCACCCCCCCTCTATTCCAATCTACAAGCTTTCATCTTATACTTTAGCCATCCTTGTCTTTTCCTTTTACCATCATGTGGCGATCATCACCCTGTTTATGATACGTGCTAAACCAGCCCATCCCTTCTTAATGTACAGAAAGCAAAACTTCCTCTTGAAACACGAAAATCACCATCCATCCACCAAGCATGACATGAAGCGTATCCCTGAAGAATCATGTAACGATCGCCATCATCCATCCTTTTTGAGTCCATGCACTTGTAACCATCCAAGAACTGAGTCTTGCTTTCTCCCATTCAATTGTATTGCTTGTC